AAAGAAAGTATTATTAACGTTAAAAGGTTAGTATTATTGTAAGAATTAGTAAGAATATTAATAATTAAGTTACGAGAGGAAGGGCGGACTACTTTATTAAATTTTGTAATATTCTTTATAATTTTCGCTACTTTCCTTTAGTCCGCTAGGAATTTATATTAATATATTTCAATAACAAGTTTATCGATTCTAAATAGTATTTTATCGAAGGTTTTAAATTTTTATATTTTAAATAAGGCAAATTCTTTCTAACGTCGATAAACCGTCTTAATGGCCTTATTTGCTAATTCCTACTCAATAACCTATTTGGTTTCGAAAGCTGGAATTTTATTAATATTAAAATTATTATTATAATCCTATTAATTAAGCTTATCCGTAGCTATAATAGCTACAACCTCTATAATAGTTTAATATACGGCTTCTATAATACGTTTAATCTATACCAATTCTGGGTAATTTCTTATAAAAAGTTTAAATTACCGGGCGAATATTATTTATCCTAATTACTAATTGTACTACTTTTGCTAGGCTACTATAAAAGAATCTAAAAACGAAGATCTATTATTTATATTAGTATCCAAGTTTAAAGGGTTGAAAAGTATATTAAAAGAATTAATATAACGCTATTAAATGGGAATAACTTTAATATAATTAAGCGAAACTTCCCCCCGAAAAGAAGAAAAGAAGAATAATAAAATATAACGAAAGTAAAAAACTAAATTTTAAATATTATTTATTATGCGAAAATATAATACGTAATTGTAATAATAGCAAGATTAACGATAGTAATCAATATTATTGGGAGCCTCTACCTAGAACCTTATATAGCGATTATAAGTAACTATATAAGATATAGTAAATAGATAATTGATTGCTAGCTAGAGTTAATACCGAAGGCGATAATGAGGCAGAGCCTTTTATATTGGCATGATAGGTACCTGACTCAACAAGGAGTAGGACTAACCCTATTATAGCTAGCTCTAGTAAGGTGGGTCAATTATGATCCGAGACGAACCATAGCAATTATTACCTAATTAATTAGCAAAGATACTAATATAATACTAATTACTAAGGAAGAACTATTAGAGATAGAGGTTATTGAAAATAAAGAATATATTAATTTACGAAATAATTTAAATTAGTAGTACCCTAACGATAAACGGTATACCCAAATAAATAAAGAGAATAAAGAATATAAGGAGTATAATGATGAGGCTATTCCCGACGACGACGACAACGACGACGACGAGGGGGAGGAGGATAATAATAATAATGATATAGAGGAATATAGGGATTCTGAGTACGAGGAGGTTAATATACTATAGCAATAAGGGTGTGCAAATAATCTATGTCATTAGATTTATGCGTGTGCAAAATAACAATAATTTCACATATTGATACATATGTTAATTATATTAGCGATTTTATATACAACTAAAAAATATAGATATATTATTATAAAAAACTATTGGCTCCGGGCGGAAGACTTCCAGTTGTATGGGGAACGCTAGTAAGTGGATGTACCCCGCTCGGCCCTAGTCTTGAGGCTCGCTGAAAGTCGGCCCGAAAAAATCTCGAGACTTCAATGTCCTAACATCATCTCTGTTCACAAGCCTCTGATTTCTTTTTGACCAGTCCCAGCTGCTTGGCGCGTAGACAGTCGAGATGAAAGTGTCATCCCTTGTCTACAATGCACAGATTTCAGCTTGAACATGTGTATGTGGCGGACCGTCCCACCGCCGCGGAGTCTTTCCGCTGGTGGAAACAAGACGGCGAAATATCTTCTGGAAAGGGGTATTGACTGACATGTGCAAGTGCCCAAACCAAACAGCCGGGAAACTGACGGATGGGGCACTGCAAGACACGACATTGAGTTACCAGTCAATGATCCAAACAAAACTATAATCCCAGTTGACAAGCTCTTGAAGCAAGGGGCCGACCATGCCTACATTGATCCCAACTCCTCGGGAAAACGTTCAACTACTCTATTCGGACGTCCCAGTTGTCAATGACATAAGGCTTCTGTCCTCACAGCTCATGTTTCTTCTCATGAGCATCCGCCAATCGAGATGCCGAGACTCTTCGTCAGGGACTGACCATAAGCTTCGAAATGGTACGGGAGTGAGGGGACTATGTCAGCTCAACACCAAGCATCGCGACTGAACAGACGATTAGTCGCAACATGATGGCATCTATTTCTGTACAAAATGCACCTTTGACCTGGACCCAAAATACCTCTACGTACCATACAATGGTCCCGGCAGCATGGTGCAGAGGAGAAGGAATGCAGGAAATGTCAGTCCCGTTCGGAGCATCCATATTCCGTGGAACATCGTGGTCCACTGCTGTCAATATTTTATTTTTCTGATCGCGCATGAAGATTGGCTGTGTCTCGTCAAAGTTCACAAACAAGCTGTTGAATGGCTGTAGTGGATTTGAGCCAAAAGACGAAGCCTTCGTTGTTCATAGCGTGCTCAGCGAGGTCTAAAAGTCTCACATGGAAGGTGCGAACTAGGTTCCCGAAAAAAAAAATCGATGACGAGAAGTCAGCAGAGGCAAGAGTCCCTTGCGTGACTTCCATTTTCCTCGTTACCCTACACTCGACCAGTCAAAATTTGCTCTTGCTTGCGTTGATTCTTCCATTCTCGTTCCTTTGCCTTCATAATTTCAACGAAAACAAAACCTCAAGTCATCAAGTCAGTCAAACCGGTATGTCCTCTGTGCTTTGCATGGTCTGACCACAAGATTGTACTTAACAAATGGGTGTATTGTTAACTATATGCTGGAAACAGACACGCAACTTAGAAGCGAGCCTCGACCTTGGTCAGGGTATCTTGCAACGCCCACTCGTTCACCTTGTCCTTGCTGCGAACAGCCTTCACCTGCTCGGCCGTGAAACCCTTGGCCTCAACCGCTGGGTTGTAGCCCAGCTTGTTGAGCTTTCCAACCGTTGTCGAGTCAATGACCGGCGCTTCCTTGCCGTCAGCGCGCTTGTAGACGGTAACGACAGCGGCACCACCAAGTCCGAGGTTGTGCTGGAGCGCATACTTGGTGTGAGGAACGTTGCGGTTGTTGGCCCATCCACGCAGGTGCCATACCAACTCGGCGCACTGAGCGATACCGGTGGCTCCTAGAGGGTGGCCCTTGGAGATGAGTCCTCCACTGGGGTTGACGACGACCTTGCCGCCATATGTGATGTTACCGGCGCGCACAAACTCGTGCGCCTTACCCGGCTCGGACAAGCCCAAAGCGTCAATCAAGATCATCTCATTGGCGCTGAAGCAGTCGTGAAGCTCGCAAACAGCAAAGTCGCTAGGCTTGACACCAGCCTCCTTCATGGCAACGCGCGCGGCGTGTTGGGTCATCTCACGGCCCATCAAGTCGATGGAGCTCTTGGAGAACAGGCTGGGCGCATCAGTGGCCATACATTGCCCGGCAATGAGGATGGCCTGGTCCTTGAGGTGTGGGCGAGCGTCCAGGAACTCTTGCGAAACCAACACTGCTGCCGCGCCACCATCGGAAGTTGGGCAGCACTGAAGCTTCGTCAATGGCTCGTGGACCTTGGGTGATTGCATAATCTGGTCGAGAGTGTATAGGTCCTGGAACTGCGAGTATGGGTTGTTGACGGAGTGGGCGTGGTTGATGCGCGCGATCTCGGCAAAGTCCTCGGACTTGGCGCCATACCTATGAGAAAGGAAACACGGTCAGTAATCATCATGTCTTCGTGCAACGTCCATGCTGATATCAAATTAGATTTGGCTTACTTCTCCATATACTCCCGGCCGGCATTACCGAACATCTGAGCGGCACCAGGCGCCTTGGTGACTCCCCTGGTGGTGGCCATCATCTTATACGTCGTTCCGAGAGGGTTCTCTCTGTCGTTAAAGTGGCTCTGCAAGCTACCAGCCTGCATCTTCTCGAAGCCTACTACCAACACACAGTCCGCGGCGCCGCTGGAGATGAAGTTGCGGCCCATGGCCAGACCTGTCGAGCCGGTCGAGCAGTTGTTGTTGACGTTGTAGATGGGAATCTGGGTCATGCCGAACTGGTAGAAGACGCGCTGACCGCATGTCGAGTCGCCGTAGCAGTAGCAGGCGATACCCTGCTCAACGTCGTCGTAGGAAATCTGCGCATCGAGCATCGCCTTGACACCGGCCTCGAATCCAAGCTCAGTATAGTCTACCTTGCCTCTGGGCTTGATGAACTTGGTCATGCCCACGCCGAGGACGTAGCATGGCTTCTTCTGCTTGGGGCCCATTGTGAAAGGTCGGTATGGGTATCTTCGGACTGGGGAGTGGGTGAATAGTTGATGGTCGAGGGTAGCGAGAAGAGGTTGAAAGGTAAGAAACCACAAACAACGGCGCAAAGGAGGACCGATTGAGAACTTAATCGTTCGTGATGAAGGCAATGTTTATTCCTTCAAACCGTTAGCGCCACTGTTCCCCTGGCGGTGATGGGCCCGCTTCCCCACGTTTTCCCCAGAGCCAAGTGCGGGGACGCCCCCAGTTACCGAGGCACCTTGGGACGACGAGACGCCAAATCCCTTGCCACCTGCCATCGAAACACCATAACAAAGCAATGGTTTTGGCACAATCCCATCCATCCAATGAAGGGCTTACCAGAAATGGAAGACACTCATTTTCAAAGCACACGGCACGTGAAGCTTTTGAGCTCGGAACCACCTGTCTTGGCGGACTTGGAGGATCACGAAGCCTTCGTCGCATTGCCAACATGATACCTATATGCAGCTTGGTGGTGATAAATTCATCTTACAAACATCTCATCAAAACATCATGGTTTTCGAAGAGTGGCTTCTGCATAAGCGCGGGCAGGAACACCTTGACGGCTTCCTATGAGCAAAGTGGAAAGAAATCATTTCTGCCATTCATCAAGCTATTCTCCTATTCAACAATAGACCCGACTCCCTCGCTGGGTGGGAAGCCCAACACCTAAGAAACGAAAGGCACGAAATCAAAATCCATATCTTGTTTGGCGGCTCTCTAGTTAGGCGGGTTGTTAATGATCTGAGTCCAGGCCTCATCGTTCGCCCTCTTGGCCGTGGGCTCGGTGGGGTTGATGATTTGAGTCCAAGCCTCATCGTTCGCCCTCTTGGTCGTGGGGTTGATGATCTGAGTCCACGCCTCAGGATCAGAGCGCTTGCCAATCTGCTGAGTCCACGCCTCAGGATCAGAGCGCTTGCCAATCTGCTGAGTCCAACTCTCCTCATCAGCCCTCTTGGCGGGAGTGGGAGGGTCGACAATCCAAGCCTCCTCGGCTCGCCCGCCAAATTTCTGAGTCCAGGACTCCTCGTTGCCCCTCTTGTTGATGATCTGGGTCCAGGCCTCATCTGACTTGCCTAGTTTTTATTAGCACCAGTTTTCGGGTGGTTCATCATTCCGGATATGCTTACCAGGAGTTGGGAGGGCAATGGCACCAATAGCCAGGAAGGCAATGATGAAAGAGGTCTGAGTGATCTGCATCTTGAATGACGGGAGAGATAATCAACGGCGAGTGATAATTAAGGGCAAGTTCTTGACTCTGCTTGATGAAACTCACATCAACAGGACGGGATGTCTGGTCTATTTATGTCCATCAACTCCAGCAGACTAGCTCATCGCTGCCTGACATTTCACCAACACCGTCTATATCGTCTACATCCTTTTCTTGCCCAAGCAATACTCCAGGACGAACACACAGAGGGCTAACCCAAATGGCAGCCGACCGACCTCCTCACTTGGCAGCAAGCATTGCTGATCATGCTGCTCTTGAAACGGAGATACTCACGCAACTTTTGTCAGCTGAATCCATTCATCAGGCACTTCAAATTGTATCAGTGATGACTGCACACACATCATGGGCAGGAAGAAGGTGCAGGTTTGGCCAGAAGAGGAAGCTGGTATTCGTTTTCTCTGGCCATCATGTTGATGCAAGACCGATCATACCTTGATCCTCTGATAGTTCCCAAAAAGAAATGCAAGTGATGTTGAGAGTTGGTCTTGCGCCGTGTTCCAAGAGGCTTTCTGGGTTACACATCCACGAAGTGTTGAACATGGCTTGTTTCGGGGTTGCACTCGGTGTAGGATAGTCTATCCCATCCCGTTGCGACATCGGCCGAATATCAACCACTGCAACATGACCCCCTCTCAAAGTGCTATTTTCTGATTTGCATCGTTTTCTTTGTGGGATATGCAATGACCCCCCCGTTCACTCGATACAAGCCAAATTCAAGTCGGGTTATTTGTTATCCTTTTCACAAACACGACATTCATTTTCGTCTTGCTCCTCAGGGAAGCTACCAGAGCCATTTTCTGTCTGTTTTCTCCCCTTGAGCACTTCAATATGGACAAGTTCAAGCCCAGCAAATATCTCCCAGTTGACGGGGAAGATTTGTACTCACCAAAACGTGGGTCCGATGGCGATGACGAAGAGTGTGGTGAGTTTTCTACCACTCCATCAGCTCGCTGGGCGGGGTCGAAAGACTCATGGATTCAACGACACTGGCGCTCTGTTACCGTTCATGCTTTGCTCTTTGCGGCAAACTTGTTCCTCTTCATCGCCTACTCCAAGGGCGTTATTGTTCCCGTTCGTTATACCGATCCTCAGCATGAACCAAGTGAGTTTTCGTCACCTTCATCCTTCGTTACACCAAGTGTTGTTTCTCTCGAAGAAGACGCCTAACTGGTTATGTATAGCTCCGTTCCGTTCTGTGGTGAAATATGAACGAAGAGCGTTTGATATGGGAGCCATCTATGGTCTGGGCAAAAACATGTCATTGAACATGCAGAAGGGAAACATCGACTTCAACGGGCCACCCAGACCAGAACTGGAAAATGCCTGGGATGACATTCTCCGCTGTAAGCTCTTTTTCCTCTCCAACAGTGATGTCAAGTTCTCAATATCCTGATGCTCTGGAACAGATCAAAACGTTCGCATACCCAGAAAGGACATGGGCCAGTTCCAGGACGACGATACTGTCATTCGTTTGACAGACGGGACCTATTATTTCACCGTCTCAGTCTTCCATGGGCTTCACTGCGTTGAGAGGGTCCGGAAATACATCTACAAGGACCATTACTACCCAGACCTCAGTGAGATGCAAGCCATTGCTCTGCTGAAACATACAGAGCATTGCATCGACTACTTCTTGCAGTATCTCCAGTGCAATGCCGACACGACTCTTCTTCCTATGGAGTGGACGACCGAGTGAGTTACTTCCCCCTCTAACCGTTTCGCAATCAGAGTTGATGAAATAACTGACACGAAAATCTGTTCCATCAGAGATCCAAAGCCTGTTTCCCAGGGTTTGGGCAAACACACATGTGTCAACTGGGGCTCCATCTTTGACTGGGTGAAGGAGAACTCTTTTGATCCCTTTGAGCCAGGCATTCTAATGCACCCCATCTTTGGTGAGCTACGACACTCGGCTTGATTCCCTTTACGCTGCAAAGACTAACAGAGGCAATCACAAACAGGCGATCCGTACGACCGAAATGCCTCTCACCACCATGTCAATGTGGGACTCACGGAGGCAGGCGGGATTCTGCATCTGAATGAGGATGGCACGTTGAAAGAGAGTAGCAAAAAGAGTCATTCACATTCGTGAGGTATGCAGATAAGCGAGGAGAGGCGAGCAGTGAGTACTCAAACTAGGGATGCATTATTTCAAGGTCTGGTCCATTTTTTCATTACGCGGAAAATATCAGTAATAACTGACAGAAAGAGGCACGTGCACGAGTCCGTGCCCCCCACACTATAATCTATTAGATTTGGTTAATCTTTTGTACGTTTCTACTGCAAAATATACTCTTTTTGAATATTGACTTAATATTTTAAACCCGCCATGCCACCTACACGCCTTATACAGAATTAACACGTACTCAATAAATTCAACCTCGTTCAGAATCCTCCCTATCGTCATCGATTTACTACTTACAAACATTATCAATAGCGGCAAATGGAGAATATTACCCATATACGTACGCATTTTACCGAGTATTAGAATTTTATCTAATACCATATCGTATTATAAATTGAAAATCGCAAAGATATTCGAATATACGTAGTATAAATTAACGTACGTTAGAAGGTATACTACCCGGTTACTACTATATCGTTTATATTATAAATTATATATTAATTAGTATTATTATTAGTTTAATATACTATAGAAGCTATTTTCCTCGAAAGTAAACTATTTTCGTTATTCGATAGCGCCCCTATAAAAGCTTTTCTCTACGCGCTCGTACCAATGTATATAGCACTAAATAGAAATATTATTTCTAATGTATAGTTGCCCCGCATTTACTCGTAAATGAAGAAGTAATTTATTGATTAGTATATTAAAAATAATTTGTATATTAATATTTTTTTCGATCAATTAGAAGATTATTCCGGCCGTCGTATTATTAATATTTCTTTTACTATTTACAATAAATTAATTTTCTATTAGATTAAAATAGATTCTAATGGTATTAAATATATATCTACGAATTTAACTACTATTATTACCTGGGTAGTTATTTAATTTATCGAAGGAGTAATAATTAAAGTGAATAATTTTATTATTAATACGTATAATACCGCGCGGAAGGCTATATAATATTTTATACTTAATAACCGCTTTAAATACTCTTTTACTATATTATACAACTTATACTCGCTTTAATTATTAATAAAAGATTTATTAAACATACTAGTATTTAAAATAGTAATTTACGTAGTTAATTAGTTCGTTATATTCTTTTATATATCTAAATTGTAGCTCTCTCGCTTTTGCGCATATATAATCTTATATAATGGTAAGATCGTATCGATTTTAGCCTCGTGAGTCTGAATCTTTTTATTATTTTATTTATATAGTATCGTTAATTAAATTAGTGTGATTATTCGATAGAGATTATAATATAAATTAGTTAAGTCGATTTAGAGAATAAAAGTAGCATTATAAAGCTTTATTTAATTAGTATTATTTAACGGTTAGCACTTTAACAACCTTTATACGGATAATAACGAAGTTATTCCCGCTGTACGATTTTAGTAAATATTTAATATTATTAACGAGGGTAATTTTTAATATATTTTCAATAAATTAGAAACCTTTTTGGTACTACTTTATAAGGTTTAATTAAAGTTAGAAGTAAATAGGGTATACATTAGTTATATTATACTAAGGTAATTCGAAGTCTAGTAAACTTAAATATATTTATAATACTCTATCCCCGCTGATAATTAGTAGGATTTAGAACGTACGTATATCGTTAAATGAATTAAATAATTAATATTAATTAATTAGTTTAAGTACTTTTTATTACTAATTATTATTATAGTAGTATTTAATGCTATTACCCCTCCCATTCCCAATATATAGTACTAAATTATCGAGTACTTGCGTAAGTTCACGGGATGGTTAGGTAAGATAGATTAAAAGGTAATTGAATATTTCTTAAATTTCCGTATTCGTAAGGGACTGTATGCCTTGTACGCCGCCGTTTGGATTATAAACTTCACTCCTAAGTAATTCTAAGGGTATATATAAGACATAGTATAAATTAGATTAGTTATTATACTCTTCGCTATACGTATTTTTAATACTTTAATAAATAGTATGCCTTATAAGAGAGACTTCTCTACTATAAATTATTTCGAGAATTTAGCACGTAATAGGATATTAGCCGAGAAGATGGATATCGTAATATTTATCTATATAAACGGTAAACGACTTTATAAATTAAATTAAAATTGGGTATAATTAACTTACGATAACAGAGACGCGCTACTATTAGAGATGGAGGAGCGTTTATATATTAATATGTAGTATAAGGATTAAAGAGAGTAGGAGGTTGAAGAAGAAGGTATTTATTAGAGTAAATTGAGTATATTATAAAAAGCGATAAATAATTCGATTCTTAGTAAATCCGGTAGAAATACGTAAAAACCCTGATTTTTCAAGCAAAAAAGAGTAAAAAAGGGTAAAAGATAGAGGATTTAGTATCCTAAAAAGGGTGATTTTAGTATATTACCAATAAGTAAATTACGTATGGTCAGATAAGCCGTCACTAATCCCATTTTTTCTTTATAGTAATAGTTATTACCATACCTAACCAGTGACCAGTCTGACAGACCGCATCCCTAATTCAAATAGACAGCATATAATAGTATCGGTATCATTGATCACCAACCATTGTAACCACATCGTACTTAGAACTACAGTTCCTCTTACAAATAAACGCCCAATTGTTTTTTTCCCCACAAAAAAGGCCAAAACTCAACTTCATCACTCTGGGATTTCAACCTTTCAACAACAAGAAATAATTCATGCAACTCCTGTTTCTAATGCCCCAATAATAGTAATTCAACCCCAAAGCAATTTCATTTCATTTGCATTATTCGTAGTTGTACTATTAAAGTGCAAATTTGAAGTTGCGAAGGCAAAAAAGTTATAGTGGGCATATAGCGCATTTTAGTAGACTAAATTTTAAGCCCGTATCGTCGTTTGGGTTTGTAACCAAATGTTTTATACAATTAAGGCTATAACGAAAAACGGCCTTCTTAATTACCTTTAGCAAGTAAAGAATTATATGTATCTTTGTAATCTTATTGATATTACTAGTATTGATTAGTTTCTAACTATATGAAAGTAGTGAGTTTTGGCCTTTTTTGTAGTTAAAAAAGAATTGGGCGTTTTTTTATGTTACCCACTGTACGTATCGTGCCAAGCCAATCTTCTTCCCTCTTCCAAACTGTCACTTTCCTATCCGGGAAACAAAGCTATCACGTACAGGATCGTCGATATGTTGACACAAGGGCACGGTAACATCGCTCCAAGCCTTATTTTGACTGCGCCGCCGCCTCATTCCTTCGAAGTGCGGAGAACTTGGGAAAGGGAAGATAAACACAACCCAAGAAACCGCATTCATCACGACATTCCGGTTGATATGAAGCTACGTAGTCGCCACATGCGGTTACAGTTTCAATCCGATATATTGTACCAAGATTGTTACCTACTTCGCACAAAACGCATGCAGACTGGCTTGGCCGGAAGCGAGGATGGACACTATCGATCCTGATTGATGCGGTGCTGCAGCATAATCCTAAAAGGGACGAGATTTATAATAATAATAATAATAAAAAATAAAAAAAAGAGGGTTCTGACGAGAGACGGGGACCGGTTCGGCCCGCGGCGGAATGTGGAATCGAAGTTTTGGAAGAGGTTCGTCCCAAGTCTTGAGTATGTCAATAGAACCGATCTTAATGAGATGGTGGCTGACTACCTCTATCTACTTGAAATTACGCACGAGAAGGAGGTATTCGATTGCAAATACCCATTCCATGGTCAGCATTTCATACCCAGATTATATGAACCGGACCATGAAAGCTTCCTGGTGTTCTTACGCATCGGCTCTATTATAGAGGTATGTTGATCATCACGGGGATTTCTCATTCCAAAAGAGTTCCAGTCCGCTTCCGAACCCAAATCGAAATATTTGCATACGCATATCTCAGGATTCAGAACAGTGACACCTCCCCTTTTTGGATGGACACAAAGCTCCGAACGTTGATCCCCTCTTGGAGATCCGAATAGCTGCATACTACCTCCAGGGACTCCCAAACCGCAACTATCATGTTGGCTGGCTCTCTGATGGAACCCTTCGTGGACTATCACAGTCTCGGCGGCTCTTCACCGATACCGCTGAAGCTACTCAAGCTGGGCGGTAGATGATAGTCACTACCACCTCACACCTCACACCTGACTATCACTGCTTCATGATGAATATCCGATGATACCACAACATGATGTCGGGAAGTCACATACATCATGTCGCCAACTTTTGTTTCTACGTTCCAATACTCCAATGCTCCAGCGCACTGTGTCGTAACTCGTAACTATCGCCTCCGAACTCGCCCTTCACCCTCCACGGACCCAGAGTCCTGAACAGCGATCACGGATGCCCTGCTACGACATCGACATGCTTCTGACTTTCGTTAGACGCTACCTGCCTCTTTAGGTGATGAGAGTGTGAGCATCACAGCTCAAAGATCTCCGTTTGGAGCAGCGTTGAGTGGATGTTGAGGCAACTGCGACTGACTAGCCAGGCATGCTTGATCGGGAACAAGGAACGATACAAGTATGGGGGAGTGATCTTCGTGAGGGGTTGAGTCTGCGATGGCTAGTCGGCTACGGGAAGTGGGCGGAAGGGGTTTTTGGAGCAGTAATGAAGACTGCGTGCTCGGGTTGAGATTGTGTGTTTACTTGTGCTGATACATCACAGTGGAATGACTTGTAGTTGCATTGCAGGTCGTAATGGCCTCCTCACAAGACGCTTTGGTAAAATGGACAACAGGCTTTGATGGGCAACTGCGTTTAGATCATTCGGGTGTTTGGGTAAGATTGATCAGACATTGCTCAGGAGCTCGGATTGAGTGTCTGGTGTCAATGCCACCGGTCTGTGGTATCGACCAGACAACCGAAGATCTCGGGTTAGTTCCGTTTTCCCTACTTCACTTCTCCGAGAAACATAGGGTTGCATTTCACTTCCGATACTCTCACCACTTACCGCAACCAGCCAGGCCATTTTATAGGCATTCATTTGTTTGATGGCGAATTCTCAAGCTACCCGTTACATCCATCAAAATGCTCTTCGCCCATCTCTCTTCATCTACTCATGTCCTACCGTCTACACAACCACCAAATCACGTCCTAGAGAGACTAGAACTCAGAACATGAGTCAATCCAAAACCCCCTTCCTCTCGAGGAATTACGAGAAGGACCACGAAGAAGAGGACGAAACAGAAAATGATTCAACAACAGACGTCGATCTCGAAGACGCCCTCTCAACCACATCCCACAAAAGTCCACGCCCACATCGAAGGCCTTCGCCTTCCTTCCTCCGACGTGTTCTTTTCCGTCCCTGCCCAGATCTAATCCTCTACCTCTTCGCCCTCTGGGGATTCCTCTCCCTCGTTTTTCAACTAGCCCAACTCCTCTTGCCCATAACACCTATCTTCCCCTCTTACCATGTCCAAACAACAACGACAACAACATCAGGGGCAAGACCCGGCACATCCAGCACAACAAAAGACATAGACGTCTACCGCCCCTCCACCTTCCCCTCCCCCTCTTACGACCTTTGCTCCTGCGGTTCCTCACTCCGCGAAGCGGAGTCGCTACACTGCGTCTACGACACCATGGCAGCCGCCTGGCTCCCCCCTTACTGCCGCGACCCCGTACTAACCACAATCTTCGACCGGTCCGGTCCCGGCCAAGGCGGATCATGGTCTTACTATGCCGACAAAGACGGCAGCGTCCGTCTCAGTCCGCATCAAATCTCTCTTTTAGCAGACAAACCAAAAGGAGAAAACGTCTTCTGGGCAACAAGAGAATGGCATCTAGCCCATTGTCTGTTTTACTGGCAGAAGCTGGTGCGGATGAGGGATACAAATGCCATAATGGAGAGGAGGTTCGATGGGTGGCATCATGCCAGGCATTGTTATGGATTGTTGATGAGGAGGGATGCGCCGCCGAGGGAGATGTTGTTGGAGGTTGATGTTAGGTTGAGTAGTGGGTTTGAGGGTGGGCATGAGGGGGAGGGGGAGGGGGGAGGAGGGGGGGCATGAAGGGGGGCATGAAGGGGGGCATGAAGGGGAGCATGAAGGGGGGCATGAAGGTCATAAAGGGCATTGAGTTTTAGTTTGGATTGATGAAAGATTGTTTGGAGAAAGGAAAGTGATGCTAATACATTTGACTACAGGACTTATGTACAGTCGTAAAAGGTTTTGTATAGTTCGGTTGAACAAGGCGTGCCACCATCTTTCTCTAGTCCTTTACGTCCCCTCAAAGAATCAGGCAACCACATGCTTCTGATTTCACTATGCGTCAACTTCAGGTCCTCGCCTTCCTGGAACCCGCCCCATTTCTCTTTGTTATTTATCGGGTCACAACTTGGGCGCCAATCTCATCTCCAGCAGAAACTCCTGCGCTTTGAGTTGGCGAAACAGCGGTGCTCATGCCTTGAGTTTCTGAAGGATCTGGAACCTGTAGAAACACTGTCCCGCTTCAGTCTGGTTTCGTGAGATATTGATCAAGCCAGTACTCAGCACCACGGTGAAGAATCGCAAGTTGACCTCTTCATGATTCGCAAGAAACGAAAGCATGGCCTCAAGCTCGGAAGTGACCGTATCAAGAAAATTCGCCGAGCACTCCACGCGAAGGATCACGCCCCGCATGTGAGGAAGCACAGCCGGACGATCGCGGACAAAGTGCGGGAAGAGCGAAGGACCTTCGGTGAACTCGAAAACGGAGTTGAAGAAGAGGCGGGCTGCAAACTCGCGGGTGATGAACGGTGACATTTGCGAGAGCTGCAGGAGGTTGGTGTAGCGTGATGGGTGGATGTAGCGGCATATGCCTTTGACGCCCATTTCATCGCACAACGACTCCGACTCGGGCGATTCTGCTGAGGTTGGGGTTGGCACCTCATCCATGTCGTCCGCCAGCTTGGGATCCCAGCCTGACCGGTTGTCTGCGCTGTAGGTGAAGCCGCAACGGTTGTCACAGCATTTTTCGAGTATAGGGCCGATTACAAGGCGATACGGTTGGCGGGATGGTCGTCTTCTCCTATACCGGGGTGGGCTATGAGAGGACGATTGCTGCTGGTGATCTTCGTCCGACATGGACATTGACATCTCCATGTCCGAATCCGAGTCTTCGCCATACTCTTCCTCCTCCTCGTCTGCAGGGCCAGGCTCATACGGCTTGCCATACGACGCCTCAGGCCACTCGTCATACTTAATCATCTTGCTCGCAGGTAAATTCCATCCCGAAGGTTGATTTTCAGCTGGCACGGCGCCGTTGGTGATCGCCGCGAAGAGGTGCACAGGACTACCGGGATTCCGCACATACCAGGGCGTGAGCGTGTCCATGGTGCGTGTGATCAGGGGGTCTGACACGACGAGGTCGTCTAGATGGCGCTGTGGTCGCTCGTGGTTCCATTCCTTTTCGTTGATGCGGAAGTGAATTCCTCCTTTCAGTCCTTTCAGGGTCGGACTTGCTGCCCCTTGAGGGCGGGGTTTGCTGTAGACTCCTCCGTCGCGGCGGAAAGGGATGAAGAACTGGTCGTAGATGGCATGGCGCATCTCGAGAGGGAGGGCTAGGAGAAGGCATGTTTCCGGTTTCGTTTTTGGAGAGTCATCGTATATACTCATTTGCTCAACCAGGTGCTTGAGACTCCCATAGTCGTTGGTTTCATGCTCGGCTTGATAGGTGTGCCTTGAACGCTCGTTCTCAAACCGCTCGCGTACTTTGGTGGGGCAGAGAGGATCGAGGGTTTCCCAGTCAAGCGGGGTGATGGGCATGAAGTTGAAGGAACCGAAGCCTTGGGTGAAGTCTGTCCCATGATGTCCCTCGGCCTGGGGCGGGCTCGAGGTGACGGTAGAGTACGTGTCAGTCGCTTCCATGTTGTATTGTTCTGTGTGTCTGTGTCTGTGTCGCATGCAGAGAGGGTGATGGAGGTGGAAAGGCGACGATAGAAAAAGGGCTTGGTTCTGTAGTGGTAACGGAAGAGGAGAAACGGACACCAGGGCAGCCTAAAAATACTGGAAGGGAGTGCGGGTGAATAGGAAGTCCAGTGAAGGGAATTCGGGGCACGGACTTCCAACAGAGGGCCTGGGTTGTTGGTTCGGATGAGATGTGTAGATAAGGTTTGTGGAAGGAAGTAGAAGCTATTGCGGGGTTCCTCACCTCAGAGAAGGTTGAGGCATCTCGGCAGCCTGATCGGGTTCGCAAGCGAAAGCTGACTGCCTCAGCTTGCGACTGCTGCCTGAAGCTTTCACGCGCGAGTGACGAGGTTATTGTTGACACAGACAGGCTCTTCAGCGAGTAAAGGCTAAGTGTTTTTACCATCAGTAAGGCATCAGATGTCTCCCTGGGACCTTTTTGGTCATGAATGAGGTAACCAGTTAATTCAATCTCGTGGGCAACTTTGTATTGGACCGTACATTGCGACGATGACGTTGTTATAAAGAGATTAGAACAGCGAGAGAAAGCACAAGCCTATGATGCCTCACGGATTATAATCCTCTCCACCACTAGATCACTAAAAAGGAGACGAACAAGAAAAAGAAAACACACTAACAACGCCTGAACTCTTCAGCCTTCACACAATTTCGTATGTATAATACCCATTCCCTTCGCCCATTCCGAGTACAGGGTCGGGAGTCCCGTTTGCCTTGTTGTTCTGGGCTACCCGGGCAATAGCCTCAAAAAACTTCGAAAAATCAGGGAGGAATTCCTTACCGGGCTCTGTGAGATAACGATTCTCCAGAGTAGTATTCAACGGAGGGCCGTTAACATACGGGTCTTTCTTCAAGTAATTCATTCGCTCTTCCAGTCCATCCCCGATCTTTTCAGCAAACCATGAGTTGAAATTTCGGAACAGGCCTTGCTTCTTCCGCTTTCGGAAACTTCTTTCCCAGCGCAACTCATGATCCTTGCTTGAGGTAACAGATGCGTCTTCAGAATTGTTGTCCATCCCACCCTGAAAGCTTTCATCTGAAGCGTCGTCTCTACCGCTGTCGGATCCATCGTCATGACAGCTATTTTCAGAGTCATTGTCAGAAGAAACTCCATCATCGTATCTGGTAAAATATCCAGCCCTTCGAAGCTGCGTTTTGCAGGGAAGCAAGTGGACTGCTGTCTTAAGGAGGACCAATCCATGGAGCGTCGCAAGGTCATGTTTGTCGTAAGCTTGAATCTCGAATGGTGCAAAGTACGCATCTTTCATATCAGCCTTGGCGTCGTCGATGTCGTCCCATTTCACATCCACATCTTGGAGTATAAGCGTATCCAAGTTGCAGTTGTCCTCGAGTGCAAGATTGTACCTGCGATGTCGTTTGTCCTCAATAGTAATTCTAGCTCGAATTACAGGACTCCGGAGCCTGATGCTTCCCCCACAAGCAACAGGGCCAAATGGGCTTGTCCTTGCTTTTGGTGTTACTTTAGCTTCCAGAACCTCCGCCAAGACATCCAGCCATCCCAAGTCTTCACACATCGTTATTCCGGACGGCCCTATCGATTGACGCTCTTGAAGTGAAGCCCAAGACCATGAAGGGGCTATCTCCATATTTCTCTGACTGCATGACCCGCAATGCCACAAAAGCTCATGGATAAGGCGATATGACCACAGTCCGGCAAGATACGTTATACCACTCCATCTGCTGCTTAGATGCTCTGCAAGGCCTGAAATAGCCATAAGCCTGTCTGAAGGTTTGGTCAGAGACCTCCTAGAGTATGTGCTTATCAGCCGATTCCATGCCTTTTGCCGGTCTGAGTCGACTGGCTTGCCCTTGAGGAGGTTCTCCCAGCCAGGCCGGAATATGTTATATGGCACCTCATCCGTGGAATATTCATGTGAATCTGGGAAGGATTCACTCGCTTGACACGTTGAGCATTCCCAGTGTAGTTCATCTTGACCAAATACAAGGGTCCGCCGTGCCAGGAGTTGTTCCTGAAGTACCCATCCACGGGTGTAGAGAATGAGCTTCTTCTGAGCCCGAATGCCGGGATATTCGCTGGTATACTTTTTGGTTAAGTAAACGTTTTCTGCTACTCGTACTGACCAAGGTACTACCGAGAGCGGATATCGTCGGTTGAAGAGACCACCGTTGGAATCGAACGAGGCAGCAGCGGCCAGGTTGAGAAAAGAATTCCGGTAGATTTCTTGCATTTTGGCTGATTCCCGGATCCAATCCTTATCTCCCGGTGAGTCCTGGATGATGCAGAGGGAATCGATCCAAATGTAGGGAATCTCCAATTTTCGAGTCAGTTCGATGGCATCTCGAAACGTGTTTGGTAGCTCGCCAAGTTGAATGCCGTTCAAGAACCCAGCATAATTTTCTTCCAAAAGCCGAATCGGAACTCCCTTCTTTCCCCAGCAGTGACTGAGTGTCATGTATGGCTCTTTCGTACAACCATCTCGACTCGTTTCGCAAATCCTCACGTATGTCTCTCCAATGGTCCCCACTGCGACCAGCCGGGCAGGCCGTTTATCCTGCAAATTCGCTGTCTGAACTGGGTTACAGAGGGGGTGCGAGAGGCAGTTGTTGATCCATTTGAGCGCTTGATTCCAGCTTCCGTCGCTTGCCGTATTGAGGGAAGTTGGGAAACCACGGACTAGAAAAAGCGTGTGCGTAATTAGCTGATCATGTGTCTCACTGGTTGTCACTTGTAGTGTCGGTCTAGTAGTGTCATTAGCAGAAGCTTACCTCTACTACTATTCTCATCCCTGGCCTCAATTGCAAAACCAGCGAAGACCATTCGGCTCCCTACAATACTGACCTGCAGATGACCGCTACGGGGAAAGTCGTCATGCAAATATACATAAATTTTTAAGGCCGCATCCCCATGCCCATGTGCGTCGACACCCGAGTCTCTGCTCTCAAGACCAAGAAGATCTCCAAGAGAGGGGACATTACATTTCAGTCTTTCAGCCATGAAGGAATGACAAACATGGCAGCTTCCTTCAGCAGCTGATCTGAGAAAATCATTGACGCTGCAAAAGGGAAACCTTTTTTCCCATCTGCCACCCCCCACAAACGATTCGGCTATTTTCTTGAACGCCGCCGCACAACTCGCACACAAGCGGTCAAACGCAGCTTCGGGGACCCCTTCTGGTCCGATTTTAGCCATGCAATGTTCGATGTATGCTTCATACGATCTGAAATATGGTGGCAAAGCTGAAGGGCGTGGTGATTCTGAGTTCGGCTTGCTGATTTCCGGAAGGGCAGAGGGGTAATGGCTTGTCTCCGCCGAGTCCATAGCTGGCGTGGTCATCCAAAGATCAAGTTAAGAAACTCGGTGAAATCGCCCGCTCATGAAGGAGTTGTATCGAAGGGTGAGGAGGGGCATACCAGACCTTTTGTCGGAGAAAGAAGGCAGAGAGCAAAAACCTCAAGAGAATGAAGATTTGGGTTGACGAAGCGCAGCCCAAAGCAGGGCAACCAATAGAGGTAGCGGTAACCCCTCTTTCCTGCTGACCTCAGACAAGGCAGTCACGCAAAAGAACAGAACCATTTGGCGTTATCTAATTAGCCGATGATACCTTAACATTGCCGAACGATAGTAACTCGAAGTTGGAAAGTTTGAATCACACTGTATGATAAAAGAAGGAGGGAGGGGCGATTGAAACGGGAGGGAAAATCAACAAAGGAAATAAAAAAAAGACATACAACACCAGGGATTCGCTGGTCGTCACCGACCCAACTACTAGTCTGGCCCTCACTGGCTTATCTATGGGAGAGCGGACGGGATCCCGAGTTTTCCAGTGGGTATGGTCGTATGTGCCTTGTTAAGTAAGAGCAGAAGCTTATGAAAGCAGGTTGGGTATTGAGAACTATCATCAGAAAGCAATGAATAAGTAATTTAACTGAAAGGTACTTATCAAAACCCAACGAAATACAAAGACATAAACACAACCAACTCAGATATCCACCTAACTACGACCGGGCCTTGTAATAAGTGTATCACTTTGTAGCTTTGTATTGATTCTTCATCCTAGGGGTAATTATCTGCTTACTATCTCTACTTGGTATATCTGCTTCCCGTAACAATTCCATTTCGCTATCTTTTCTATACGCAACGCAACAACATTTCTGCTAGCAGCGTCGTCTACCAATACGATTCCTCTTCTTTTCTGGAGCCAACAAGATAAGATATCCATATCCGCTTTCCACACCCCAGGTACGTCTACCTAAAAAAAATTCTTTTGTTCGATGGTCCGAGTCCGAGTCCAAAATACTACTCGGAATCGGACCCGTAGTTGACAAGTCCACCGAGACCACCGCCACCGCCCTTGTTGCCTATGCTAGGCCTCTGCTGTTGCTGTTCCTCCTCCACACGCTGTCCTTGCCTTGGAACGTCAATGTCCATATTCACATCCATATGATGAGGCGCTTCAGTCTCCTGCTTGACCCTCTGCTGCTGCTGCTGGTGGTGTTGACCGCCTCCAAATCCTCCTCGGCCTCCATGTCCATGTCCCTGGCCGCCGCCGCCTCTACCGCCCCGCTGTTGGAAGTTGCCGCGACTACCTCTTCCACCACGGGATCCGCCACGGCCACGACCGCGTCCGCCACCACGCCCTCCGCGACCCCCGCTGTAGCCGGTGTTATCAACAGCATCACCCATGACTTCGTCTCCATCGCTATTAATTTCGCCGTCCTCCGCTGCCTCCCGGTTCGGATTCAAGATGACATCAAAGTCACCAGAAGCAGCTTGCTTAACAGCTGCTTCTAGCGCGGCCGTGTCCATCTCTCCTTCTTCAGCCTCAAGCCGGTTTGAGTCTTGATCGTCATCTTCCTGCTTGAACCGCACGTTCTTCCCTCCAGCTCCAGCTCCTCCTCTTCCACCTCTCCCTCCGCGGCCGCCTCTCCCCCCACGGCCACCGCGCTCCCACTTCCCTCCACCTCTTCCCCCACCTCGTTGATCCCGCTGATCCCGTCTGAAAGCAGCTTGTTGCGATCCGAATTGCTTCTTCCTCCCATTAGGATTGGAGGAAATTTCTTCCACTTCACCCTCATCAGACGACTCATCCGAATCAGAATCAGAGTCGCTTGCGTCAGAGTCAGACGATGAGCTGCTACTCGCCTCCTCCCCATCGCCCACCTTTTCGCTTTCGGATTTGACCACCTTAGGGGCACGCTCCTTCCTCCTCTTCGTATCCGCATACCCAAAATCCTCCGGCAATTCAACGCCCGGGGGCAGGGCGTAAACAGTCGGGAACTCAACTACCGTCCTACCGCGCAGAGCATGAGAGAGGTTCTTGGTCGCGCTCAAAGGGATCAACAATTTCCCACTTGGTTTCTCCTTGCCGGGTTGAGAAGCAGAAGCAGAGGGGGCCCAAGTTTTGTGCAAGAAGAAACGCCACCCCGCTAACAAGCGGGATTGGTCAACGATTTCCTCGTCGTCGGTTTTGGTGATCGAAGCAGAGCCGTCGCACGAGGTTTGCGACCAGGCACCGGTGAGGGAGTATTGCATGGTGTAGGGCGAGTCGGTGGACCAGGCGGAGGTGAGCGGGTTATGCGGGGGAGAGGAGAGGTAAGGGGAGGCGATGATTTCGGTGATTTTCTTGGATTTCGTTGGGGCGAAGCCAGATTCGAGTTTGCGGCGCTTGAGGGGACGGCCGTCGGCGTCTAGCTGGTCTTCGGCGGCGGCGTCGGAGGGATCGGGGAGGGTTTCGGCTTCTTGAGCTTGTCGAGAGAGGCGCCTGCGGTACCAGGCGAGGGTTTCGGCTAGGGCACGGTTGAGAGGCTTATTCTCGAGGGCTTTGTGGAGGATTCGGTGCGGTTGTTGTTGTTGGCCGGTCGTAGGGATACCGGGGACGTTGAAGAGAAGCCATTCAACCTGCCAGTTAACGCATTGGTGGTTTCGGTTCCACGAGGTCTCGTTTTCGCGCTGTCTGGTCATGCCCTTCGGCATGGACACGGCTTCGATGTTGAGCTTTCTGAGCCTCTGGCGTACTTGTCTGCTGAATCCAGATATCCATGCGCCTTCCTCCTGCATCTTGTGCTGTTTCCAACTCGGCGGTGGCAGCGCCCCGACGGGGACATGGCGCAACTCGTCGCCGTGCCACTCCTTGACAAAAGCCTTATCCTCGTTTTGGGGGTGTAATTCCTTATCGCTGAGGATCTTCCGCACTTCGACGATCTCTTGCTCGTTCCGTTTGCAGGCGCGCTCGATGGAGGAGATGAAGTTGTAGTCGTGGTCGATGCCGGCGGTGGTACGGAGACGGGTGGCGGGGACGAAGGCGGTAGCGTCGCGGACGCCAGAGCAGTCGGCTCTAATCTTGTGCTTCTGGGTGCATACCAGCGAGCATGTTCGGGCGAGACAGCGTGGGCATTTATATTTGGGAGGTTCAGCGTGGCAGATTCCGCAGAGGGTGCTGAGCACCGAGTCGGCCATGGTGACCAGAGATGGTTGTATCGAGAGGAGAATTGGTTTGTTGTACTAGACAATTAACAATGCCACAATACCAATGACCGTTGACCGAGATTAAAAGATGAGGAGACGGTAGGTATCGTTGATAAGAATTAAAGTTGGGTGACGATGTGGTAATAGATAGGAAGCTCAAGTTTGAAAGTCGAACCCAGCATTGACATATCGCAAAGCTCGATAACAGTCGCGGAGCTTATCGTGGCGGATTTTTTGGGCGGACACTTAGGCCCTTATCGATAACCGACCAGCAGGATAAGATAAGAATGCCTCAACCTGAGTGGTCAAAAGCTGCCCGGAAGTTTCCGCCTTTAGCTCCCGTCCCGCTGCGTGCTGTGGTCGGGTGCGGGAACCACTGGGGAAACAGAGGGTTGTTCCACTGGCATCATCCATCCAGTCACTGACTGAAATGGACCACGGGCCACCCATTGTTTCTCGATATTTTGGATCTTGAAAATCACGGAATTGTCTGTGATGACCATTTCCATTGTACGTACCATTGAGTGACGATTGTCTTGCCTCTAAACCCGAAAATGCCATCACACTACACTGAGACGACCACAACTCTCACATACCACTGGCTTGCATCTGAACCTCCCTGTTTGACGGGCGTAAAGCCTGATAGCCCCCAAGCCTTCTTATCAGCTGGTTTCAAAGCTATTCTAGAGGACAAACTTTCACCTCTAATCGAATCGGCTTCACACATCTCAAAATCTCGGAGTCTGGATTGCCTCATTGTGAGACTCGGGTCACCACTCACCAATTCCCCCGCACGAACGTGATGGATGAAAGGATGGTCGGCCTGGATGTCATCACTCATCACACTCCTGGCGGGACAAGCGAATGCAACCGCTTGTCCGAATGAGGACTAGCCAGGGGTATTCAATTTCAATCCTGGGAGGGTTGATCGGGTGTTTTCCGACAGTGTGGGCCGCGCAATCTGCATTTGAATTTCTTTTTTCTCTCAGGGCGACCGAAGAGGGGAACGGCATTCGGCCGATTATGCCGACCGATATGTGTTTTTGCGATGGTCTCGTTGTTGTCGTTGTTGGTGGTTTCTATCGACGGTTCCGAAAATTCCCCCTCCTCGGCCGTTTGTAATGGCGTCGATAACAACGGCATGCCGTACGCCATGCGGGCTGGAGGTGGTGTTGGTTGAATGCCTCTCCCGCTCTCCGTTCCTCCCGAGTGAGCATCCTCGGTATGGATGGATGTGTGGACAGGTCAACCAACTGCTGTCGTTGGGTATTCCGGGATATCAGGTGGGCGATATTGGAGGCTCTTGTTGATAAGTAAGTGTGGTTCAATATCAGACCCCTCACCTATAACAGCCGCCAGTATCACCACACTTGGCAGCGGTAGGCTGTTGAGAAATGTAACCCAAGTCTTGTCGGCTCTCTTTGGACCGAAAGAATAAGGGTTAACTGTGGTGGTGTTGCCGTGTCGCGATTGCAACTGTGATGACGAGCGGCAGCTAGCAGACTAAGAAGCAAAGCTGGAGGATACGGGATTCATGTCCGATACTCTACCTTATCCTATCAAACGCTATCTCTGTCGTCCATGCGAACAAACAGAGGCCCAACACATGTGTGTCGTTCGGGCCTTTGAGACGGCCGGCTGGACGGCGCGCATCATGGATGAGATTCCGGCGAGATCCACCACAGCCTGGAAGTTGTGGTAAAAGGACCAATTGTCCGACTCTCTTGTGGCTTGTTTCAGCCGAAGCTTATTTCACAGCTTCTCACATATCAGAAGCCTATGTGAGTTCACCGCTCCACGCCATGAAACAAGTGGCCGTATAAAATGGACTGTCGTGATACTGTAGGCGTGGTACAGGCTGAAGTCGATTTATCCTGCTGGAGGAGGGCCATCGTGGACAAGCATCGCCGGCTCTGCTTTGCATATCTTGGACGGACATATCGAAGAGAATGGAAACGATGTGCATAGCGATCCTCTCAGGGACCCGGCGCACTGGCCCAGCATGGGCAAAGCACCGATGGATTCTCGCGCCATGAGCTCGTGGGAATGGCCTCTGTGGTGGGACAATGGACTCGAATGGCCATGGGGGGAGTGACGATCACTACCTCTTTCAAATTGCAAACGACTCACTGGAAAAATTGTGCGAGAGTGAAGCGCCACTGCCTATCGGAAAACATGGCAACTCGGCGAGCTTTTGGTGGTTTTTTGCCTAGTCCAGAAATAGGCAGATCGTGGAGTCTTGATCCGACTGCACTGCAGCTTTCCACCGGATATGCCTTGAAACAAACGAAGGGGCATCGAAAGATGAAGGCGATGATGGGGAGGAAGAGGTTGTGGTCCAAGTCTCGGATACCTCCCTGGCCTCTGATAATGGTCTCTTTTACAAGTACAGGATACCCCGGCTGGAAGCTGGAATTGGTCCCGGACACCGGACAACACAAGAGGTCCAGATGATACCTACCCCTGACGGGCTCCCCTAAGAGGTGCAGGCACATGGCAGGCACACAGGCAGTGGTGCAGCAGTGGTGCAGCACCTCCAGCGAGCATGCCGCTTAGGTACACTAGCGTTGGATGGGCTCCTTCAGATTGTCCATTGAGGTGGCATTGGGGGGTCATTGGGGTGCCATTGGCCCTCCACCTTATTTCCCGGGCCCCGGTCTTTTTGCGTCTTTTGCTTCCAGTCGAAATCGCTTGTCTCCTCCATCTCCCAGAGTCCTGCAGCCCGGAGTGCATGCTGCAGGCCATGGAAGATGCAGCACGCAGTGTGTGTGTGCATGGACTGGCGTTTTGACATTGGCATTGCAGTGCAGTCCAAAATCAAACTGAAATCTCTTTATGTTGTTGATACATTCATCCGATCTCCTGGTGCTTCCATCCCGTCAAACAGAGACACTTGAGGTAATCTGCCAAAAAAAACAAGATGAAAGACGGGATGTGTGGTACAATACAGTAATACACCCGTTGTCGTCGTCGACACAAGCAACACCGAAAAGACAAGAGACAGAGAGGCAGACACAAACCAACAACCAACCCCTGTTGGCTCTAAAAGTCCTCTTGTGGGCCCCCCATATTGACCTCATTCCGTCTAGACTCTCAACAGAGAACTCCATCCGATCCAACCCAGTCCCCAACCCAGGTCCATCAGTGATCATTTCCTTTTTTCTTCGTCTCCACCCCCCTGCTCACTTGTCAGAGTGCTCGGTCCTTTGCACTTTCAGCTCACTCCCGATTGCGACTCTGCCGGCTTCCTTTTGTCTCTGGCGTCCCCATCCTTTCGCGTGCGTGGAAACCTACACCTGTCCACTCTCTCCGCTCCCAGCTTCAGGTCCGCCCTTCTTCGTTGAAAGGAGTCCCCTGGTAGCCTTGTTCGACTGCGCGACTGTGTTGTGCAGCTGGTGTCTTTTTCATCCAGACTCTCTCTGTTTGAATGTCTAGACACTAGTAGAGACAACCTCCCAGTCCCTCGGAGAAAGTCCCTAGGTTGCCTGTCCGCCCTCGTGTGTGTCTCGCCAACCTCCATCACTCACTGGTCCACCATCACCATCGCCGTCGCCGCCGTCGTCAATCTCTATTACCAGCACCCTCACTCTCGCTACCTTTTAGTACGGCAATCGGTCACTTTCTCTTCACTCACAAACGCTATCCAACACGGGACTACCTCGCAAAACCCACCACATACTCTCCTTTTCATCACCCAACTTGGCAAGTCCAGCGATCGGCAGGAGGAAACAAGGCAGTCCCCGCCGGTAGTGGCTGCCCACGTTATCGATCCGATCAACCAACTTCATCTCTTCGAACCGTCACATTCTAAACCACACGCCGTCGACCTGAACTCAGTCGTCCTTTGGGACAATAACCGACGCCATGCCTTCTTTAAATACACACGCCTCCTTCCACCGGCCACGGACCAGTGACCGTGATGCCCGTCCCGGCACCCGCGACCAAGCCGACGTCAATCCCGCCATCCCCAGCCGCAGCTCGTCCCTTCACTCTCGCATCACTCAACCAATGCCCAACTCACTCAATGGCAAGCCTCAGCAGCGCACCCCCAAGACCTTGACTCATGCCTACATGGTGTGTGGTGTCGGCCGTGAGCCTTCACAATGGGTCAAGGCTCCTGCTCCGGCCCAGGGCAAGATCGGCCATATGAAGGGTGCTGTTGGCCAATTCTGGCTTCCAGAGATCCTGGGAAGCAGTCCGAGGTTGGAACAGGATAATGAGATTGCTCGCGCTCTTCACAACGCCATGAGGGTAGGTTCATTTGATCAGTACCTCTTCAGCTTATTGTTTGCTAACCAATATTAAAAGGCTTGCTTCCCCCACGACGTCGAAATTTGCACTGGCCGAAGTCAACCACACTGCGTTCACCATGCCTTTGTTCTTCAGCAGGATTCCTCCCACACCTTGTACGGAATTTGCTTGCGTGTCTGGTCCCGCGCCGACGAGAAGAGAGCCGAGACGATTCGAGAGCTCAGGAGGAGGACCGAACCCGACTTTTTCGACAACCCGGATGAGCAGTACTGGATCCCTTACTGCTTGTCTTTCCTTTCTCGTTACCCGCTTTACAACCTGCTTGGCGACTACCTTCGCGGCATGTGGATTCACTGGAACAAGGCTACTAACCTGTTCCACGCTGAGGAGGTGTCACGCATTCTCAGCTTCCCTGCTCCTCGCCTGAACGACCTGGTCCGCATCGACATGAAGGATTACGCCCTGTGCTACCAGTTTCCCTCGTCGCCCACTGGCTTCCAGAACTTTGCCATGTGGCCGCTGTTCAACTGCTTGTCCATTCCCAACATTGTTGGTGTCATCGAGGCCGCTATTTCGCCGACTCGCCGCATCATCTTTGTCAGTCACTACCCGGCCATGTTGACGATGGCTGCTGAGACTGTTCGCTTTGCTGTGCGCGTTTATGAGTGGAGTGGTCTTTATGTCCCCATCGTTCATGCCCGCCATGCTACTCAGCTTGCTGAAGAGCCTGGTCCGTATATCCTGGGTATTACGGCCGAGTGTAGGTCGCTCTTCACGCCTCCCGCGGATGCTCTGGTTGTCGATCTCGACCGCAACTTTGTTCTCACTTCAAGCCCACCCACCGCCCTTTCCCCTAGTCAGCGCAATAAGTTTGTGACCCGTCTAACTCAAGCTCTCAACGGGGACGTCACGCCTTCTGGCGTTCCTCCCCACCTTCGCTCCGCTTATGGCGGTGGAAAGCTGATCCCCGCTGGTCAGATCATTGTCATGCGTGGAGAGGTCGAGTCAATCCAGGACCCTGACTGGTGGAACCAGGATGCCGTTATGTCTGTCATGGATCATGTGTGCGAGAAGATGGGCCGCAACACCGGCATCAAGGCCGTCTTTGGTGGTTCCGCTAAGAAACCTCTGATGACAAAGGTGTCTATGAGACACCTGAACGAGATTGTTCGTGAGCGAAACCAGTACTCGCGCGATGCGATGGAGGCTTGGCAGGATTTCATCAACCTTAAGGGGCGTATGGAGACGGAGCTCAGCAAGGTCACCAAGAGGAACAACTACCTTAACGATGAGTTGGAGAGCTGGAAGCAGCAGTTCCTCAAGTTCCAGACCTTTGCCGAGACCCTCACCAAGGAGACCCAGGACCTCAAGGCCAAGATCGAAAACTCGAAGCGCGAGAACCGGCGTCTGGGCAGCCTTATCGAGGAGCACAGGAGCGACTACAATCGCCTACAGATGCGCCTTCAGGGTACGGAGAAGCAGCGTGATGATGCCCTTGAAGCCCTTGTGCTTCAGCAAGAGATCGCCGAGGAGTTGGAGAGAGAGCGTAAGAGAAATAGGAAGGAGCTTACTGCCCTGCAACACACCAACAACACCATTACCCGGCAACGCGATGAGGCCCGTCGCGTGGTGCTTCACCTTCGCAGCCTGATTTCCGGCCAACACCATCACATGGAGCACATTGTCAAGACCATGACCTCCCCACAGGAGTTGGCTGCCGAGATTGAAGCTGGCTTTGTAGCAGCTGCACAGGAGGCGGAGGAAGCCACTGGTAAGCTATCAATTGTCTATCCAGATTATTTTGTAATGGATGCTAACCTGTATGTAGCTGGCGAGGAGCCCAACAACGAGAGGTTCATCAAGAACCTCACCCTGGCGAGCAAGCGCATCTCGTCGCAGACCTTTGTCGACGTGGCGGACCGTCATCTCAAGGACAAGACCGATGCTATCGCGCATATCATCCGTAACATCGCCGAACAGTGCCAAGCGGCGGTAGACGGACTCCAGCTGGCGCAAGACGCCGAACTCGGCACACACCACGAACCACTCTCGGCGAAAGGGGCCGGGATGTATTCAAAAAGCAGGAGAGGGAGTAATCTCTCAATCGCCCACAGCGATGACGGCGCCACCTCGGTCGCGACCACCGAGGCCGGCGACGACTCTTTTCTTCTCAACCCCGATAGGAGCGGACGGTCCAGCATCCCGCCCACACCGGATCTCATTCCCAACCGCAGCAGCACTAGCATGTCAATCGCTAGCACGGCGACGACCCCTGAGCGCACCTCCCAATACTATAGCCTGGGGCACCACGACATCCCCACAAGAATCCTCGAAGACGACGAGGATGAGCTCGCCGGCGAACGGAGCGAGAGTGAGAACCCCATCCCGCATGAGCCAAGCGTTCGCGTCGGCAAGCACGCCGAGTCCCTGATCCACCGTCCTTCGGGTGCGAGGATCAGCGCCCTGGGTAGCTCTCGTTAAGCGTACGAATTAGAAAGAGTGAAAGGACCGATCTATCTATCTATCTATCTAGGCTAGGAACTGGCAGTGCTATCTAGTTGTTGATCCGAGATTCTTTTTTGGAAATTTTTGGAAACACACACACAAGGGACATATTATGACGACGAATTAGGATAAGGGCGTGTTGTTTTGTAGTTGATCCAGAGATATCCCCATACTTCATGTCGATTTACTTTTTTATTTAACTCCTTTTCTTTTTTTATGTATCCAACCAACTCCGTTGTCTATACCACATCATCTACCACCCATCTGCCATCTCTTTTGTGTTTATGCAAATGCAAAAGCAGGAAATGTTGGATCAAAATGTGAGAGGAAGAGAGGGAAGAGAGTAGGGGGAGGAAGGAGGAGGGAAGAAGTGAAGGAGACAGAGGAAAAAGGAAGGAAAGGAAATGAAGGGGAGGGAAGGAGGAGAGGGAAAGGAAGGACATCTGGTCTCTTTTTTCGTTTCATGTCGTCACAGTCACACACACTCACGGTCGCCCACACACTCACACTTACATATGTTCTATGAATCCCACTGTGGCGTTGTTCCTTTTTTTGAAAGATACCAAGTTTTATTTTCCCTCAACAACCTGACCTGACCAAACTACGAACTCTTTGGTAATCCATCCATCCGTACCTCTCATCTTGCTCTTAGCTGCTCTCAAGCAGACAAAGCCGGCATTTTAGCATAGTATCACATAACATCAACTACTGCAAAGCGCAGCGTAATGTCCTGATACGACAGAGTCCCTAGCTCTATTCTCTTTCTTTAAGCCACGTTTTACGCTATCAGGTAGTCTAATTTCTAATACTGATTTGTGGAGAGATGATGACATCAACGATGCTTGTTTACTTACCACTCTGCCACTGTGCCATTGTGCCCGACATGGCAAAGGGACGGAAGAAAAGGGAGGGGGAAAAAAAAAAAGGAAAACAAAGAAGCCAACAGCCTATCGCTCTGCTGCCTTTATAAGGATAAGAACTACACAGAAAAGACACATACGACCATACCCACTGGAAAACTCGGGATCCCGTCCGCTCTCCTATAGATAAGCCAGTGAGGGCCAGACTAGTAGTTGGGTCGGTGACGACCAGCGAATCCCTGGTGTTGTATGTTTTTTTCTCTCTGTCTTTTTTTTTTTGCCCGCTTTTCATTTCCTCCTGGCTAATTGTTAGACCTAAGTAGTGCACTTGATCGTGTAGTCGGTTTGATAGGGGGTAATATGCCTACATATATACGTCTTTTTCAACAAGTCAGTTAGTTAGTTACTCATAGATGATCAAAGTGATTGGCTATAACGAACGGCAGTGCATCCTCGGAGGTAACAACGTAAATTACACCGACACCCAGACTTGACGTAAGTGGTGATGAGGGGAGTTCACCCGGCGAACAGAGGTGAAACAGTGTCAACGGAATACAGAGTGAGATATTCGATCGCTCGAGGCATAAGCAATCAAGTGCCTGTTTATCGTGACTTAACGAATAGCACGAAATGTTAGCATGTATGCGTGAGTGAGCGGTTTCAGATGATGTCAAGCAAGGTAAGACATTAATGTTCCTCAAAGAACCATCAGTTTGGTTGAGTTGGTGCAGCTAGATCGTGGTCTTTAGGTGGAAGCAGATATCAGTGACGAGCAATAAGGGGCAACAGAAGGCAGATAGGTTAGATGGAAAGATGTTCGATTTGAATACTCTAACAACCCTTTTTGGCTTTTTGATAACCCATAACACCAAACCATACTTGCAAAACCAAACCAGAACCAAGCAAGTAGAACCCGCAAACTCCGCAAACAATGTGGCAAAGCGAAATAATACCTGTAACCACAAGAATGGCCAGCAAGTAACTCGCTGGTTTTCTCTCCAGCCGGAAAAGAAATGACGTGATTAAATCCATGATTCCCTCACCAACCTATCTTTCCTCAAGAAAGATTGGTGAACAGAATCCAGGCCGCCCTCCTCCATGTTGAGCCACACACGCTATACCTCGCTTTTTTATCACTTTTGAAACAGCGATTTCTAATACGAAGTAGTAGGGGGTATCAACACGCCATGCCATGATCAAAGCATAACCTATCTCAAACTCAACTCATCGAGCGCATCTCTTCTTTCCCTCTTTACAGATACAAACTGTTGAAAGAAACAATGTCACGTCTGATCTTGGACAAGCTGAGCTCGAACTTGTCCTTGAGCTCTTCGCTGCCCATGACGCGGGCGGCCTCGGCCATTTGGCGGAGGAGCTCCTCGAGACGGCGGAAGAGACGGATGAGCGAGCCTTCGTAGACGTTGGTCATTTTGCTATCGGTAAAGTCAGTAACAGAGTCCTGCGAATTGAAAGGGAATTGAATTGAACATACCAAATCTCGGAGAACGGCCTTCCCTGAGCCCAAGCCAGGACAGTCTCCATGAGCTGCCACTTGAGACTCTGAACGTACTCGTCCTCATTGACATCCAGCTTACTTTCCGCGCTGACCTTGGCGATGATCCTGGCCTGAGCCTGGATTTCGCGGAAAGGCTTAGCCAGCTCCTCCTTGAGCGCCTGCGTCTCGATCTTTTCGTCAAAGATGAAGCAGCTGAGAATGCAAGCGCAGATCTCAGGGCTCAGCTCGTTGAAGAAGCGGTTGAAGAGCAACTCGGCAAGGAGAAGCTCATGACCCTCTGTCGAGGAGATCTCGCACGCGACACGGGCCTTCATCTGGACGACCTCGGCGTCGTTGATGAAGCCCAGTCTGCGAAGGACACGCTTGCGAGATTTGAGCTCGTCAAGCTGCGCAACGCTGTGGGCCTGGGCAATGGCCTTCTTCTTCTCCTTGATCTGCTCGCCAAGGCTCATCTTGAGGCTGTACTGGTTCCACAGTTCAACAAGGAGAGGAGAGTTGTGGAGAGGGTTGGCCACCAAACGCGACTCGAGGACCTCAATCTTGCGGAGCAGCTTCTTAAAGCTGTCGTCGTTGATGCCCATGTTCTCCATAGGATCCAAGATAGGGATGCCGTCAGGGAAGCGACGGCTGATCTCGTCAACGGCCTTACCCACCCCGTCCTTCTCGTCGGCGCTTTCGAGCCTCTTGGGCAAGAAAACACGCAGCTGACCAAGGGCCCTGAGACAGTTCAGAAGGCAGGGGACAACCTCCCACCTGGCATTCTTGCCATCCTTTCCTGCAGGCATGATGCCCTCAGGCATCGGCGTCTCCCCACGGGCCTTGGGGTTGAAATCGCCAGATACCTTCAACAAAACGTCCAAAACGTATGACTCTTGCTCTGGATAAGGTGGCTGACCGTTCTTCGGGTTTTGCCGTTGGGTATGTTTAATCAGAACACCCCAGCCATAGTCCACTCCACTTGGGCTCTTAATGTGAATGAGACGGCCCTCCTGGAAAAAGCCAGTACAGTTTTGGGGATGCTGAATGACATGCACCATATCCTTGTTGTACTCTTCCAGTTGTTGACGCACACCGTAATAATCCTTGACAATGCTCTCGTCCGGAATGATGATGGCGTCCCTCTCCTGTTGCAGGCTGATGAGCTCACGCTCGAGCTGCGGTACGCTCGCAGCGTTCTGGAATTGGAAGAAACACCTCTCCAGCATGTACTCGGGGGAAATAGCCTCGATACGGAGGAGGTTGAGGACCATGTTGTAGCCGAGATGGAAGGCAGAGTTGAGCTTGTCCTGATGTCCGACAACGATAGCTCTGGCCGTCTCGGGTTCGAGCTTGTCATCGACCATCATGATAACGATACCGCGGTCATCGAGACCACGACGACCGGCTCTGCCAGCCATTTGGATGTACTCGGAAGAAGTAAGAGGGCGGCGTTGCTGACCATCCCACTTGGTGACCTGGGTGAAGACAACGGTTCTGGCAGGCATGTTCAGACCGATGGAGAAGGTTTCGGTGGCGAAAAGGACCTTGATAAGACCCTCCTGGAACAGAATCTCGATGGTCTCCTTGAGGATGGGCAACAAGCCGGAGTGATGCACACCGATACCCTTGCGCAGAAGGGGAAGGATGTTGGCGATCTGGGGGAGGTTCTTGTCGTCCTCGGACAGCTGAGCAAGAGCATTTTCGAAAACCTTGTTAACCATGTTCTCCTCATCCGGGGCGTTGAACTTCATGCTGGAACTGGCCAAGGCCATCTGCTCGCACTCCCTCTTGCTGAAGTTGAAGACGATGACAGGTTGGAAGTTCCTTTTGAGAATCATCTTGATGATCTTTGCGATATCCGCCTTGTCATTAGCAGCCTCTCCGCCCTTGTTCGTCTTCTTGTTCTTGCCCTTGCCCTTTTGCTTGGCACTCCAGTCGTTGGGGTCGGCACCCTTCTTCTCTTCGATCATGGCCATTGCTTGGTTGAAGTTGTTCTCCTTGAAATTGCCCTTTTCGTCGACAATGAGGAGGATACCCTTGCCACCGGCGGGGAAGAAGTAGTTTTGCAAGGGCGTGGGACGGAAATCGGTGTAGACGACGTGACAGGCTTGACGATGGATCTTGGCGATCCATTCAGCGAACTGGAAGGCGTTGGGAATGGTGGCGGAGAGGAAGACGTATCTGACCTTGTCGGGAAGCAAGATGATGGTCTCTTCCCAGACAACACCTCTGATCTTGTCGCGCATGTAATGAATTTCATCAAAGACGACCCAGGCGACTTCGCGCATGATTTCGGAACCACGGTACAACATGGAGCGCAGAATTTCGGTGGTCATGACGAGACAGCTGGCTGTGGGATTAATGGTAACGTCACCAGTCATGAGGCCAACGTCGCCAAACTCGGCCTGGAAATCTCTGTACTTTTGGTTTGAAAGAGCCTTGATAGGACTCGTGTAGATGACCCTCTGGTTCTTCTTGAGGCACTGAGCGATGGCATATTCGGCAACGACCGTCTTACCAGCAGAGGTATGGGCGGAAACCAGGACACTCTCTTCGCGCTCAATAGAGGCGACGGACAGGGCCTGGAAGGGATCGAGCTTGAAGGAGTATGTTCGGGCGGGCTCGGCGGGGGGCTTGTGTTCAGACAGGGGGATATACTCGTAGTCCAAATCGGGGGGCAGGGCGACCTGATGCTGAATGTTGTGGGAGATGACGATGGACTCGCCCTCGGTGGGCGCGAAACCCTGGGCGCCGGTGACCTCTCGGGACTCTGCCGTCTGGAAGGCATCGGTCATGATGGGCTCGGCCTCGTCCGTCTTCTTCCTGCGCTTGCTGTCGCCCTGGCCATGGGGGCTCTGAGGCGACTGAACATCGTCGGCAGCGGCAGCGGCATCGCCGTTGGAGGTCGTGGGCTGGTCGGTGCTGATGTTGTTGTTGTTGTTGTCTTCTTGCGGCGCGGGGGCGGCTTGGGCTTGCAGGTGAGTGACGGCGGCGGCATTTGCGGTGGCAGCGGCAGCTCCATCGGTCATTTCGACATCGGGAGAGGCCTTGCGCTTCTTCTGGGCGCGAGGCTGCTCCTCGAAAACCTCAAAGAGGTCATCCATCTTGACGGGTGTTGCAGATGTCCCCAATCAGATGATGTGGTATTGGCCGATAAATAGGAAATGCGAAAGGGTGAGAGATAGAGTGCAGCTCCGAGCACCTAGGCTTCCTGAGCCTTGGGACTGTGGGCTGAAAAAAGAAAGTGGCGTACGTAGACGGCCGGGAAGGTTGTTGGATGAAGGGGGGTTGATGGATTGCAGAACCCAAGAACCAACGACCCTACGAAAGATGGAACGACAGACGGGACGCCGATAAACGTTATCGCTAACGAAGAAAAAAAGTTGAAGGCAAGGAACCGGGAGTGGCAGAATTATCTGCGGGTCTCCACAGGCGGTCAGGCCAATCGATCGCTCGATCCGGATGACATTGAATCGATCAGCTCTGCGTATGCATCTAGAAGAGCTTCTCCAATTTCTTCTAGATGCATATAAGACCGTCACCTCAACAGACTCCGCCAATCCGAGGTATCGGAGCTCGACGGTGGGCCCCTCCGCCAAAAACCTGGAATTCTCGGGAGGTGTGGGGTGCCACGTCCGTCTCCCAGGCCCGCCACGGGAGCGGCCACTGGAGCGCTATAACTCCCGCGGACACCGCCCAAGCTAGTGGCCCCGGCCCCGGTCTTTCCTTTCTCTTAACTTCCATTCTCTTTCATCTGATCGAGCAACGCGTCGGTTTTCCTCTTTTTTCCTTTCTCGGACTCCGTATCTTGATCTTGGTGGAATACACAAACCGAACACACAAGTCAACATGGCCGCCAAGCTCGCTCTCAAGCTTTCCAACCGGTCGCCGAGGCAGCCCATCAAGAAGCTCCCGGCTTCCATTGAGCTCCCCGCCGATGCCACGGTGGAGGACGCGAAGCAGGCCGTTGCCCGCCAGTCCGGTATCGACGACTTCAACCGCATTGGTCTCTTCGACCCCGAGACCAAGAAGATTCTCAAGAACCGCAAGGCTCTTGTCCGCGATGAGGCCGGTGTTGTCAAGGCCGGCGAGCTCGTCGTCAAGGACCTTGGTACGTCATGATTTCTCAAAGCATGTGAAAGTTCCCAAACTAACACAACCCACCACAACACAGGCCCCCAGATCGCCTGGCGCACCGTCTTCGTGATCGAGTACTTCGGCCCCATCCTCTTCCACGTCCTCGTCCCTCTGCTCCGCCCCTACATCTACAGCTTCGGCTCGTGGGCCTACAAGAACGAGACCGAGACGCCCATGTCCAAGGTCCAGTGGCTCCTGTTCGCCCTCTTCAACCTCCACTTCCTCAAGCGCGAGTACGAGACCTTGTTCGTCCACAAGTTCTCGGCCAACACCATGCCCGCCTTCAACATCTTCCGCAACTCTGCCTTCTACTGGCTCCTCGCCGGCCTCATGTGCTCCCTCGACATCTACCGCCCCGGTTCTTCCTCCGACCGCAACGAGCTTGTTCTTCTTGACTACTTCGGCATTGGCCTCTTCGCCGTCTGCGAGGTCTGCAACTGGATCGTCCACCAGCATTTGGCCAGCCTCCGCAAGCCCGGCGGCACTGAGCGTGGTATCCCCAACACCATTGGTAGCAACCTGGTTACCAGCCCCAACTACATGTTCGAGGTCCTTGCTTGGGTTGGTGTCATCTTGATCAGCCGCAGCTTTGCTGTTGTCATCTTCATTGCTACCGGTACTTTCTACATGCGCAGCTGGTCCCGCGGCAAGGAGAGGGCTCTTCGCAAGGAGTTCGGTGACCGCTACAAGGCCAAGCGCTACACCATGCTTCCCGGTCTTATCTAAGCTAGGCTTGTTATAAGGGTTTGGCTTAGGTGCAAGCCTGGAGTGTGTCGCGCATAGTCTTTTCAGCTTAGGGCTGGTGGTTTGATGCAAGCATTCTTGTACACTCAGTGTATGACAATCGAGAACGGTGGTAGTGGTCATTCTATGAGATGCCATTCCTATCCAACCTCGTGTGTTATAGAGTGTTAGATAAAAACTGGTGATAGAAATGTGTAATGAGATGAACGAGTTTTATGAACTCGAATGGCATATTATCCAGCTTGTTGGTATCTCAAATCATTACGTCGTGACATCGTTAAGCAGATCTTTCCATATCCAACCAGCCAAAGAGAGGGAACTCATACCGCCGCAGGTGTCAAGTTCGGGAACTGAATGCCGCCACCGAATCCCGGTGATTGAGGCAAAGGCACCATCGAGGGTTCCGGTATCGTGTCATCGACTGCCTTTCCTTTCCCCTTGTCAAGTCTCGTATGTCTCTCTTGGACATCATCTTCAGTAGTCATGACCACATCCCCTTCCGCATCTCTTTCTACATCTTTTTCTTCTCTTTTATCATCATTCAAGTTCTCTACCTCAGCGGCCCCTTCTCCCTCAACACTCTTACTTCCACTGCCCCCAACTATCCCACTCCCCTCGTGTCGTTCACCCTCCTGCTGATCTCTGTCCCTTCTACTTTCCTCACCTTCCTTGCCGTTCTTTACTTTACTCTCACCATCTCCAACCCCCTCACTATCCTTTCCGTCGTCCCCTTCCCCTTCCCCTTCCCCTTCCCCGCCCTCGTCCCCCTCCCGTCCACCCTCCCCAACCCCGACCCCAACCCCAACCTCAGACCCGCTCCATAAACTCCCACTACCACTCCAGCTCCCACTATAACTCCCACTCCCCTCACTATAGTCACGGTAAAAATCCCCATTAGCACGCCTAATAGTCTCCTCAACCCTCAAAAACCCCCTCTCCAAGACCTCGGCCCAATTCTGCACATCCCCCACCTCTTTTAGCCGTTTCGTTCCCTCCCGCGCCAGCTTTTCCAGTTTATCATTCTCCTTTTTGAATGCTTCAACGGCTTTGGACATCTCCCGCTCTTGTTTGAGAATGGCGTTGTGGTTTTGATGCAACAAAGAGGCGCGACCCGTGAGTTCGCGGTCTAAAAGGTTGGAGATGGAGGCGAGGACGGCGGTGCGGGCTTGGGCTGTGGGGAGGGGGCCTGGGTTTGGGCCTGGGACCGTTGGGGTGTGAGGTGTGTGAGGGGTGTGAGGAGGTTGTTGAACGCCGGGGCGGGAGGTTTGGGACTGGGACCGAGAAGCAGGCGGGAAAGCAGGAGCGGCTCTCCTGGCGTTGGTAGTAGTAGTAGTAGTAGTCGTACTCGTCGAAGCCCCAGAAGTAGATGACCCCGTCGTTGCCGTCCTCGAAGATAACCCCGACGTTGACCCCGCCAGCGGCGGCACCGGTACCGCTTGGCCTGTATATGCCTGAGCATGAACATTCGGAACCGGAATAAGTGGTTGCGGCGCCGTTGAAACCGACGACACAGTGGGGGCGGTTGATCTCTTTGACGAAGAAGAGCCGGCGAAGAAGGGAAGGGGAAACCCTGAAGAAGATGCGCGTCCGGTTGTGGTTGTGGTTGTGGTTGTTGTTGAACCGGTTGTTGACGGTGCGGCTGTTACTGATCCCGGACCTGGACCTGGACCCCGCCGGTGTTCCGTGTCATGGTGGTAATCGGGGCCGTCGATGTCAATGTCGCCGGGGACGGATACCATGGCCGCAGTGACATTGGTGTTGGTCACTGAGGCTGGGGCCGGAGCGGACCGGGCTGGCTGGAGGAAGCCGGGGCGGGATGGTCGAGACATTTTGGATTTTTCTTCGTTGCTCGTCACTTATTGTGTTGGTGAGTGGGTGTAAGTGATAGCGATCAGGTATAGGTGGACCGAGTAAGTGAATCCAGATCGAGTGTAAAAAGAGACTCAATGAATCAAGCTCTCATCCAGCATCGATGACACCAGCCGCTGAATTGAGTAAATGCTGAATAGGTAGAAGCAGAAGTAACTAGGCGCAAGTTTGACACCTGCCGCCATCCAGCGTGATAATGCTTCTACATGTGTGTATGTAGTACGGGAGTCTTTTATATCAAATGCAGAAGGGTGGAGACGACCATTTATACGACTGGTGAGAAACCGAGCAAGACACAAAAGAGGCACAGCACAAATGTAACGCGGGGTATCTTCCGGGGAGTTAAGCTTACCGTTGCCGGGGATGGCCTGTTCTGAATTGGCTGTTCTAGATTAATGCACGTCATTCGTTGGTTTTTGGCTTTGCAATTGGGACAGTGTGTAATCTGAGGAGAGGTTTGTTTGTTGACATCCCCCTTTTTGTGACGAGGCCGGCAGACTGCACCAGGCAACTCACCTTAACCCGGTTTTATAATTCTCTCTGCATAAGTGATGAAGACTTCGATATGGGAGTAGACTTGATTTGATTGTACACATTATAGATTTGTGCTATACCTAAACTTTTCCTCTCTCTTGCAAATGCCAGTCTCGTGTTCACCTTTACTCGCCGCCGCGCCTCCCTTTACCATGCAACCTGTATTTGCTCGATTCCAGTCCCGTCCGTCCCAACCGCCTGCCCACCAATGCTCCCTTCTTCCAATCTTGTTCAGGAAAATAAGAACGCCTAGATGCTGTGTGTAGATAGACATAGTGTAGGAAATGAGACCAAGAAAAAAGGAACGGCTTGTCTTTTGAAAGACCTAGACTCTGACCACCTGCTGCTGTACCAAGAAAACATTGTAGCCTCATGTGTGAGAGAGATATCGCATCCAACCAACCGCTGAACCCGCAGCTTGGGGAAGCTCTCCTAATAACTGTATATAAGAAAATCCTGGTGCATTGTGTGCGTGCTTGTTTCTGATGAATACACGGGCCCTCGCCTAGAAGCCCACCTTCCCACTATTCATTCGGAAGGGAAGCGGCGTTAGTGACCCCGGACCCGGACTACCTCTAAGTGCCGAGTTCGGGGTCATAGCACTCTCCCCGGATAGCGTTGTGCCAATCGAGTTCAGACTTGCTGTTGACGTCGATTGCATGGTTCCGCTTCGGCTTCCCATACCTGGGCCTCCCATTTGAATGAGCGTCTCAGCCCTCTCGAACAATCCACCATTGAACGCTGCCGAAAAAGAGCCATTTTTGGGCGTCGATGGTACCGTGGCCTGAACAGCTGGACCAAGAGCCGCGCTCTGTGGCGTCATGGGCATCGGTACTGGTGTGTTGGTGCCATGCGTACTGTAAGGGCTCGATGTATCCTCAACTCCTTCCATTCCCGGACCTCCCATTCTCCCTCTCATTCTGCCCCTTCCATGCCCGCCACTACTAGGTTGCGGTTTTAGGAAATGGGACCACGGTGAGTGTACCATGAACTCCCAAGCATCTTTCATAGCCTTCTGAATGGGCCGCATTCTAGATTTGGCATCGACTGGCAACTGGATATCGGTTTGAAACTGCATAGTTTTCTTACCCAAGACATACCAGGCGTCGATGTAGTCGTTGCACATCCTCCAGAACCCCGGCTGCCCACGGATCCCCGGCTCTTTCAGCTTGATATTCGACAGCCTCTCCTTCAATATCTCCGTATGACGAATCGAATCGTTGCACTTCACAATCAGTGCCTTCCAACAATGCACCACATGGTCGGACGCTCGTTGCGTGGTGGCATTCCGTAAAGCTACGCTGAATTGCGCGCTAAGATTCGGCAAAACTTTGAGGGCGAGTTCGGCAGACTTCATCAAAGCCAGGAAAATCTTTTCGAATATCCGATCCTCCTCGTCAATAGACATCCGCAGACCACCCGCACTGACCGGGAAAGGCTCTCCAGACCGAGGCGTTACAGCACTCATAACTTGTCGGTGCATGCCGTTGTTGTACGGCATCAGTGGTACATCCGTCGCGACACGAAGGTTGGCGTGGGGATGCATAGGCCCAGGGTTCCGTAGTCTCGCGGTCTGTGGTGGACGGTCGATCGTGGGAGTAACTGAGTTGTCTCGCGAATGCGGTCGAATGGTCTCGAGGTCTGGCCGATGGGGGACGGGCGGCACATTGCGCGAAGGCATTCCGGGAGATGGCTGAGAGCATGTAACACGCAGCTCCATAATGCTATTATAGAGCTGCGTCAACAGAGTGCGAAGATACCTGGGGTCACCGTTATCGAGAAACAAATCAACATTATTGACCAGCAGGGAGCACACATGGCTGTATGCTTGCACAAGCGTAATGCATGCCCTCTGCACGTTCTCGTTCTCTCTTGGTCCCGTACCATCTCCCGCTTGGTCGTGCTTTTGAATTTCCAATTCCAATTGCTCCACATGAGCATTGGTATTGTAAAAGACAATCTCAAGGCTCGAACGCTTGCTGCTGCCGTCATTTGCAAGGCCCATCAACATCTGGATCATGGGGTGAATCTGGAAGATGGAATAGAGGATGCCCTTAGCAGCCTCCAGTACCGGATCAATAAACTTTGATTCACGCCTTCTTTCGGGTAGGATCGATAGTCGTCGGACATAGATAGGGCGTTGCAAGGATATCGAATCAGCTGGGCTGGATGGTGCTGGGCTCTGACCAGGCATACTGCCGTTACCAGGCTGCATGGCGGAACCGTGACTGAGGCCACGATAATGGATGCTAAATCGATCCTTGGCCTCCAACTCGTCAAGAGTGCCAAGTTCAGAACCCTTTCTGGAGACAACACCCATACGGCGGGACCTGCTCTCGGATCGCTCGCGGCTCGAATGGTGTGCGCCCGTTGTTTCCGAGTTACTGCGTATTCGTTCGTTAGGATTGCCAATGGTGAGTGGCATGACGCCAGGTCGTCGCTGGGCTGAACTCTGCTGGGAGAGACCGCGATAATGGGATCGACTTGGGATAGGTGGAGGACGGGACAAGTTCGGCGACCTAAGATCCGGAACGTCTGTGCCGTTGACCTTTATGGGGAATCGTCCACTGAATACGCGCTTGATGGTCGGTCGTGGTGTCTCGATACCGTCAGTTTCGTCGTTGGGTGATTCGGCTTGTTCTCGTTCCAGTATGATGTTGGCCTGTGCCTTTAGGTACTTCTTAACGTGCGCCGTAACCGTGATTTCGGTCAATTCGCTTTCCTTCAAGATACCCTCGTTCTGTACGCTTGGCGGCGGCACCTGGAAGACTTCTGGTGGTGGGAAGACTAGGGGATTGCCTTCTAGTTTGATGACGGAGAGCGATGGCATATCGGCCAGACATAGTGGCAGTTCGGAGACCTCATTTTTCTGTATCGAGAAGACCTTGAGTGATGATAGTTTCACAATGTCTGGTGGAAGGACGCGGAGCATATTTCGCCCTAGATCTAGGATCTCTAGTGATTTGAGGTCGCAAAGCTGTATACGATCCGGTCAGCGACGGCCCTTTTGGTGGAAGGATGATATATAACCTTACCGCGAGCGGAAACTCCTTTATCCTATTCGACCTGACATTGAGGTAACGAAGCGAGGTACACTCGGAGAATCGGGCAGGGAACGTCTGGATGTAGTTGTGTGACAGCGCAAGCCTGTTGGGTCGCAGAGGAACAGATTAGCCCATGGACCGACCAGCAGGTAATTCCGAGATGTCGTAGTACCTCTCCAACTCATCCTTAATTATATCGACCACCTCGTCTGGCAGCTTCTGTATCCTCTTTCTACTCAGGTCGATGGTAAGACCGGGTTTGAGGGTGCTGATACCCTCTGTCGCCTTTGCTTCGTTCTCATGAGCAACGCGCATGGACTCGCGCACTAGGGCGATGACTTGGTTGGAAGATAGCGGCGTCGAGGCCGATAGGGACGAATTCGATGCATCGCGACGGGGTGGGTGCGGCGGCAGGTTCCCATGGGCATGAGCGGCGCCAACAGGTGGCATTCGCCGGGCCAGCCCCGGGTTATCAGGCCGACCGCGCGGGCGATCCATCGGGGCGTGTTGTCTATTATCGGTCTCTCTTATTTCTTGGAGAAGTGGTTGGGGACGGCGCGCGTTATGGTATGTTGACAGAGGTTCCCGTTGCGGAACTTGGACAGGGAGTCGGGGTCGATGACGGGGGAAACTCGTGTGTCTTTGGGATGATGGAAAATCGACGGGTCGTTCGACGGGTTGGACCGGGGCGAAACAGGCTGGTGGTGCTAGATGGGATCGAAGCGAAATCTCATGGCAGAACTGATCGGCCTTCTAGTCTAGTCTTCTAGGGCGGGCGGTGACAGTTCGAGAAGGACCAATCCCAGCGACGCGGCGGTGAAAGGGAAGGAAGCGAGCGGCCTCTTCATGCGTTGTTGACTTGAGGAGGTGGGTTGTTGATATGATGAGCTGGAGCAGCCGAGGAGATGGGCGAGAGAGATACTCGAAAGGGAACGGTCGGGCGGGCCGTTCTCTTTTAGTTCTGAAGTCGTGCCCGCGTGTCTCTCTTTCTATCTCTGTCTTGGTCCCAAGTCTCAAATCTCGGAGGAGATGTACGATATGGTGTAGCTTCAGAGTTTAGACTGGACCTCCAAAATTTCCCTTTGTTAGAGAAAGAGGGTCAGCCGGGTCGGGTAGCAAAACGTTACGACGCCCAAGTCTCCAAGATAGGGGTTAGCGCGTCTTTGGTAGCAAGGAGTGGTACCTCTAGTCGTAACCACAATGCTGGGGACTCGGGGGTTGCATGGCATCAGGGCAGCATCCACGGGGGCATCCAGTTGAGAGCATGGCACAGGGAAGCGATCATGGAAATCCAGCAGGGTAGACAGGGGCAGGGTGGCCTTGAAAAAGAACGAAAGGAAGAACGAAAGAAGCGAAGAAGGGGGAAGGGAATCCACTTTCCTCCGTAGGAATATTCCAGGGAAGGCCAGAAAGGTCGTGAATTGTAGCACCTGATGGACACCTGAGGAGAGAAGTCCAGTATCCAGCGCCAGTTTCAGGTTGTCAGTTTGTCAACAATGCCCGACAATGGGAAAGATCAGAAAATGATGCACAGACGCACATACAAAAATAACAAGACCCCGCTTTTCCCCTTCCCGCCCATTCATCCCGTCTTGACGGGTTGCCCAGCCAAACAGTCCAGTCTCATGAAGCACAGCAAAGGCACTGTGTCTTGTGCCTGCATTTTGGGGTCGGAACGGGGGTGTGCATCCAAGACCGCGGGTTCGTGCGGCACAGCTCTGTGTGTGTGTGTCTAACAATTTAGCGCGCCGCACCAAGCACACCCTGACTGCAAGGGACAACTCCCTAGAGGTATCGATTGATTTGATACTGTGACGCCCACCACGATAGCACAACATCAAAGCGAGGAATATCGAGATGAACTGCTTCAACCCATGGGGTTCATTGGGTAGACGATCGGCCGTGGTACATAGCCGGCAACTATTCTACTCGAACTACATCGAAGCGCGGCACTCAACAACCAAAAACCAACAACCATACAACATCAAACCACCCTATCCAGATGAAACGAAGCGCCGGTAACAGAATTGATCGAAACCGGAGCCTCCGTTTTTTTTTTGTATGTGGATTGGTAGTATCTCATTACCGCCCCATGGCACACTAACATCCCCGACCGAGATCACTGCAATATCTGTTAGATCTTATTACTTTACTTGAACTTGGCATCCATGTGCCACCTATACCTTATCCATTCAACGGCTCAACCACTTTTTCATCACCTCAAGTCTAGCCGAGATCCGATCGTGAATTATCTGAAGCCATCGCGGCCTTGGCAAAGTCGCATTTACATGGAGTTCCCACGTTGAATGTTTATGCTTTCTTGTTCCTACCTATCAATGTACATTATTCGTACGAGTGTAATACTCACGCTCACACCAACACTCAATGATTCCATGCCGTGCACTCACCCTTTTCCGAGAACGCCATCGTGACACCCGCCGGGACTGTGTGAGCAAACATGAAGTAGTGAAGTCGTTCAAACAAATAGGGACACTAAATGCAGAAGCATTCAATTCGATATCACAACCTAGGATGGCATGAATTTGACAGCTACTACACAGCCCCAACATCCAAGTAGTGATCGACAATACACCCACCCAAACACCCACCCACCCATCTGTCAACAGGAAGATCAACTGAACACCAAACGTTCTTTTCAGCCTCAAGTGGAAGCCTTCGTATAAACTTTCTGTTTCCATATCTGTACCTCAGCTCCGACGTTTTGTTCCAGTGGTGGCTTGTTTGTCCTACGGGATACAAGACATGGAAAAAACACCAGAAGCATGAAAAAAGTATCGCGGTTCATAAGACATTGCTAACCTCGAATGGAAAGGTAGCCGTGGAATTGTCTGTGGGCGAAACATCACCACCAATGCACATATATATATGACTGGCAGAGTGAAGAGGCATAGCCATCCACGTATCATTCAACTTCGCTATAGAAGGCCGTCTCGACCGAGCATCATCATCACCATCGAGTACGGTAACACGCGAAGTGGTAGCAAAAGTAAGTGTACTAAACCCAACTCAACACACAAAACGCCATCTAATGCGCCCATCCACACCTCCTATATCCATTCTTCATTCTTCCTCGTCCTTATCAATTTCTCGTAGGAAAATGATGCGCTGAATGCCAGAAACAAAAACCCAACATGAAACTAAAATACAATTCGTAAAGAAAGAGCCTGATTTGATACCCTAACCCCGCTACCCATTAGAATGGTGTTGTTGTGTGATGTGACATTTATGCTTTTTGTTGTTTGCCCGACTCCCCAAAATTGATGAGAAAAAGCCAGGCTTTTGTTTGTTCATGATTGATTTATAAGAACAAGTTATGTCCTGTCCCGCACCTTTACTTACACTCGCTCACTCGCCCACCCACCCACTCACTTCTGGGCTCCTCACGCGGGCACAGGCGGCGGCGGGGCCGGTCCCGGGCCACTGTCACCCGGGGGCGGTACATCGCCAGGTAGGGGTGGTAGGGGGAGACCCGGCTCCAAGGTGTCGCTGGGCTTGGGGACGGACATGGGCCCTGGCGGCACCGAGATGCGATCCTTCAACTTCTCTCCCCGAATCACCCTCTCGACCTCCTTCTTGTCGAGCGTCTCGTACTCCACGAGCGCCTTGGCCAAGAAGTCAAGTTCCTTCCTTTTGTTGGTGAGCAGGTTACGCGCACGCTCGTAGGACTCGTCCAGAACTCTCTTCACCTCGGACTCGACCATCGCCCTGGTCTCGGAGCTGAGCTGGTTGTACTTGCGGAGATACTCAACGGGGCCGAGCTTCTCAGACATGCCGAGTTGAGCAACCATCTGCCAGGCGGTTCTGGTGGCCATGTCAAGATCCTATATGCTGTGTTAGTTAACCAGTTAAATAAAGTAGAGAAGTGGGGGGAAAACGTACAGCGCTAACACCGCTAGTCACAAGCTCGTTACCATAGACAATCTCCTCGGCGACCTTGCCGCCCATGGCACGGTCAATCATGCCCAAGTAATCCCTGACGGTGTACGAGTGCTTGTCCATCTCGGGGAGGTAGGCAGTGTGGCCAAGAGTCTGACCACGTGGGAGAATGGTGACCTTGTAAAGCGAGCTTGCGCTGTCCTTGGCGTAATATCCGACGAGGGCGTGGCCAGCCTCATGATAGGCAGTCATCTCTTTTTCCTTGGCTGTGATAACCATACTACGCTTCTCAGCACCCATGATGACCTTGTCCTTTGCCCATTCGAAATCCTTTTGAGTAACAGCCTGAGCCTTCAACTTGCTGGCGTGAATAGCAGCCTGGTTGACAATGTTCTCCAGCTCGGCACCAGAAAGACCAGAAGTCCTGGAAGCAATGGCCTCCAGGTTGACATCGGCAGCAGCCTTGATGCGCTTGGCGTGATGCTCGAGAATGGCCATGCGGCCGCGGACATCGGGAAGAGAGACCATAACATTGCGATCGAAGCGGCCGGGACGGGTAAGCGCCTTATCAAGAGACTCGGGGAAGTTGGTAGCGCCAATGATGATCACACCACTGTTTTGCTCGAAACCGTCCAACTCGGTAAGAAGCTGGTTGAGAGTCTGACGTACGTAGGTAGCGTCCCTAGAGTTACGCCTGCCACCAATGGCGTCAAGTTCGTCGATGAAAACAATTGAGGGAGCCTTGGCCTTGGCGGCAGCAAAGAGATCACGAACACGCTTTGCGCCAACGCCGACGTAGACCTCTTCGAATTCAGAACCGGACATGTTGAAGAAGGGCACGCCAGCTTCGCCAGCGACAGCACGAGCCAGAAGAGTTTTACCAGTACCGGGGGGTCCAACGAGCAACACGCCCTTGGGGAGCTTGCCACCAAGAGTCGAGTACTTCTCGGGGTTGCGCAAGAAGTCAATGAGTTCCTGAAGCTCTTCCTTGGCCTCGTCGCAACCGTGGACATCAGCGAAGCGAGCCTTCTGGTTCTCGGGCTTGACCTCGTTGGCCTCGAGCTTGCCACCGGGGCGCTTGATGCTGCTCAAGCCCTCGAAGACCATGGTGATGACGACCATGCTGAGATACGTGAAGAGAGTGAACCACATGAGAAACTTGACCCATCTGAGAGCAGCGCTTCCGAAACTTTCATCCACCACGATATGCAGAGGACCAGTCTTGGCACCAGCAGCGATCGGCTTAACCATGGCCATGTTTCCACCAGTGTGCTGAGCAGCAGCGGCGGTACCAGCGGCATGGATCTGGCTAGCGGTGAAACCGGAGGGGTGATAGACGGTGTTATCGGCGGCGTTGTTCGCAGGCGTGAAGGGTTGACCGGTAGACATGGCAAGGGCTTGCTGGTAGATCTGGTCTACCTGCTCGTTAGTAGCGAAGCGTCCAGACTGATATCTCTCGATAATGATAGCAGGCATGTTCGCCTTCAAAAGAGCCTGGTAGAAAGCGTACTGAGCACCGGCGCTGGTTGGGAACTGGTTGGCAGCGGCCTCGCGAGCAGCCAGGAGGTTGTGCGAAAGACCACCGTTTCCAAAGTTGCGGACCTGGAGAGTGAAACCGAGAGGAGAGTGTACTGGCGAGCGGAAAGACGGAATGCGACCGGACTGGTGGGTGCTCATGGACCGGAGGGTATTGACAGTGCCCAGGGGCCTCGACATGAGCGCCGAGAACGAGCGCCGAAAGAGGGGGTTCGCCATGGCGAGCTGGCGGGAAGACATGCCTGAGATTTCCGAGAAAATGTTTGTAGGCGCAGCATTTGCTAGACCCCGAGGGAAAACGGTCTGGGGTAGAGGCGCAGTTCTCAGGAAGTCGGGCAGCGCCGAGGAGCTTGAAGCTTCGCGCGCGGGGGAACTAGCAAGCTTGCGAGAGGCGATCGAGGATGCTGTCGAGCTGTGAGAGTCGAGGGATGTTTGGGAATGTTGTTGCGCCTTGAGGGATGTCGGTAACCTGAAGGGAGCAGTCAGGGTTGTCGCGATGGATGGCCACAACTCTGTGGTTGCCGCCGCGATGGTCTAGCAGGCGCCGAGGGGTCAGCTTCAAGTGAACGCTAACTACATAAAGACCTGATGGCGCAAGACTTACCGGCAGCCCACTTGCGTGGAAAGCCATGGTGGTTTGTTTGCACCCACTCTCTCTGTTTGCGACAGATGCGAAGGAGCGGATATCTCACAATGACCGAGTGTTGGTTGTGGAAGTGACAGTGTCAGTAGTGCCAGTCAGTGGCAGACTGCAGTGATGCAACTGAACGGAACTGCCACTTGGACGCGGCGGAGGACGGAACTGTTGAGCAAGTGGCTTGATTAGCTGATCATTGGCCACAGTTGCCGCCTATATATATGATGCCGTCTTGACAGGTGGCAACCTTTTTCTGTAGCACAGAGTCAGTCGCTGTCAGTTCTTGCCACTTTGGACATCTAGCCTTCCGCACTGCTACACTAAAAGCTCGGTGCGCATATTGCTCCACAACGTTACGTAGTTCTTAGTTACCTAGGGAGCAATTATGCACTAACAGATGTGCCGATAGCGGAGTCTTTACACGTGACTTGGCGTTTTATACGAAGAGTCTCGTCGCGTCACGCACTCGGTCTGTTTTGTTCGCTTCACCATCGAGAGGCTTATGGAGTTCATGAGAAACAATTCATACACATTTTGGGTTCAAACATAGCCTAACTTGAATACAAATACAACATTACTTCCCAACCAACTCAACTCTCATACCTACCTCTTTTACTAATTTTCAGAAGTGAGAAGAAGCCAAGATGAATCGCTCTATAGAACAGGCGCTCTTATCACTCTTACCAACCCACAGCACCACTCTTCCCCAACCACTCACCGACCTCGCCAGCTCACTCCTCGCCCAATCCCGCCATCGTGCAAGCACACTCAAAGCCGAAGAGGAGATTGCACGCACTTATGCCTGTGCCCACCTCGCATGTGACAGGTACGAACGATACTTCATCTCATCTCAACTCATCCCTTCACATCCCATCTCAGCCTTACTTCACCTTCCATTACTTACATGTCATTCAAATGTCTGTGACTACAAACCAACACTAACACATCCTCACAGACTCAAAATAACCCTCAACCTCCCCCCCATCGACCCCCGCCCGCCCATCCCTCCCCGCATCTACAAACGTCTCTACTCCCACCTCTCCAACATCCTCCCCTCCACCTCTTCGATCCCTGGCCGCGGCAGTGGAACCCCCAGAAAATCAGAACCGACCGCCACCACCCCACGCAGCCAACGGACCATCAAAACCCCTACCTCCCGACTTCGCGACCAAGCCAATCGCGATGACCTCACCGCTTCCCCCTCAGCAGGACGGAGCGTGAGGAGTACCCGATCAGCTGCCACTGGGACTGGCAGGACGGCGACTCCCGGCACTGCGGGGAAAGGAAAAGAAAAATCCCTTCATCAGTTCCGCGGGACCTTGTTCCCTCGCAAAGATGGTGCTTCGGGGAGTGAGGGAGGGGGATTACCAGGCTGGATGAAACCCACCCTCCGATTCCTACTCAAAGAACTAGGTCCCTCGCACATCGGGCCGGTGGTGATGTCAGGCGTTGAATCCATCGTTGCCCCGCGCGGTCAGCGGACAGAGGACGAATGGGTTAATGCGAACTTGGTCTCGCTATTGGGAGCCCTGTACCTGTTTGTCTGGCGCGGAGTCACCTGGCCTGGGTCGGATATTGACGAGGGTGAGTACGTGGCTATGAGAAAGAAAGTGGCGGCGGCGTTGAAGAAGGCGAGGGAGAATGTGAAGGTGGCGGTTAAGGTTGGGGAGGAGGAACAGGAGGAGGAAAAGGTGTGGGAGGGGTGGGTGGGGGATGGTGTGAGGCTGAGGGATTTGGATATGGCTACGTTGCATATTGGGAGGGAAGGGTGGTTGGAGATGGATTGGGCTGCTGGTGTTGAGGATTTGGCGAGGACGGTTCTGGAGAGGGAGGATTATGATGAGGGGGCAGAGGATGGGCAGGTTGGCGCAAATAAGGTTGAACTTGTCCGCATTGGTCAGGGGGATAGCATGTTCCAGGACCGGTATGATTACCTGGGTGAACGCAAGCAGAGGGAGTATGCGATTTGGAAGCAGGGGATTCTCAGGAAGATCAAGGCGTTGGAGAATCCTTCCGCCAGCACGACCGCGACACCTCGGAAGAGGAAAGTGCCCGAGGCCAACATGGACATTGACGAGGACGAATGAGAAGGCCACAGCTTTGTCACAAAATTTACACCCAGGTTCGTATCCCAAATCTTCTTTAACTATTTCACTCTACCAACCCAACATCTCTTACGCACCATGCTCCTTCAAACTCTTAACCGTATCAACCACCATCTGCTCCACGCTAATAAAGTCAATCTTCAACAGCTCATTCGTCGCCTTATTATCGATCTTGAACCGCTGATCAGCCGGCGGCAGCTCGCCGCTCTTAAGCGCCTCTCCCTCAGGCAACTTATCCCCATACTCCGGGAAATTCTTGCGCACATTCTCCGCAATCTCGCTATTGCTGAACGTACCAGCGGTCGTAAACAGTCTCTTACCACCCGCCTCCGGCACCTCCAACCCAGCACGAATATGCGCCTTAGCAACATCGCGCACGTCAATCCAGATAGTGGCCGGGCCCGTAGAAGCGACACCCTCCTTCCACTTACCCTGCAACAAATCAACGATGCGCTCGTTGCTGGTGTTGATGCTGCTCAGGCTGGCGAGGTGGTGGACGACGGGGCCGAAGACCATGGGCGGGTTGATGGTGGCCAGGTCGAACTTGACATTATTAGCGGGATCCTTAACAAAATCCCAGGCGGCCTTCTCGGCGAGTGTCTTGGAGGCGCGGTAGGCGGTAGCGGGGCTGCGGTGGATGTCGTCGATGGTGACGGGGTTCCACGAGGCTTCGCTGAAGGTGTGGTTGGGATCCGTGATCTTGTCTTCGTCCATGATGGCGGCGAAGGAGGAGGTGATGACGACGCGGCGGACGGTGGGCGCCGAGCGTGCGAGGGCTTTGAGGATGCCGGTTGTGCCGTTGACGGCGGGGTCGATGAGCTCGGTTTTGGGGTCCTCTTTGGGGCGGTTGTTAGCAAATCCTCTCCACACAGCTCGTTGAGTAGGGATAGGCAGGGGATTACTTACGGAACTTGAAGTGGAAAGGCGAAGCAGTGTGCAAGACCACCTCAAGACCAGGCTCCTTCACGACCTCGTCGAAAGCATCAAGCTTGGCGATATCGGGAACAATGACGACCTTGAGCTCGCCGCTGCTGGCCTTGTCGGGATAAGCCTCGCGGATCTGTTGCGCCTTGTCCTCGGACCGGACGGTGGTGACAACGGTGTGGCCCTTGGCGAGCAGCTGCTCGAGGACGTGGGCTGTTCATTGAAGTCGTTAGCGTCCATCCATTGCTCTTGTATGTCCCAACTTCTGTATGTTCGTCCATGGTGTATTCCTCCTCTTGCGGTTGGTCCATATACGGCCGATGGCGTACACATCTGTCTCTAGTTTGAAAGTATGACTGTTCGCACATACCAGCAATGAAGCCCGAGCCACCTGTAAAAGACACCAAGATCATTCCGTCAGCAATCCACAATTCATCCACACAAAGATTGTCTTCAACGGGAGAGAGAGAAGAAGAGAAACTCACCAGTCAACAGAACCTTGGTCATTTTGTCTGATTTCGCTAAGAGATAAAAAAACACGGTTTAGGGTATCACGAGGTAGTACAAAGATGAAAAAGAACACGGATTGATGTAGTGAATGAAGGTGATGAAGGAAGAGAGAGACAGCAAAACTACAACGACGATCCCCCCCCTCTGCCGGGTCCTCGTGTCTCTTATATACAAACCCGAGCTCCCCGCAGTCCCGCCGTCCGCACTCCGATCTCTCCCAATACCTACCCGTCAACCCCCACCCCACGTAGAATTTTCCCCCAATCTCCATTCCATCCCCATCCTATCCTATCCCGATTCGATCCCCATTTCCTTTCATCCCCCGCGATTTCGAACTTTCCCGGGCGGATGATGTGAACTGTACTACATAGAGGTAGCCCCGCCATACTCCCTTCCCAAGCAATTGCTAAGCCCGCCCGTGGCTCGCCTAAGCAATGTGGAGTCATCAAGCTTACTTAGCGTGGGGAAAACGTCATTGATGCCCCTGTTTGGCGATGCGCTCGCTACTTTTTGCACCGAGGCTTGTACGGCGGGCGATAAAACAGGTGATGAGATATGTTAATCTGCTAATTACTAACGCCGTTTCTTTTGTAACCCGGTTTGACAACTATGATAAGGTTTGATTGGAATTTTGACATTGGATTTGACTTGAGAGATGCCAATTCGTATTACTGCCCATCGGTGATAAGGTGACTGAATCGGGCCGTTGAGGGTGTGCTTACAAACCAGCCATCGCGAGTCATCTCCTGCTCAATGTACGCCCATTTCATTTCTATGCTGGTAGGAATTCCTCAAAGCTAATGCCTATAGTGTATGAAGTGTACGACTTTGATGTAATCCCACCACTTTTTCCATTCATTGCCTCGAATGACCCTGTTCCCATCCTTGTTTTCAAGATGATCGGTCATAAATCCCCAGTAAAACCCAAATTCAATAACGATGATATTTACGCTTCTTGTATTCCTCCTATGTCCTATTGCGCTGATGATTCATGCCATGCCTACCAAGCCAAAAATCTGTGTCTATGTAGGTAGGTAACCCCAACACATACATCCACCATAACCCCTTACTCGGTAGTGTCCATAGCATCTCCGCCCGTCGCCGCTTCCGCACCAGCAATATCACCAGCAGCAGGCGTCACTCCCTCGACCTTACCGCGGATCTCAGCCCTCCTTTCCTCCATCCACTTCTCAATCTTAGCCTTCAGTTCCGTCTCCGGAACGACATCATCAATAGTCATGGGCTGTCTCGTGAACGGGTCCTTCGGGTCGCTGAGCAAGTGCTGCACGATAGTCGAGCGATCGACAACGTGCTTGCTGGGCAGGATCACTGGGTCCTTCATCAAGTCGCCCATGATGGGGTCTTCGAACTCGGAGGGTGCGTCGCCAAAGTCGAGGTCAGCCTGGTCGACAATGGCCTTGGCCTCTTCGAAGCATTTGCACAACACCTCCCACGCGTGCATATCGGCAGGATCCTTGAGTGCCTTCGAGCGAAGAATGTTGGTAGCAGCCGCCATGGTCTCAGGCTTGTAGGATCTGCCGTCTGCGGCAACGGCCTCGACAAAGGCAGGCGAGGACCCCAAGTTCAGGTAGATATCCACAAGCTGCGGTAGCAGAGTCTTGGGGTTGAATCCATACTTGTCAGGGTTCTCAACCTTCAACGTCCGGCTCTTAGGACCGGTGAGGAGGTCAAGGTTGAAATCGAGCATACCGGCCAAGCGGTTGACGATTTCAGGCATGGTGAAGGAATCAGCCAGGGTTTGAGTGAAGAGCTTCATCATGCCGACTGTCTCATTCGCAAGCTGCATGTAGGAACTGGCCTTATTTTCCGCGTCGTGCAAGTCGCTCTCGATCTTTTCGCGGTCCTCTTGCGAAAGGTTAGGGTCCCTAAGCTGTTGCTGGAAGTCATGAATCTTGGGGAAGTTGCCCAATGCTTCATCTAGAACGTAGGTTGCATCGTTCATGAGAAGGTTGACAAAACGAACGAAGAAGTCGCGGTCCACCCTGGCTCGAATTAGTCAAATACATCAAGGTTCGCAGGATACAGCATATACTTACCTGCTGGACTCTGTCAACTGCTTCTTGTAATGATCATTGGACCAAACGCACTTGATAACCTGGAAGATCTCATAACGTATGTTGAACTTTTCGTAGAACGCAGAGCTGGTGCCGTTGGACTCGCACTCAATATAGTACTTCATCAAAGCATGTAGCAGGTAGTCATTTGCGAACTTAGTACCGGTAAGGATGTCGCCAAGAATGCCCTTCTTGAGATGGTATGCCGGCCAGGTCCCATGATAAAGGAGGGTAACCAACGACGATTTCAAGTACGGGTTCTTGATGTACTCGGATGACTCCAAAAACGTTATGCATAGAGCAACGACCTCGTCACCAATAGCCGAGACCATAACCTCTGGCCTATGGCGGAAGGTGAACTTCAAGTTATCAACAATTACCTGCAAGACATACTCGGGAAGACACCTGAAAGCCTCTGGCTGGGTTGCAGGCAGCGGAAGGCTGATTTTCTTCCATGGGATGTAGTCGGACTGACTGGCTACTCGCAGCAGCCAGACAATGGTGTACTTCATGAACTGTAGTGACCGCGTCTGCATCGTCTTGTCGGTCATGATGCCTTCGATGGCAAATTTGGTCGACATGGCTCCTTCCAAGGCCTTAATGTGTCTCTTCAGCGCCGCCTCCAGCATAGGGACCCGTTCCGGACGATTGGCGATCAGGTTGGGTCTCTCGGCCTCCATGAGTACCAAATCCTTTTCGATACGTTTGATTTGCTTGTCAAGGTGGTTGACCTTGTTTTGAGTGGCTTCGGTGCCATACTGATGTGCCGCCAAAGCGAGGAAGAAGACCTCTGTAATAAAGTTGTTCTCCCCTTTGAGCTTTGTAGAGTAAAACGCGTCCGAGTGCTCCTGGTCAGCGTTGAGCTTGGTCTCATCCTTGATGTCCAGTCTAGGATTCCGCCTGAAGTAGTCGACCTGAATACGGTCAATCTTCGTAAAGGAGTTATCCATGAAGGGCTTGCATAGATTGTCGAGGACGACGGTGACATTGACCATGAATCCGTCTGTAGAAACCGTCTTGGGGTCGACGTAAGTGGCTGTGCGCTTGTGGTTGACATTCAAGATGTAGGCGAACCAGTTCAGCAGCTTGTTTCTCGAGCTAATACTTGCTCGTATGAAAGCATTAGTTATCGTCGTCAAGTGTTCCTGATGGGCAGCCGAGGTCATTTGTAATGACTGTTGGGTTGTGCCAATTCGGCCCTTGTCAAGAGTCCTCGGTGAGGCAAAGTCGTAGCTGGCCGCCTCTGGGTGTAAGGGCGACAAACGGAAGAAAGGACCGAGCAGCGTGAACCGTTCAATGTTGGGGGCTGATTGCGCCATGAGGAAAGTAGGGTGTTCTGCCAAAGCGTTCAAGAGAGCCGGATATCTCGAGTATGTGAAGAGGGCCTGCGAGGTTCCAACGTCAATACCCAGCCCGATTCGTTCAGGTTGCCTGAAAAACTCACCTGGACGTGTGGCTGGTAATCCCCATTCATGTTTTTGGTAGACAGCGCTGTGCTGATTTCCACCATGGCCTTTGTGAAGAGAGGCACAATGCTATCGTCGTCCTCGATCCGCGTCATGGCCTCGTTGTAGAACTCGATGTCAAGGCCGTCTTCCTTCGCAACGCCCTCCAAGATGTAGGGTACCAGGGTGTCGTGCTTTGGGTTCGGTTCTCGGCTTTTCAAGTTCGAATCATGTCAGTTAGAGCAAAGTGTACAAGGGGCATGGGAGATAAATACCCAAACATCTCGGGCATGGTAATGGCGAAGATGCAGTTGGAGAAGCACAAGCGCTTGGCCTCCTTGAGTGCCTCTTCCTTCTCGGGAGTCGGCGCCCTCAAGATCCTGAACTTGGTTACCCGCTTCCAGCATGCCAGGAAGTATTCGAACAGGGGCTTGTGCGGAGGATAGACGCTTCCGGCCTCCATAACAGCCTCCTGAAATCTGTCTATCGACAGCATGGGCTCCTGACCCTCGTTCCGGATTTCTTGGCTGAGTTCTGGCAGATAGGTCAAGTTATGCCCACTGCTATCGAAGGTCTGGCTCGGATCGAGAGAAACGCGAAGGATGCTGGTGAGTAGCTTGTCGGTCCATTCCTCGAACGTCGGTTCCCTGTATTGCTTTCGCGGTGCTGGTGGGCATGGAATATCATCAATATTTGAAAGGGATCTTTCTCTCTTTCGGGAAGCGGAACTACCTGGTGGTGGCTCTGGCACATCTCGTGAGGCCGGTTTGATTATCGACCTGGGCTGAACTCGCGGTGTCTTGTCTGCGATCTTTGACGAACTCGCCGCCGCCGCCGCAGCAGCGGGAGAGGGTTCTGCCCTCCCCGGGTTCGGCTCGGCTGTGCCAGGTTGAGGCGTCAAGGAGGAGGACGCAGCTGGCGATGTAGCAGAAGCGGTACTGGGGCCACCGAGCTTAGCCAGTCGTCGGGCACGGATCTGCTCCATCGTCTCTTTATCAGGCGCGTCCGGCGTGGCCGCCGGCTGTTGCTGATTCGGATCCATCTCGTCGTCGTTGGGCGAAGAGGAAAGGGATTAATGGTATATGGATATCGTGATTAAGCTGATGGAGAGGGCGTAAGAGAGGCAGGGCTCAGGCTGGTGGTGACGAGGCAAAGCTGGATACGATGGGATGTTGAGGCGAAGGACGAGGAGAATGGAGGATTGCCAGAAGCTGGAGGTTGTCTTTGGTTTCAGGTTGTCGAAGTTGGTACTTCGCCCTCGAGGTAGCTGCGATAGTATGTGATAGCGCGGTTGCCGACGTTGGGTAGGAATAAGGGAATTACTCTAGCAGACTCTAGCGGAAAGCCCTCGGATAGTGATCGGGAGGAAGTAGCGATTCTTGTGCACCTCTGCCCTGACAAGATTACGTTGATGTCTGTGAACGTGACGTGGTGCCTGCCTGCCCCGAAGACTGCTGCATAGAGTTCCTGCAGTTCTAGATTGGATGGCGGATGGCGGGGTTCATCCACTGCAGGTGCCATGGGCACCGGATGGCGGGAACAGTCGGACAGTAAACTCCTACTTCTAGGCAACTTTAATACCAGAAACGAACTGAATGACATGGAAATGCTTACGAATTCTTTCCCGGGGCTTCTGATAAAAGAAATTGCCGAGAAATTCCAACGTTTACATGTAAGCGATTTAGGAGTGAAGTGTCTTTGAAGTATCGTTCCCTTTTCCTCCGATGTAAATACAGAACACTTAACGCCGATATGACCGTCTTTCTTACACTTTACCACTCCTCAAGAGGTGTGATCCTTTCTTGACCTACATGAGCAAGACAACTGCTGGGAGCCAAGTCAAGCATTATTTTGGATATCTTCAAGCCTCTTTCTTCCATTTTGAGGTGTCATAGGTGTCATGTCACAAGGCAAGCAATTATGCTTGAAGTTCGTAAAGTATATCTTGCTCCGAGTTCGAACTCCTAGGAAGAAGATAGACGAATACCATGATCTTTGAGCCCTTCCCTCCGTTTCCATTGATCCCTTCAAAGGTACAAAATCATGGCGTGAAAATTCGATTTTGTTTTGTACAATATCCTCAGGCCTACAGACCATGGCCCGATGTGCAACAAGACTACCTCTTTGTGCTTTCCGATCCATCCCAAACGCCAAATCCAAAGTATATGCATACACGTTGTTCTCCCTCAGACCATTATAGTATATATCCGTAATTAGCAAAAGCGTATGACCCCAGTGACCGTCCCCGGGAGTAACCCCAAACATGCATCACAGTCGAGGTGGATTCTCACCTCTCCCGACACTATTCCTCCTCAACGGCGGGATATCACTGGTATTGAGATACCTCCCTCTCGCACCCTCTCCATCACGATTCCTATTATCCTGCTGCGTCTGTGTCGCCGTCCTTGACGAGCCAGAGCCACCAGCCGCCGTCGTAGTCGTCCTGCCTCTTCCTTCTTCGTTATTACCAGCGGTACCGCCACTGCCACCACCACTACCACCACCACCAGCACCAGAAATATTTGATCTCGCATTACCGGGCGTCGACCCAGCACCACTCTGCTGTCCGCGACTTTGCCTCTGCATACTCATCAACCAGGTAGTATGCATCCCCAATACTCCTACTTTACTCCCAAGCTCGGCAATCTGCTCGTTCATCCTCATCGTGTCGTTGACCAGTCGCATTGTGTGTCTCCCGTCCAGCTCCACCATCATCTTCCGCAGATCCTCGATCCTGGCCTCCATGGCCTCGAATTGGGAGAGCATGTAATCCTCTGGTGACTCCCACGGCCCGCTGCCATTGTTTTGTGTCCATGGGGCAGGGGGTGCATCCGCCGCCATAGCTGCCGCTGTCGCGCGCGGGCTACTGTAGTTGCTGTCATCGTGATGGTTGTTTTCTTGGTCGAAGGTTTCGAAGAGATCATCCAGCGTGATGTTTTGATTGGCCTCGTCCACGTCTGCATAGCCTGATGTGGCCGGCTGCATACGGTTCAAGTTGTTGAGGGCATTGGCGGTTAGGCCTGATGATGGTGGTGCTGCTCTGGTGAATGCAGATGACTCCCGTACCCCACTGCTGCCACCACCACCACCATATCTTTCCAGGTGCCGTGTCCGTCCGTCTAGAGCGTCTAGTCGTCCCTTCAACTCATTGATAATCTTGTGGTCTTCCTCGCGGGCCTGCATAAGCTTCGCAATCGCCTCATAGACGCACCCGTCCTTCTGATGTTCCTCGATATCTTTCCTCCGCGCAAACTTTTTGCACCCGGCACTCTGGAACTTGCAGTGTGTCTCGACCTCGCCGCAGTCCGTCGCAATGTGTTTGGCCAGACGGTGGCGGACGACGACGGCGTCGCAGTGCGGGCACTCGGCTTCTTGTCCCGTACACTCTTGGTCGTAGTGCCTCTCGAGGTCGTTGAAAGTGAGGGCCATCTCGCAGTAGGGACAGAGCGTAACATGATGGAGACACCCGTTCTCGGGGCGTGCGTCTTTCCGGCATATGGTCTCGTCGCAATGAGGGTCGGGGCAGCGGACAAGGGTATGTTCGCAATAACGTTGGACGTGTGCGTATAGGAGCTCCCGCGAGCAGACGTGATTGCAGCCGCTATTTGGGCACTTGACTTTGAGACGGTCGAGCTGGTCGAGTATCACGCGGGTTCGGGTCTGGCTAATGTCTCGGTTGATGTCGAGCGGTCGGCGGTCAATGGGGCATACGTGCTGGGTCTCGAGAGCGCGGTCGAGGCACGAGGCGCAAAAGGTGTGGCCGCACGTCTTGGTCGTCATGGGCATGAAGAAGGGCGTCTGGCAGATGGGACATAACAAAGCCTCGTCGACCTGTTGGGCATAATCGAGCGCCTGGTAGTCAATTCCAGGTTCAGTCTGATCTTGCGTATGACCCCGTGAAGAGACTTGATACGGGTCGTGATCGGCAACTGAGCTGCGTCTGGAGCCGCCCGAGGACGAGGCAGGAGAATCGTAAATAGTAGAGGGGACCCCGAAGTCAGCTCTCGGGGAGGGTGTAGGAGCTGCGACTCCTTCTTCAGGTGTATTCGGCGGCGGCATTTCGAATGACATTGGAGAAGACGGGTTTCTTTATTGTTGTGTTGTCATTCATCCGCCCGAGGCCTGTTGTTCCAGTCGATAGTGTTTGTTGATTGTTGAGGATCGGAGAAGAGATGGGTATCACGGCGCAAGTTGTTCCAGTCGATCAAGCAATTGGAGAATAAAGCTTGTATATATAGACTTTGTTCAACGGTTGTAGGTGTGGAGTGGGCAGGTGTCGTCGTTCGAGGCGGTCACCACTTTCCAAGAATCATGTTGTTGCGGAGATGGAGGGAGGGGCTCGGAGGATCTGGAGGAGAAAAGAAGCAGCATAGATTGATTGTAATTAGTATCGGTAACTATCCACGACTCAACTACGGGCTTGTCTTACACGGCGACACTGTAATCTCTGAGGAGCGGTTGTTGATGTAGTGATGGGGATGAAAGTCGAGGCCGAAGAGCGAGCCGACGCAAGGAACAGCCCCAGGCGATTACCCCTGCAGGGGAACCTTGATAGCCAACACTACCCCGCGAACCTTTCCCAACTTTAGTTCAACGTCAACATCGCTGCTGTTAGGGATCTTCCTTTCCATACGAGCTCACTATCATAATACCTGCTTATCATCTGCTTGGCGTGTTAGTGCATAACTAGTCGCGAAACACAGCTTGCTCAACATCTTGGAGAAGATATATTGATCCAACTTCATCACCCCGAGGCCTAGTTTATACTTGTAGCAATCAAACTAGGCAAGCTGCTCCCCATCCACCGTTCAAACCCACAATCCACGCCCTCAAATAGTAGCCCCAACAGCATGCTGATCCATAACAAGACTAGCGCCCTCCTCCGCAGTACTCGGAGTCGCCAGCGTGACCGTGACATCAGGATCCTGAGCATACACCCTCAAGCCAACGACGCAAACGGCGTTCCAGGGAATCTTGCCCTCCTCATACTCGATCTTGGGCTCCTCCTCCTCCTCTTCCTCGTCTTCAGACAGGTCTTCCTGGACCTCTTCAGCCGCCGCCGCCGGCGCCCTTGTCGTCTTCTGCTCCTCAACAGGTACCTTTTCTTCCTCTTTCTTTTCTTCACGTGCGGGTTTCTCCTCAATCTTCTTCTTCTCTGCAGCAGCAGCAGTACCTTCCTTCTTTTCACCAGCCTTCTCAGTCTTCTTTCCTTCACCAGCGGCAACGTCTGCGGCGCTCTTGGATGATGATGAAGGGGCACTTACCTTCTTGGGTGGTTCCTCATGCTTCTTCTCACCATCCTTCTTCTCATCATCCTTGGACTTTTCCTCGACAGCATCCTCAAACTTCTCCTCTTCCTCCTTCTTCTCTTCTGCTGTCTCCTTCTTTTCCTCCTTCTTATCAGCCTCCGTACCCGTACCGGAAGTGGCCACGGTAGAACCTTCAGGCATATTGATGGTGATCTGCACCTGTTTCTGCTTCCTCTTCTCTCTGCGCTCCTTTTCACGCATGGCCTTGGCCTTGGCCTTCTTCCTCTCCTCCTTCTTCTTCATTTTTTCTTTCCTCTGGGTAATGATCTCGTCCTCGTCGTGGACGCCACCCTTGGCGTGGGCGAGATCGTACTGCATGCCGATTTGGCGGAGTTTGGTGGGGTTCTCCTCGGCCCTGTTATAAGTTGTCGTTAGTTTACCAGTACTTTTTCATAACGAGTTAGGCCTGGGGTTTTACAACATACCATCGGGTGACGACATCCTCAACCATACGCTGGCTGGTATCTCGTTGGACCGTGATCTTGGGCAAGACTTCGTAGCGCCCGGGCTCGAGATCGAGCTCGCAGCTGACCGATCGGGAACTCCAGTCAAGGGTAGGACGCACGCGGCAGAGCTGCTCCTTTCCGTCCTTGTCCTGTAGGACGAAGTGGAGGATGAACCTGTACTGTCCCTCAAGGCCTTGGAAGTAGCGCTCATCAAGCTACAAAGAACTGTCAGTAAAAAGGAATAGCCGGGATAAAAGGGGATGGGTCACAAACCTGGCTCAGTACAATTACCACAGTTCCTTCCTTCTTGATTTCGATGACAAACTTCTTGTTCAAGTAGCCGGCAATCCAGCCAACCGTGACAGTGGTCCATTGCTGAACGACATTCCATTTGTCATCAAAGAGACGAGTGCGGTAGAGGTACATGAAGTTATCCAGCATGTCTTGATAAGACATCCAGAACTCGCCATCGTCGCCGAACTTGTGGTCGAGTTTCCTGAGCCTGTTGAGCATTATCTTCAGTCAGTCTCTGCCATGTTATATGATTGGCAACCCTCAAGTCTTGGAAGTAACGTACCAATAGGGCGTCCATTCCTTAGATCCGTCCGACCAAGGCCCATCCCACTCGCCAGTTCCCCACGGCGTCCGCTCACCCCAGGGGTTGCGAATCTTCACCAATCTGACCTTCCTGCCATCCTCATCAACCTCCTCTGTGGCCTTCAGGATAGAATAAGCGTGGCCGTTGGCTATGCTACCTCTCGTATCGGCATGGCCATGGGCAGAGCAGGAGAAGACGAAGTCGCCATTCGAGTTCACCAGCTCCTTCCACAGCTTGTCCTTCCGCAACACCCTGTTCGACTGCAGCATGGCAGACACTCCACCCGTCATGTCTTCGACGCCTTCACCAGGCCAGCCGCCGGAAATGGCTTCATAGTCACCGTGGACTTTGGCATATGCTTTCTCCAGGAGGGGCAGCCATGTCTCGTTCGGATCAGAGCATTGGGAAAAGTAGAGGGCTTCGGACCCTGTCTGCTTATCCTTCCGGTGCTTGCGCCCCTTCTTGCCAGTCGGATCGTACTCGTCGTAATGGTGCCGGTAGTCCTCTTCCGTCAGGTAGAGGTTGTCGTCGACAACGGTGCTGATCCACTCGCCATCCTTGAAGAAGACGAAGCCGTAGACGCCGACTTCCTCGTCGCGGGCAACGCAGACCTTGTCCATGAGATCCTTGCGGTGGGCGATGGTGGCCACGGCAGCCAGCCACCAGCAGTCGCCGTCACAGCCCTGCTTAATGTCAGATGACGAGTAGCCATCCTTGGTCCACTGGGGTGATTCAAAGATCCAGTCGAGACGGTGGACGGAGCCGGGGGAGAAAGTTTCACGCCAACCAGCCTTAACACCCTCACGGCCTTTCGAATCTTTGGGTGCCGGTGTTTCGAGGGCATCTTCGGCACTGCGAGGAGCTCCGCGAGACCGAGACTTGGCGCCCTTTTTGCCTTTGGTGGCTCCTAGGTCGTACAGCTGTTGGAGCTCGCCGTAGAATTCCTCTAGATCAGCGTCATGGGTGAGTCCGTGGAGGCAGTTCCGGATGTCAAAGTCACCCTCGATGTCGAAATCCGGATCGGTGAACTTCTCGTTGGTGCGCTCGCATTCCTTGACAATGCGCTTCACCTTCTCCTTGCATTCCTTGACGGCGGCCAGGTAGCTATCCGTGGCATTGCGGGATGAGCTGACACCTTGTGGCTGTGAGGGTGGTAGGAGAGTCTCATAGAGGCTGCGCGGGAAGATCCGAGTAACCTTTCCGGGTTTCTTGACGAAGAACTGGTCCCAGAATTCGGTGACGAGTTCTTGGGGGGTCTTGTTGAAGTCTTTCTTCTTGGCGGGGGTGGCCATGGTGATATGAATGCGCTTGTAAGAAGGATAACCACGAAGAAAAGAAGTAAGTTGAGTAAGGTGACTATGGCCTTGGGTATCAAGTGGCTGAAACGTGATAGCAAGCAGTTAACAACTCAGAGCCAAAGACAAGTATAGGAAGCCTCGAGGAGGAAAAGACCAACGCGCCCAACTGGGCAGCGCCTTGTAACTTATAATCCATAGGCCAAAGCCTATCAGCAGGCCAAGGAAGAGGCCTTCAGCTATAGGATGGCAAGGTATCACAATCTTACCTCCTGGGGGTTGGCCGACAGCCTTACAGAAGGATAATGTGATCCAAAACCCATCCACGTCAGCGGGACTAAGCAGGGTGTATTGGCAGTTAGTGCACCCCAAAGACCCCAGATAGATTGTGATCCATCATGTTTGCCCGTTAGGTTACCGGCCAAGGTGATAGTCTGATAGACGATTCGTCTTCAATGTGTTATAGTGAAGGGGTTGCACCGAGGCTCTGCATGGTGACATTCGTTTCACCCGCGAGGTTCTCACAACGAAGTGAACGAACGCAAAGAATTCAAGAGAAGCTTTAACCTGGAGAAGCCTCATCAAGACGTTACCAGTATAGGGAGTAGTGACTGAGTATGGTCAAGTGCTGGGCTGGAAGATGAGGCATCAGATTGTTGTGTGGTCTGGCGGCACAAGCTCCCAGAGCAACGAGGAGGGGGTTGTGGAAGGGCTGAAGAGAAGGAATTGGCCATGTCCTTGTAGGGCAACTAGCTTGATGCAGCTGCTGTCCAATCGTTGAACATGCTCACGTTTCCGTCCCCGGTATCAAAAAGCCCGGCCCGCGCCCGGAGAGAGGCAGTTACGTACCTCTACATTTCTGTCTCAACGTCCTCTTAACAGGTCATCGCCGTGCGATACGATTCCTAATGTCGATTTCCATATCTTGAGGGGATAAGGTCAACGTAGATTCTGGAATAGTAAGACGTTTTCGAGACTATCATTGTGAAATTGTTAAGCGTCAAAAACATGTCATCACGAGGCTTGCTCCCGCTAAACCGTCTCACCTACATCATGCAGTCAGCAGCGGCGGCCGAGGCTAGTAGCCCACCATCAGTGGCGTAGTGTACGATCGAAGGATTCAATCGTGCGCGATATGGTTTCTGTTGGCAATGTTTGCATTATTAATCTTTTTTCAGCTCGTCTCAGCCTCAGGTCCTATCAAGTTGTTTTTGTAGAGGCGAGCGGTTACCGGCTTTTCTTCAGCAGGCAGCCGGAACATGTGTACAGGTTGGCGTGGGCGCGTGGCTCCGGTGAATATTCACCTCTTGTTGAGCAGGCAGTAGCACTTTTGCAGCATATTGAAGCTAATGCTACCGTGATAACGTTGAATAGTCATAATGGCTCGGCAATTGTCATGGCTGGGTGAAGCTGCTGGTTGCTTACTGAGCTATCATCAGACTTTAAGCGTATGACTGAGGGGGAACATCCTTCCTTGTCATCAGTGCGATGTTTCAGCCTTATTGATGCCGTAGCCAAAAAAGACAACGTCGTCCTGTGGTCATCGAGGAATCGGTAATGCCATTTCAGACGTTTACAAAGGTTGAAGTATCCAGGCTCCCTGCCGCTGTGAGGGTGACCCGAAGAGCAAGCACCGGCGCAAAAAACTCAAATGATGAATATCTTTTGCCAATCATCCATTGCCTCTTCAGGATCCGTCTCGTACATTGGGAGCACCAACGACTTGGCTGCCAACTTGATCTCCATCGAGGCTATGCACGTGGCTCTTTGGTACTCTGTTGCTGCATCGATGTTGGCCTTTAACACGGACGCCGCTGTGTTCGAGATCTTTGCGTGCGCGATATCCATATACACCAAAGCCTGTTCAAGGTAGCCGGCAGCTTTTTCGGCGTGGATATATCGCATGTTGTACCAGTAAGAACTGAGGCCCGCAAAATCGTACCATCTCGGACAGTATCTGTCACCCTCCTCTCGCTGTCGAGTTGGCAGCTTCTGCCTGTATAAGAGACGATCCTTAGCAAGTAAATCAAGTTCTTCGGAAATGCTTGCGTTTGGCACAGTTTCCGCCTCAGTTGCCTTGCGTGTAACACTTAATAGGCGCATATTCTCGCCCAGTGTCTGTAGCCGCCGCCGTTGTTGTCGGAGCTTCTCTTTCATCTCTTCACGAGAAGACAGCGAAGCAGTCATCAGTTGACCTATGATCTCGGACCAGAGATTTGACTGTCCTGCAAATGCCTCTTCTAAGTCGCTCAATACTATGATCTCGGACCAGAAATTTGACTGTCCTGCAAATGCCTCTTCTGAGTCGCTCAATACACCACGCCAAGCAAAGGCATCCTTTCCGAATCGGTGTAGAACACCGTCCCAAATCAAGTTGACCCGCTCTCTGAGATCTTTAAAGAACGTTATCTGCCAGGCAGAATATTCCATATGGGGTGCGGAGCACATTTCGGCTAGCTTCAGGTGCAGAGCTTGAGTGTTTTCCGTGCGCAATCCTCCGAGGAAACCGGTAGAAGCATGCAAGACAGTCCACTGTGATATTAGTGCAAGATCATCAGGATAATCCGCCCTAATATCCGAACCTTCTAGTGTGGTGCTAACATAGCATAAGCCGACAAATGTAAAGAAGTCTTTTCTAGGAAGCCCATCGCAAGTATTCTTTCGCACCGGGCGGAGGGCTACCGGTACGTCGAACCCGCGGAGGAAATAGATGCAGTCATCAAATTCCGAGTTGTGTGGTGCGGTGATGCTGAAGAAATCCCCCCAGAAGATAGCATGTGTTGAAAAGTGATGTCGTTTAAACTTTTTCGTCAGGCTTGTTAGCCTAATCCCATGGACGCGCAGCGTACCGGTAGGCCCATGAACTGTCGCCTTTGGAAGGGTGAGCTCATCAGATATGACATCAGTCCTGTTCCGAACCCATCTATCTTCACCCCAACGACGCAGCTGCCATGGGTACTGGATGCATTCATCGGGCGCTGCGACAGAATGCAGCTCTACATGTTCCATTCGTAGCATGATTCCCCAGTCGCGTGAGAGGAGGCGCCAGTCAGGTACCCAAGATGGCAGGTTCCTCGACTTTGTGTATCCGCTGGCGTAACGGAGGATGTTGACTTCTCCATGTTTGGTCAAGGCAAATGCGGCTAGACCAGTATATCTACAGCTCGAGTCAGCGTCTATAGAATGATTGATGACCAAGTACTCTTGTTAAGCAGCCGCTTACACCTGTTCGACTGAGAGAGAGTAGTCCCCGATTAAACCATCAGCTGCAGCCCCTATGATGACCCCAAGAAGGGCGAATATTTTGTCCCGTGGATCAGACGCCTGTGAAGACCAGGAGTCCATCACCAACTTCACCAGGTGACCGGGCAACCTGTATTTGCGTTTCTCGAAGTCTTTGATCCAGGGAAGGAATGTCCTTGAAGCATGTCCCTCAGCAAGGGCATCGACAATGGGCCACGGTTGCCACGATGATCCGTCGGTGACCCAAGCTTTTCGAGCAGCGGCAATCTCCTGGATTATCCAGCTTCGGAAGAAGTAGTAGCGTTTTAGTCGACTGTCCATCTTTTCCCAATTTTTCTCCCATTGATTGCGAGTTATTGTTGGCTGTTGTCGTTTGACTTTGTAAGTCCACTCTATATCCACCTGCTTTTTTTTCATTGCCGATATAGATGACCACCTGGGTTGCGGTCGCATATATTATGGGCATCAACTGAATCTGATGGGTGCGCTCGGTGTCGTTTTCCTGGTTGATACAAATTGCATCGACCCATATGCGTCGGTCGGCATTAGGAAGACGGAGGGCGCGTAAAGCCGCCTCACAGCTGACCGTGATGGGAAATATGCTCCATTCGCGTCCCAGGTAAAGCTTCCTCGTCCTGCTCGAGTTTCCAGATGCAGTGCCCCAGGTGTAAGATAGTGCCTCATATTCAGGGAAGTATTTGAGTTGGCAAACTTCCAAGCGGCCATGCAGTGGATCAGACTTGTTGCCGCTGCTGAGATGCAAGATTCGAATACTGTCCGAAGACAATGGTTCGCAAGAAGAAACTCCATCATTGGCTTTCATACTTTGGGGTCGCTCGCTGGATTGCCTGCTCGTCTCGTCGTCCCATGGTTCGGTACCGAGAATGTCTGCGATCTGTGATGAGATATCGCAACCGTTGGAGTCGTAGCAATGAGTCTCGTAGTCAACAGAAGCTGGCCAGTGCAGCGATAGGCCCTTTGTCTTGTCATGATATAGTACCGATGGGTTTGACGGGACCTGACTGGGTGACAGGTCGCCCAAAGGCGCCAACGAGTCGCAACTCATGCAGAAGGGTATGCCGTCAACCAAACAGACATCTGGTCGACCACACGATTTTCGATGCCATGAGATCATATTGGCTGACAATTTGATTTTATTGCCCCCAAAGCTGGGACTAGTTGCGAAATAGACGACAGGGGGTTGAGGATCTTGAATCTGTGAACTGAATGTCAGCAGAAAGGCTCGGCGTTCTATTTGGCGGGGACATGTTAAACTGACAATGATGGGGTCTCAGCCCCCTTATGAATAGGCATATGAACATACTTGTACAGCCAAACCAAACGGCGCTTATTGGCTGCTGTTGCTTGTTGGTGTCAAGATCCGGCTAACAAGGGAACGGAGGGGCATTGATCGTCATGGTGTTGGAGTGGGTGCCTGACTTGTCAAGAAACGAGGGCGGGACCATTTTGAGGGGAAGTTTGAAATAGATGCTTTCTCTCATCGCTCCTTCCTCTCATCTGTCAAATAACAAGCTAGAAGTAAGCAACGTTCAACTGAGACAACTGTGTGGAGGAAGAAAGCGAAATTGCAGAACTGTCCTAGACAGCCTGCAGTGGTAAAGATCGCCTGTCAGATCTCTGCAGGGGAATCGAAGCAAGAGACTCATTCGTTCCTTGCTCTTACCTACTCAAGGGAGTACACGCTGTTATGATCGTACACACTTGGACTCCAAAATCGTGACTCGATGTCTTCATATGTGCCTCGGAAACGGTGAAGATGTTGCTCAGGCATGAATCTAAAACAATTCCGCGACTGGTCGGCAGAAAAGTTACATGTGAATACTGAAAAGGGAGGGTGTAAAATGCGACACATCGATGACAAGTTCGCATGGAATATTATGTAAGTTATACCACAGGCCTCGGTTTTGATTGGAGGCTCCGGAAACGGAAAGAGGACGCATGATCACACCTTCTTGGCGGTTTTTCACCTGAAGTTTTTACCGTGTCTTTTGCTTTTATTTATGATTTATCATTCTTCACTCCTCTCTTTTTTGGCATTTTCGTTATCCTTCTCCATTGCTCAATGAGCACGAGAAACATGTGACAACTTGCTGATCTCCTCGGTAACTTAAACACCGATACCTACCTAGTTCAACACCCAACATTGACCATCTCGAAGATCCCGTCATCAGCTCTGGGACAATCCAGGCTTCAAGACCCCACCTGCTGTTTCCAGCCGTTGCCCCGTTGCTAAAGGTGTGCAAGGAAAGTTACAGCGGTTACACACTGTGGCCAGCCCTGCAGCAAGGCACCTGTGGGCGTCCATCCCCTCCTGTCCAGCGGCCCTGACGAATGACGTGCTGGCGGACAAAAGGAACCCCTGCCGTTTGGTGTTCCGGGCTGGCCGCTCTGTTGCATCCGATCCTTCAGGTTCCATCCACATGGGGAACGCCGCATGCAATTGAGCTCGCGCGACAGTGGAGGCCAATGAGGTTCCCGCGGTGCCGGCAACAAAAGTATTGATTACGGAACTTTGACAAGAGAGCCATTTTCCCCGAGACGAACCGCCAATTCTACCTGCTGCCGTACTGCTGCCTCGACGACCATTGCCGTGTGGAATCAACATCAATCACAGTCGCATGACCGAACCCGTAACCACTCGAGAACGACACAGTCACGAACCACAACCGAAAAGGACCGCGGCGCTATACACATCGAGAGTCTGACGAAAAGCGACAGGCCGAGGCAACCATAACCCACGAGTCCACGGGAACCCGAACAGAACACCAAGAAGCGGAAGTTGTAGAAAGAGAAATCGGAGAGAAGATCGGCATTTGGGAGAAAGAGGTAGAGGAGCAGCACACCAGATACTACAACAACGGCTGGCTCGGAATCAACATCGAATCGCCGCCATCCCCCTGCGAGGAGCCGCCGGCCTGGCTTAGATGAGCAGTAAACTCAACGCCCGTTGCGTAACCACCAGATCCAATGGGAGCCTCCACACTCGATAAGCAATGACGGGAACAGAAGCCACGGAGAAGCCCAACGGCAAAGAGGCGGGGACCAAGGACAACAAGTCCGGAAGCGACACCAAGGCCAAGGATCACCATCCCACGCCCGCAGACGATGTGCAAAAGGCGCCCAAAAAGCGCCGCAAGGTCAATCATGGTACTTACTATATCCATGTCCCTTTTCCGCTGTCTTTCTGCCTACGTTACTTGATCGCTTGTCTTCAGCTGGCTAACTTGTCTGGTGCGCCTGTTGTAGCCTGCCTTTACTGTCGCCGATCTGTAAGTCGACCAACATGCACCGCCAATACCCCATCTCCTGCCGTGCCAGTTACCTAGGCTTCGTACATGGGCTACCGTAACTGCCATAGCACGGAGTCCTGCAGAACACCCCGCTCGGTCTCGATATACACAAACTTTACTAGTTATTCTGGTGGCTGACTATGTTGTTTTGGTTACCTTAGCACATGACGTGTGATCTTGTATGTGTCTTCCCCCCCTTCGCCAAGGTGGAGCTATAGCTAACGAATTCCTCGTAACCCTTTATAGGAGAGGCCTTGTACAAGATGCATCAAGCGAAATATCGGCCATCTCTGCCACGATGAGCCTCGCGATACCGAGTCACGCAAGGCCAAGAGCGCGCTTGCAACTTCGACCGTACTTGACTCCGAGTCCCAGTCGGACATTGGGCGCAGCGCTTTGGACAAGACCATGAGACCACCCGGTTTTGACGGCGGTATGGGAAATGGATCTGTCCAGGTAGCAAATGCTGCAGCAGTAGGCCGGGGCGCTCCTCTCCAGCTCGTGCAACCAGCTTCTGTTGCTGGCATACAAGCCAATGCCCTGGGTGGGAGCATGAATCAGTGTGAGTGTTGGCACTGAATCCTCCTTCTGTCCGTCTTTCTCCACTATAGTCAGTTGCTGAATTTGCCTAACATAGTTGCCGGTCTTCCAGATTCTTGGTTAACCACTCAAAACCACTATCACGACATGCACAACTTCCATCCAAACTACATGGTGGCACCTGAGGTCACCAATGAATTCAATCTACTGAACGAATTCTTGTCGGCAGGCTTGCTTGAGGAGTCGGCCTTCATGTCGGATGACCATGGCCTAATATTGGGAGCAAACCAGTCTGCCGTGTCGGGGTTGTCTAATGCCAATAACAACGCCAACGACGCTAGCAGTAACAACAAGGGAAACAGCAGCAGCAATAGTGGCATGCTCCCCCCAAGTGCCACACAGGGGACCTCGATGCTACCCCCAAGTAGCGACCAAGCAACGGCGATAGGGAAGCCGGCGAGTACAAACTTGAAAGATGCCCGGGATGCATACTATCTTCAGGCGGCAGATCCATCCGGAAACGACACACCGGAGGAGCGCATGCAGCGCTTGCTTAGAGCCAAGTACGAGGCCGGACTCCTAAAACCATTCAACTACATCCTTGGTTATAAGAGGCTCTCGGATTACCTGGATGGACACGTGTCGCCGACGTCAAAACAGAAGATTCTGAAGCAGATCGATCGATTCCGACCCAAGTTCCGCGAAAAGATTCAAATCTTGACTGATATGGACCTGGTCATGGTGGAAATGTGGTTCGAGAGGACCCTGTTGGAATACGACCGAGTTTTCGCCAGTATGGCCGTTCCAGCCTGTTGCTGGAGACGAACCGGACAGATTTTCAGGGGAAACAAAGAGATGGCGGAGCTCATAGGTGTGCCGGTAGAGAGTTTGCGAGGGGTAAGACACACAGCACCCATGCGCCGCCATGGAATACCTCTAGCTTTACGATGCTGACTTTGTTTTGCTTAGGGGCAAATCGCTCTGCATGAGATCCTGACGGAAGAGTCGAACGTGAGATACTGGGAAGAGTTCGGCACAATAGCATTCGATCCGGCTCACGATACCCTGATTACAGCGTGTTCGCTCAAGAACCCCAATGACGACAAGGGGACCAAGGTCGTGAACTGCTGCTTTTCTTTCAGGATCCGCAGGGACGATCACAAGATGTAAGTGTCTTCTGTTGTTTGTTGTGAGGACATTGATGTAAAGGTGATGCTAACCAGCACATGCAGTCCGAGCTTGATTGTGGGCAACTTCCTACCACATGATCCATGACAGCGTTTTGTACATACGCTACCACAAGATTCATTTCACAAAGTAGTGCCCCTGTGAGCCACATTGGCGATGGACAATTCCTCACTTGTTTGCCAGAGGCAATTGCTGGCTTTGGTCAGGAAACAAGTGCAGTGAGCATTACGTGGGTTTGCAACAATCCATCATTTAGAACGAGCGCTGCCCAAAGACATGCTTGAGGCGGGGCTTTTCTGTTGCATATTATTAATGGGCAGGATATGCATTTCGCGCAAACCAATAGATGGGGGAAGGAGTAGGGCAACAAAAAGGGAAAGAGGAAGGTCGCGCCTTCCGCGGAAAGAGAGCAAAGGGGCTTCTTTCGGTGATGCCTAATTCCGATGGGCACACCTGGGGAAAGCTTTATCAATATCACTCCATGTTCCTCGCTTGACACCACAAATTGCAAGCGTTGTGACTTGGAACTACGTTGTATCTTTGACTGTGATTGATCTACTATTCCTTGGTTGTTCATTCTTTCCCTCCCTGATCTTTTCAGTACTATCCTGCTTCGAGCGACCCCCCTGGTCCTTTTCGCTGCGCCAAATCTGCCATGCGATCGCCTCATCCGGCGTTCTGTCCGGCGAACACGGCTCGAGGATAACCAGTCACAGACAAGGCAATGTTGGTGGCGCTTCGTGTTGCGTTTTCTCAATCCCAAGGCGCAACATGCCCATCCCAACAGGAACTAAAGATGTATCGCAATCAGCCAACAAGACGGACAAGCGCATAGAAGCAGCCTTGGGTGCGCAACCATCTTTTGCATTCTCTTCCTCCATTCCCGATCGTACATCAAACTGACATTAGCCCTGCCTCTTCTCAGACTTCGTTCGCAACCTGTACAAGGTCTTCTTGAGTGACCCAAGCGATGCGCCGGCAACAGACCAGCTGGTCGACCAAATCAACCAACATGTCAAGAAACTTCACAATTACACCTACAAGCACGTTCCCGGTGTCTCTGGCGATTCCGAGATAGACCAGCAGGGTACCCGCCTATGGAACATTTGTACTCGACTACTCCGGGATTGCGAACAGACAAAGAAGAGACTGAAGAGGCTTTATTTATACGGGCGAGTGCTAGCTTTCCACTTACTCGTGGTTGCGAACCCAAGCCAAACCCGCAAGGCACAGAATTTAGTTTATGTGGTGAAACTGGCGCTCAAGGCGGCGAGAGACTGTGTTGGTATGGACAACCACCCCTTTTCATGCCGTTACGTGCCGTGGTCCGGCGTTGCTGATACAGAGCGTTTCGTCCAGAAAGTTCCGAGTTTGAACTAGCCACAGCAGTACTTCAAAAGGCCGCCGACTATAAGAGCAGCCTTCAGGATCTCGCATCAGTACTCCCCAAGGAGGAGTTGGACGAATGCAACTGTCTCGAAGTGGAATACTTTATCATCAGAACAGCTCTAGTAGGTTCTCGTAAGCACCTGAAAAACATTTCACCCTACCAGTCAGCTAACATGGAGTTTTCCCAGGCATGGGCAGATAACCATATCGATGTTGCCGAACACATGTACACAAAAGCAGAGCGTCTTCGCCAATACCTAACACCCGACTACGCCGAAAAGCTGGCCGATGTTCTTTACGAAATTGGGAAGTCCCTCGCCTCTCGTAATGACTACCCTCTCGCCACAAAATGGTTACAACGAGCAAACGAGGTCATCAACACTCCAACTCTTGAGCATCTATCTCGTGAAGGGCTCGAGCTACGGCTGGCCATCTTGCAAGCACTCGTGAGCGCCCTGCTAGCCACTGGTACCTCAACAGATCTTGATGAGGCCACGAAGCTTGTTGACTACATTGAGTCAGAGGTGGGAAACAGGCCAGTAGTGTCCCTTCTCAAGCTCGAGGTGCTTCGGAAAACACCCGCGGAGATATTCGACGACGACGCATACGCCGATGTCCTGCGACGGCTAATTAAAGACTTCAACTTCTCCAATGCCGGGTTCAAGTTGATCATACATCACATAAGGAAACTACATGACAAAAGCCCCGGCGCTGCTTGCGCGGTGCTAGACGACTTCATTCTCTCGCTACGCGGAGTTGACGATAATAGTTGGATGGAAAAGGCGGTTATCACGCGGATGTGGATGATCACAAACCAAAGAGACACAAACGAAACCATCGACACAGTACGAGGTGTTCTTTCAAACCTGACGAGGCCGTTGAGTGCAGAAGCTGCTGTTGCGGCGCAGGCGGTATGTGTGTCTTTTTCGTTTCACCTGATAACTCACTAACTCTAGATCCGCTCAGTTGATATGGAAGAAGCTAGAGTCCAATTACAGCCAAAAACAATATGACATTGCCGAGAACTGGTGTCGTCTATCACTCCACCACATCTTCCAGAATTGCGGCCCTGGGAATATGGCAAAGTTGGAAAGGTATTTGGTTATGTTTTTTATTGTTTTGGTCAACAAAAGTCTGACTCTAGACAGAAAGTTGCTCCTTTGTGCGCTCGCAAGGAATGAGCTGGAAGCAGCTATATCAGTCGTTCACAACCTGTCCAAGCAGAGTTGGAGAGAGCCCATGACTGCCTATCTAGCATTCAAAGTGGCTATTCGATGCGAGGACCGCAACCTGGCGGAACAGTGCATTCATACCATAGGCCAAGCGCCAGACCATATCGACTTTCTAGGGGCTTGTATCGCGGAATCTCACAAAACGGGAGACATCTTCTGTGCCATCGCCGCGCTGAAGAAGCTCCAGGAGAACTACGAGTACAAAGATCCCAACCCGATCAACCTACCAGCACTCTTCAGGTGCTTGATACGGCTCCTAAACATATTGGCCGAGAAGCCAGATGAGCGACAAGAGGAAATCATTAGCGACCTTTGTCGCCAGTTTGACATCGGTAAGCCCCCTTTCTGCAAACTACCTTGACCTCGCTGACAGGATCAGTCGTATATGCTCTTGAGCGTCGAGCGAACGATCCCAAAACCCGCAAGCTCTTCACCGTCGACGAACTCGAATGGTTCAGCCGAAACGCCTACAACCTCGCCCTGAAACACACCACGACCTGGGACCTCCGGTGTGTAGTGCGTCTACTAACGGCCTGCGTCAACATCATCAGCCACTTCCCCTCCGACGTAGCATCTCAAGTCGAAGTCACTCTCAAGGCCCTCTTCTCCCGGTTCATCATCGCTTCGGCGCTGATTTCCTTCGCCCGAACCCAGGACAATGTTAAGGAACAGCTCGAAGATTTCCAACTCATGCGAAAACATGTCTTGGCTTTTGACAGCCTAGTTCCTGAATACCTGCCACGCTTGGATGAGCAATCGCGAGAGGATATGGTACGGAAACATGCGACGTTGCTGACGTTTGACTTTGAAGCGGCGGTCGCCCTGGGTCAGTGGGATGACCTGGGAGGGATTGTGCAGAGGGCGGTGCCGTGTAAGAGTGCGGTTGCGTATCAGACTATGGCGGATAGTCTTTTGAGGGCGCAGGTGCCGGGCCAAGGTTGGTTCTTTTCCGTGACATTATTATAACAGTTTGGAGTTACTGACACTACCTTGTGAAGTGCTCTACTCAACCATGCGAAAGATTGTCAACAAAATCTGGGACCTGGAAAGCTTCGATGCTGTCAAGCTAGCCAAGTACACAAGATGTCTGTTTCAGGCTACACTTCCGCTGGATGATACTCTGGCTATGAAGTTGCTTCAGGAAGCTTGTGGTAAGGCGAGGGAGTTACACGAGGTTAGTTACATCTTGACTCTTTTGACCACTCTGGCGCTAATCACACCTCGTTGCTAACCATGAGCAACGTCACCAGAGCGATGCCCGCTGGCCAGAAGAGGAACTAGAGTGGATGGCAGCCACGGCGTTCAATCACGCGATAGACCTATATGGTGCTTACGAGCGTGATCGAGCAAAGGAGTGGGGATCTGCAGCAGTCAATTTGGCACATTATTGTCCGGATGGAGGCTTTGAGAGGATGTTACAGGACAAATTCATGAGGTTAAGTTTTGAGGATGATGGAAGGAATAGGGAGATATGATCGCGGATCTAGTGAGGATGGAAGTGGTCGAAGACTATCTGAATTGTTACTGTTGGTAGAATGGGATAAGTGCAATGTTCTGATACTCTGGAATATTTCGAGGGACACGCTATGCACCAAATACCCATCAGGGATACAAAATATCCCCGTGACTAGTGGTGAGTACTTATTCGTAGGTAATTGTGGAAATGAAGTTGTCAAAATGTCTTTTATGCAACGCAGCTCTTCAAGAACCAACGCTTTTCCCTTCTCTGTAAAGCTCATCCTTATCCTACCGTTACCGCCCATAATCACTTCGCAAAATGAATACTCTGGGTATAAGAGTAGGACAGGAGACCTTGCTTGCCCATCTCGCCGCCAAAACCACTGTCCTTGAAGCCGGAGAAGTAGGCGCCCATGTGTGGTCTCTCAAACTGGTTGATCCAGACACCCCCGGCTTCCAGACGACGAGCAATCCGTTCAGCTTGAGCCAGATCGGATGAGTAGACCGAAGCTCCAAGCCCGGCGTTGGCCAAGTTGGAACGGTCAATGGCATCGTCTTCGTCAGACCAGCTCAGCACAGGGAGGATAGGTCCTATCAAGCATGATCGGTCAGTAACCACCACACATCAAACTCAACAACAACAAAGACGAGACCTACCAAACTGTTCCTCCTTAACCAACACCGAATCCTCCGGCGGTCCCTTAACGATCGTCGGCTCCAACCAAAACCCCTTCTGCCCCTCCGCATTCCCACTCTCTCTCACCTCACCCCCGGCAACAATCTCATACCCCCTCCCCTTACAATCCTCCACGATCCTCTTCACCGTGTCAAACTGCACCTTATTGCTCACCGGCCCAAACACACTCGGCACACTCGCATCCTCCACCACCGTATAACTCCCCTTCACCTCCTCCACCAATTTTGTTATAAACTCCTCGTACACGCTCTCATGCACATACACCCTCTTGGTAGCCACACATACCTGTCCCGCATTAAAAAACGCACCGCTCGCCACGCTCTTCACGGCTTTTGGCAAGTCTGCATCCGCGCAAACGATGCAGGCATCATTCCCCGCCAGCTCCAGCGTGACCTTTTTCAGCGTCTTGGCGCACGCAGCCATGACTGCTTTGCCGACGGCTATAGTGCCCGTGAAACTGACCTTGGCGATGCCCGGGTGGAGGGTCATCATTTGCCCTAGATCAGCTCCCCCGTTAAGGACCTGCAGGACACCAGGCGGCAAGATGCCGCGAGCGAGCTCGATCCATTTTAACACGGCGTAGGGCGTGAAGGGCGAGGGCTTGACGATCACGCAGTTCCCGGTGACCAGCGACGAAACGACTTTGATGTTGGACAGGATCAGGGGGAAATTCCACGGGCAGATGGCGGCTACTACGCCTAGGGGAACGTGCGTGGCGATGATTTTCCATGAAGAGTCTTCGTGCTGGACGTAATCGGACAAGGCATTTTCCGGTTGGGCGTAGTGCTGGCATTGGGCGATGGCGCCGCGGACGTCGAGCTCGGAGAGGAGGAGGGATTTGCCGGATTCGCGGGCGAGGATCTGGGAGAGGAGCGGGAGGTGGTCTTCGAGGTTGGAGGCGAGCTTTGTGAGGAGCGTTTGGCGCTCGGAGAGGGAGGTGAGCTTCCAGGTTTTGAAGGCGGTTTGGGCGGCGGTGACGGCGTCTTCGAAGTCTTGGGCGGAGGCAATGGGGCAAGGCCAGAGGGGGGATTCGGTTCGTGGGTCGGTGACGGTGTGGGTGGTGGGGGAGGAGCGGAGGGTGTCGTTGATTATGTTGTGGAATTTGAGTTCTTCCATTTTGAGGGTTGGAGGTTAGTTTGTGTATGAAGCTTTTGGTGATAGCATCAACGGAAATGGCTTCTGGAGATGATAAAGGTGTCCTATTCAACAGATATATGGGGGCTATCTATTACATATAAGGGTCAGCGAAAGGTGTAGTATGAACTTTGCCTAAGCTCTTCCTTCTCGACGACGACCAACCACGTTTCCATATTAACACGCAGCATGATATTGAGCGGCAATATCACTCCCGTCTATACTGCATGGCCATTTGTTCAACCGGGTCAAATAATACCCGGCGAGCTTTACCAGCAAGAGACATGGCTCGAGTAGAGTTGTGATTTGTGAATAGGCGATGAAGAGAGTAGTCAGAGTACCAGTCTTTATAGGGAACGGTCCTTGGCGCGATGCGGAGAAAGAGGGGACCCATGTTTTCCATGCGTCAAAGCGACGGCAGATCGTGGCCATGACCCTATTCGCAAGTGATGCCAGGGGAAGGGTATGCTTGAAGGTGGCGAGGGCAGTGTGTTAACCGTTCAAGGTCGTACAGGCCACGAATAAAATGGCAGCCTCAACCTCTGAAAGGCAGCTGACGAAGACAAACAGCCATGTCGAACATGAAGCGAAATGTCTGTGACAAAGTCCTTTTTGTTGACGAGTTGAAGTTGTAAAGTGAATTTGGAGAGGGGACGGCGACAGGGGGTATGAGGGGAAGTCAAGAGTGATAAGCCAAAGGGTTAGGGTCAAAGGACAATGGAGAACACCGATAAGAACCGATCTGCTCCGAAAGAGAAACGGTGGCGGAACCGGCCGAAGACCTCGGCATTCCCTCCTTCCCTTTGGATGGCCACTTCCGCGATTCTGAGACTGTGGGAGAGGTGTTCGTCCGCCCTTTACCCCACTTTGTTGGCGGCCTTGTCCACCCTCCCGTCATGTCGCCTTCCTTTTGATAAGCTTCCGAGGTGGTCAAGTGGTCATGATCCTTTCCTGGAGTTCTGATTTGCTCCGTCCTGATATGGAGCCGCCCTCTGCCGCCCTTTGTGAGGTTGTACCTGATCGGGCGCCGGCGAACCAAGACTATTAAGTCCTACATAGTAGAGTGGGTTGCCACCTGCTGTCAACCTTGCTAGGCTTCAACCAGGCCTGTGGTTTCCCTCGGGCACTCCCATGCGTTCCACTTGCCATGTTTGACACTTGGTTCACAATAATAAATGGAACGCACTGATAGACAAGCGTCTCACTAACAAGTGGAAGTAACATCTGGCCAACTGATCTCCCCCGATCCATCCATTTGTGAAGATTTGCATTTTGCTCTCTCTTTCTATCTCTTCCATTTTCTGGATAAACACCAAAAGGTCCACGTTGCCTTGCTCTCGGTCTCGGCCAGCCAGAATCATGGCTCCAAGCGCTGTCCCCGTGGAGTCGGGCTCCACCCCTCTAGACTTGGGATCACTGCCCGGATACCTAACAACGACATTTGACGACACTCTTCGTTTCTACCTCAACGGTACCCGGGTGGTCTTGGATGACATTGACCCGGAAATCACTTTGTTGGAATACCTTCGTGGTATCGGTTTGACGGGCACAAAGCTGTATGTTTGACACTCGGATTCATCCATATATCTTCAGGCCGTTAGGTAGCTAACTGACATCCCCCCTGACAGCGGCTGTGGAGAGGGTGGTTGTGGAGCCTGCACTGTCGTTGTCTCCCAGTTCAACCCAACAACAAACAAGATTTACCATGCCAGTGTAAACGCCTGTCTGGCACCATTAGTATCTGTCGACGGCAAGCATGTCATCACTGTCGAGGGTATTGGTAACGTCAAGAAGCCACATCCCGCCCAGGAACGGGTGGCCAAGGGCAATGGCTCCCAGTGCGGTTTCTGTACTCCCGGTATCGTCATGAGCTTGTACGCCCTCCTGCGTAACAATGACAACCCCTCGGAACACGACATCGAGGAGGCTTTCGACGGAAACCTGTGCAGGTGTACCGGATATCGCCCCATTCTAGACGCTGCTCACACTTTCACCAAGAAGGCTCCTTTGGCTTGCGGTAACAGCAAGGCGAATGGAGGCAGCGGCTGCTGTATGGAGGGAGGTGGTGCTGGCTGTGGAGGAGCAAACAAGAACGGAGACGATCAGCCGATCAAGCGCTTCACGCCTCCAGGATTCATCGAGTACAACCCAGAGACCGAGCTCATCTTCCCTCCAGCACTCAAGAAGCAGGAGTTTAGGCCACTTTCGTTTGGAAACAAGCGAAAACGCTGGTTCCGTCCCACCAAGCTTGAGCAGCTGCTTGAGATCAAGAAGGTGTACCCAAATGCCAAGATCATCGGTGGCAGCACGGAAACACAAATTGAGATCAAGTTCAAGGCTCTCCAATATCCCATTTCTGTCTTTGTCGGCGATATTCCTGAATTACGACAGTACTCCTTTGAGGAAAACCACCTCGAGGTGGGCGGCAACATTACTCTTACCGATCTTGAGAATGTCTGCCAGGAAGCCATTAAGCACTACGGAGAGAAGAGGGGGCAGATCTTCAACGCCATGTACAAGCAGCTGAAGTACTTTGCTGGCAGGCAGATCAGAAACGTCGGTACACCAGCAGGAAACTTGGTGACTGCTTCGCCCATTTCCGATTTGAACCCAGTACTGCTAGCTGCTGATGCCGTCTTGGTGGCCAAGTCCCTCGGTGACAACGGAATTGTCGAGACCGAGATCCCTATGGCCCAGTTTTTCACTGGTTATCGACGTACGGCTCTTCCACAGGACGCTATTTTGGCAGCTATCCGTGTCCCGCTCACTCGGGAGAAGAATGAGCTCTTCAGGGCTTATAAGCAGGCCAAGAGGAAAGATGACGATATTGCTATCGTTACCTCTGCCTTCAGAGTTCGCCTGAATGAGGACGGCATAGTCGACCAATGCAGCCTTGTCTACGGCGGCATGGCGCCTACAACCGTCGGTGCTAAGACGGCAAATTCGTATCTCCTGGGCAAGAAGTTCGCCGAGCAAGAGACACTGGAAGGTGTCATGAACGCGCTGGAACAGGACTTCAACCTCTCATTCAGCGTACCGGGAGGCATGGCCACTTACAGAAAGTCGCTGGCCATTGGTCTCTTTTACCGATTCTACCACGAGTTCATGCTCATTCTGGGTAGCAGCGCCGATGAAGAGGCTGTGCCCGAGCTGGAGAGACAAATCTCTACTGGCCAGGAAGATAAGGAGGCGGCTGCTGCTTATATGCAAGAGACTGTCGGAAAGTCGAACTCCCATCTTGCGGCGCTGAAGCAGGTAACGGGAGAGGCTCAATATACCGACGACATCCCACCACTCAAGAACGAACTGTACGGTTGCCTGGTCCTCTCTACTAAGGCACATGCCAAGCTGTTGTCAGTAGACGCTTCAGCTGCGTTGGATATACCAGGTGTTGTTGACTACATCGACAAGAATGACATGCCCAACGCCGCAGCCAACCACTGGGGTGCCCCTCACTACCAAGAGGTCTTCTTCGCCGAGGACACTGTCTACACAGCTGGTCAACCCATCGGTCTCATTGTTGCCACATCGGCTGCCCGTGCTGCCGAGGGTGCCAGAGCCGTCAAGGTGGAATATGAAGAGTTGCCTGCCATTTACACCATGGAGGAGGCTATCGAGAAGGAGAGCTTCTTTGACTTTTTCAGGGAGATCAAGAAGGGTGACACGCAAGAAGGCTTCAAGAACTCCGACTATGTCTTCTCTGGCGTAGCCAGAATGGGCGGTCAGGAGCACTTTTACTTGGAGACCAACGCCACATTGGCGATTCCCAAGCACGAAGACGGCGAGATGGAGATCATCTCCAGTACCCAGAATCCCAACGAAGCTCAAGCCTATGCTGCCCGTGTCTTGGATGTCGCGGCGAACAAGATTGTGGTCAAGGTCAAGCGGTTGGGAGGTGGTTTCGGTGGAAAGGAGACGAGATCGGTGCAGCTTAGCAGCATCCTTGCCCTTGCTGCACAGAAGACTGGCCGGCCAGTTCGCTGCATGCTGACTCGTGAAGAGGATATGGTAACTTCGGGACAGCGCCACCCCTTCTTGGGCCGGTGGAAAATGGGTGTCAACAAGGATGGCAAGATCCAGGCTCTCGAAGTCGATATCTTTAACAACGGCGGTTGGTGCTGGGACCTGAGCGCTGCTGTCTGCGAGCGTGCCATGACGCACTCAGACAACTGCTACAACATTCCCAACATGCACGTCACCGGCCGCATTTGCAAGACCAACACCATGTCCAACACCGCCTTCCGTGGCTTCGGCGGTCCTCAGGGTATGTTCATTGCGGAGTCGTACATGAACGAAGTTGCCGACCGTCTCGGCATGCCTGTCGAGAGGTTCCGTGAGATCAACTTCTACAAGCCCGGCGAGCGTACGCACTTCAACCAGGAGATCCAAGACTGGCACGTTCCTCTTATGTGGGAACAGGTCATGAAGGAGGCCGAGTATGAGTCCCGCCGCGAGGCCATCGCCAAGTACAACGCCGAGCACAAGTGGCGCAAGCGCGGTCTCGCCATCATCCCCACCAAATTCGGTATCTCCTTCACTGCCCTCTGGTTCAACCAGGCCGGTGCCCTCGTGCACATCTACCACGACGGTTCCGTGCTCGTCGCCCATGGCGGTACCGAAATGGGTCAAGGTCTACACACCAAGATGACCCAGATCGCCGCCCAAGCTCTCAACGTTCCCCTCGAGAACGTCTTCATCTCCGAAACAGCCACCAACACAGTCGCCAACGCCTCCGCCACCGCCGCCTCGGCCTCCTCCGATCTCAACGGCTACGCCATCTACAACGCCTGCCAGCAGCTCAACGAGCGTCTCGCTCCTTACCGCGAGAAGCTCGGCCCGGACGCCACCATGAAAGACCTCGCCCACGCCGCCTACTTCGACCGCGTCAACCTGTCCGCCCAAGGCTTCTACAAGACGCCCGAGATCGGCTACACCTGGGGCGAAAACAAGGGCAAGATGTTCTTCTACTTCACGCAGGGTGTCACGGCCGCCGAGGTGGAGATCGACACGCTCACGGGCACCTGGACCTGCCTGCGCGCCGACATCAAGATGGACGTTGGGCAGAGTATCAACCCTGCCATTGACTACGGCCAGATCCAGGGTGCTTTTGTCCAGGGTCTGGGTCTGTTTACCATGGAGGAGTCGCTGTGGATGCGCAACGGACCGATGGCGGGTAACTTGTTCACCCGCGGTCCGGGCACGTACAAGATCCCTGGCTTCCGCGATATTCCGCAGCAGTGGAATGTGAGCTTGCTCAAGGGCGTGGAGTGGAAGGAGCTGAGGACGATTCAGAGGAGTAGAGGTGTGGGTGAGCCGCCGCTGTTCATGGGCAGCGCTGTGTTCTTTGCCATTCGTGATGCGCTCAAGGCCGCGAGAGCGCAGTATGGTGTAAAGGCGAAGGTTGGCGCCGAGGGTGGAGAGGATGATGGGTTGTTGAGGCTGGAGAGCCCGGCGACGCCGGAGAGGATCAGGTTGGCTTGTGTGGATCCTATTGTTGAGAGGGCGAGGGTGTTACCGAAGGAGGGAGAGAAGAGTTTCTTTATCGCTATCTGAGATTTTCCTTTTGCTCACGGCGAATTATTGACCGGGGATGGCTTTCGGGATTTTGGTCTTACTGGACATGTATACGTATTTCAGGACGGGGAAACAGGACCGGGTTTATGACATTGAATAGCTTGTTACCGACTTTTTACCGATGCAACTTGATGAATGATATCAAGCATGCCGTCTTTTTGTCCTTTTTGACTCTGTGAGCAAGAGCACTACCGTGTGTTTCGAGAAGAGCAAAGGAACGGAAATTTCTTCTGCAATGTCTGAAATGCCTTGATAGCAAGGTCATATTGTAGCAGCAAAGGTATTGTCTTTCCAAAAGCCTCTATTGAAATCATCGCAAGATCTTTGACCACGATCCCCATTCCTCCATTTACTGCTTGATAAACTTCTTCAACCCCCTCAACCTCTCCTTCGCATCCTCCAACACCTCATCCGGCTTGCACACCGCAAACCGCAACCAGTCCTCCACAATATGCGCATTCGCCTCCGTATAAAACTCGCTCGGCGGGATGGCCGCCACGCCCAGCTCCTGAATCAAGAAATACGCCAGCTTGAAATCCCTCGGGCGCTCCGCCACATGCGGCGGGAACGGGTATCCCTCGGGGATCTCCACCTTGTTGAGGTTGGCCATGACAAAGTACCCGCCCTCGGGAATCGAGTACGGCAGGCCGAGCTCGTCCCAGATGGCGTTGAACCGGCTCATCTTGCTCTGCATGTCATCGATGCACTGCGTCCAGAACCCCTGCTGGTCGGCCTCCTCGAAGCCGATGGCGCAGGCTTCTTGGAGCGGGGAGACAGACGAGTAGCAGATGCGCGTGTGCGCGGCGGCCACGTACTGGATCAGGTCGGCGGGGCCCATGAGCCAGCCGACGCGCCAGCCGGTGGCGTAAAAGTTCTTGCCGGCGGAGCCGACGGTGAGGGTGATCTTCTCGACCTCGGGGGACAGGGTGGCCATGCGGGTGAAGGGGGTGTAGAAGAGGCGGTCGTAGACCTCGTCGGACAGGATGATGATCTGGTTCTTGACGCACAGGTCGGCGATGCGCTCGAGCTCGGCGCGCGAGAAGACCTTGCCGACGGGGTTGTGCGGGGTGTTGATGACGAGCATCTTGGTGCGCGGGCTGACGGCGCGCTCGAGCTCGTCAAAGTCGATGGTCCACTCGGACGCCGACAGCGTCTTGATGTGGCCGTCCTTGGGCGGGTGCATGGGCACGTACACGATCTTGCCGCCGGGCATCTCGATGTTGCTGATGTACTGGTCGAAGAAGGGCTCGAACACGATGACCTCGTCACCGGGCTCGATGAAGGCCATGAAGGCGCTGAGCATGCCCTCGTTGGCGCCCGTGGTGATGGTGATCTCGGTCTCCGGGTCCAGCTCACGGCCCCAGTGAGGCGCGTAGGCCTTGGAGAGGGCCTTCCTTAGCCTGGGACGGCCGCGGGTCGGGGAGTACTGGTTGCATTCGACTCTGTCAAGAGCCTTCTTGGCCGCGTTCAGGATGAACTCGGGAGGGTTGTAGCCAAAGAAACCCTGGCCCATGTTGACGATGGGCTGTCTGGGAGAGGCGGCAGCGGCCTCGTTGACGATGGTCCTGAACTCCACATGTTAGCCAAGACATTCCCTGCTTCTCAGTGTAAGTGAGGCTTCTTCTCATGATCACTCACCAAACATCCTGGCGGTTGCCAGCCACGCGGGCGGCGGGCTTAAGTTTTGCGCTCATTAGGCGGGATGAGTAATGAAGATGATGACTCTGTGACTGAACAAGCTGTTGAGGCGATTTAAGATTTCTCACGACAGAGCCAGTGGAAATCAATGATGAAGGCCGGCGGATGACTGGGAGCAACAATCCACTCATGAAGACAAAAACGACGGAGTCACAGGGACAAGGTAAGTTGGTTAAGGTAATTGTATTGGGATGTGTAAGCCTTTTTATTTTTCACAGGCTGTTGCACCATTACGCCTTTGATACACTACGCCAGTCAGTATGACTCCGTAATCGGGCCTCGCACCACGGATGTCGCAATCCGGGGAAGTGGGGTCTGTGCCGGCTCCTGCCGGGCGGCATGATACAGTAAGCGCCAATTGTGTTAATGCGCTAGTTGCATATTCGACTATGCATATACCAAGCATATCAACAACATTCTCTCTTTCGTCACTCACTATTGTGTCTTGCGATGTACAGCGTAAATTCAAGGAGGAACTTTCAATAAATCAGAAGGACCTGGAGCTTAGAGAAGAACATGTGCAGGTTGGGTCGGGTCTCCAAATATTCACTTCTTTGATTTGCCCTGAGGAAATGGTTGGGTTGAAGCTAAAGATAAAAGACGAGACGTCGAGATACGTATGTGAATTCGGGGATTCCAGTGTCGACTTTGGTTGAGTGTTTATCCTATCTTGGAGAAGTCACACAACTTCTATGGGATTCGGCCATAACCATTGATACTCAACGACCCATGTGCTCTTGTTTTTCCACCGTTCGTTTGTCCATCTTACCAATAAGCCTGATCCCATCTGGCGGAAACGACATGGTAAACTGAAACCGAAACGATCATCAGGTTGCTTCGATGGTGTTCCTGCTTGAATGTGTCGTCCGCCTGCCCCTGATGTCTCCTAGGGCAACCAGATAACTTCCGCCTTCCATCCCATCTAGCCCGTCCAAGGACCTTTGAAACCATTCCAATTGCCGGCCCGCTCTCTGCACTAGCCACAGTTTGTTCAGCTTGCTGTGTCTTTTTGGCTCGGACAAGAGCTGGCTGTGGTTAGGCGCTGGCGAACTTGCAGCCCATTTGTCGCGCGAGGACCCTCTTTCTCATCTTTGACCATATTCTCCCTTCGCGTCCTTGATCACCCCAGCAAACAACCCAACACCTGACCACAACAGTTTGCGCCCCTCTTTCTCCTTCGACCATCCATCTTGTTCCAGCACCTTTGACCCCTTGATACAGCTTCTAACCCTTCTTGCTCTTCCCCGCCGCCGCCAACATGGTGCGATCGCCAACTCCTAGCATACCGTTGCGTATGGCTGGCGGTCATCCCCTTCCCGCCAACGGAATGCGACCACCTCCCTCTCCGAGTTATGGATCGGCTCCGTATAGCTTCAAGTTGCGGGTCCCTCCTCGCCTTTGCCCTACCGGACAGGTTGCTTCCCCTCCAGCAACCAACTCATGCGGTGATCAATCGGCGCGCTATCAATCACATAGTCCTTTTCCTCGTCCTTCAATCTCAGAAGTCCATCATACGTCCTCGAGGGCTGGTCGCGCCCCTTCCAGACCCCATAGAGACTATCATCCGAATCGCCAGTTTGAAACAGACATCCCTGACTGGGCTCTACGCGAGATTCAGAACCCAAAGACTCGGACCAAGGCACCTTCATCAGCCCACTACAAACAGAATAACCACCGCCACCACGACCATAGCCATAGACATACACCCTCGTGCTCAAGATCCTATAGACCTTGCCACGACATCGACCACCAGATTGAGGATCCTGTGCCCATGTATGGTGTGGCTCTTGTCGACGACAGAGGCGGTGTTGAATTCTTGGCCACGGACAGGATGGACGACTGGTTGGCGAACCTTGGAGACGACGACTTCACAATCTTTGAGGACCCTTTGGAACACGGACTAGAGCAAAACGACACGGAAATGAACGGGGCCGAACCCCATACTGATGAATCCGGGCTGGCGCCCACTGTCGTTCGTTATGCGATGATGGAGATAGAAGACGGCGACGATTCGGACAAGGAAAACCAAAACGACGCCCCGAAGTATCGCCGCATTCGCAAGCCCACCCCTATCAAGCCTGCTATCCTGAGACAGATTGATCCGAATAAGATCGAGACCGAGATTGTGAAGGAGGAGGATGCGAAGACCATCTGGCCGGGTGTGGAGGACTCCATGCTTAGCGTTCCCAAGCGGAGGAGCATCAAGCGTCAAGTTGTGAGTCCATCTTTAGCTCAGCACCCTAACGTAGATGAAGTAGCCACTGACAATTTACCCCAGGACTCACAAGCCGACACGCTGGAGCGGCCTGCTTCCAAGCGCAGCAAGCTTACCAACACTCTCAAGCGTGGTCTGTCGAAGATGAGCCTGAGGAGCATCAGAAGCAGCCGTGCTTCTAAGCGAGCAAGTACTCCTGCTCCGTCTGTCGGCACTCGTGAGGTGTTTAGCCGACTGAGCTCTTTCTCGTGGATGCCTGGTTCCGATAAGCTGCGATCTGTCTCGGGCTCTTCTGGACCGGAGAGGAAGATCAAAATCTGCCTGGTTGGCGATGTTAACGCGGGCAAGACAGCTTTGGCGAAGTGAGTACTCCCGTATGTCTTTGGGGATGGGTAATGGTGTTAACATATGTGTACAGCCGTCTCATTTCTGGGGAGTTCGTTGAGGTACGTAGGCACTTGCCATTGATATCTACTGCAGAAGACATACTAACATCCACTCTCAGGAAAAGAAGTCGGACGTCTCTCCTCAGCACTCGCCAATTACCGACCACCAGATCCCAACTGCTCCCTCGTCCCATGCTACGGACTATCGCACCTTCTCCATCTTTGCTGACGACGGAAAGCTCGTCACTATCGAGCTCTGGGACTTCCCAGGCAACATTGCTAATGAGCGGACCACCCAGCTGGCATCCAACTTTTTCCAAGCTGCCATTATCTGCTACAGCATCGAGGACGTTAAGAATCTTCCCGCTATTTGTGATACGGTATGTCTCCACCATTTTCATCATAACGAAGCCGTCTAGGTCACTAACCCAATGCCATCCAGTGGAAACCCAAACTCGACCGCTCCCTCATCGACTGCCCTCGCTTCCTGCTAGGCCTCAAGAAAGATCTCCGCCCAGCCTTCCCTCCCCTGGGCCTCAGCTTCCTGCCTCGCAAGGAGCCTGTCATGGCCGACATGGGTCGCAGCGCAGCCTACCACTCCCGCGTTGCCGGCTATGGCGAGTGCTCGGCCAAGACGGGCGAGAACGTCGACGATGCGTTCCGGGGTATTGTCAACTTTACCTTGAGCCATATGAGAAAGAAGGAGATAGGTATTGCCCATGGAAAGCGCAGGGAGAAGGCCAAGGAGACGGTCAAGGATGCGGGTAAGGTCATGGTTGATGCGTTGTGCGGATTCCCCAATGACCCGACTCCGGGCCGCGCGTGGAGCCGTCACTTGTAGGCACTCGCCGATGCTGATCTGCTGGATACGATTGCTTTCATCCGAATATCAAGATCATGTTGCTGGTCTTCAGATGGACATCACTTTTGCTAAATTGCCCAAATAATGTAGGATATATACGCATTGGCGGGTTGAGAGGAAGAGGGTCTTGGTCGAGGTTGAGGAGGCAATTGGGTCAAACAAGGGAGCAGCCAGAGACGAGTGTTTGCGCGGTTACTTATAAAGCTCAATTGGAGCAACAGCTTGTATGAGTAGGGCGATAAGAAGTTGTCAATCTGGAAAAGAAGATGATGTTGTATCTTTGGTAGTTGATGTGTTGAAGATGCCAAGACGCGTCGTTGGGTTCTGGAGTTCAGGTAGTCACGTAACCCCGCTAGATGCATAGCTGCCCTGTGTTGGAGATCATTCACGCGTCAGAGTGGGGAAATTGGGGGAGCTTGGCCTGTTCCGGGCAGGTACTTCCACTTGTACAGCAACACTTTCGTTCTCGAAGCTCACACACCACAAAGTACGTGAACCTTGATGGCCTCATAGAAATAGGCAACTTTTATCACATAACTTCTAATAGTAATTCTTATTCTTTACTTGCTGTAACATATCCCCTTATCGCCGTCACTCTGTGCTTGGTCACTTTAGGAGACCGTGCCAAGTCAGAGCCTAGGTGTTCACTTCATCTCTTGCTTTGCGTCCCATTTCATCGAACATCTTAACCAACCGCTTTCATCCACGCAACACGCATTCGGAAATCCGGTTCATACAGCCACTACTATCTTAAAAAAATCCTTCAGATCAATAGCCTCAAGAGGCCACACACAATCGGAGACAATGAGCGACGACTGGGAGGATCGCTCCCCCTCCAACCAAACCTCCAGATCACCACTTCTCCCGACGAATACAACCTCATCCGTTCCAAACAACCCATCCTCAACATCCCCCCTCCTCCAACCCTCCCTCCACCTCACAGTCAGATTCAGTGCCTCCCTCCCCGACCTCCACCTCGACATCCCCTCCCCCAACCGCACCACCATCGTCGCTCTCAAGCACCGCATCCGCGAGCGCCTCCTATCCTCCAGCAAAGATGACGAAACCACCGCCAAAGCGGCCCGGAGCCGTCTCCGCTTCATCCACGCCGGCAAGATCCTTCCCGACACCGCCATCGTGAGCTACGTCCTTCGACCGCCTCCCCCGCCGCCCATGGCCGTCGACGCCAAGGGCAAGGGGAAAGCCGTCGATCGTCAGCAACAACGGGTCTACGTAAACTGCAGTATAGGCGACGAACTCACAGACGAAGAATTAGCCACCGAAGCGGCCGCCGCTTCTTTTGTCCCCGCCCCTGTAGGAGGACCCATTGATTCAACCCTCACTGGCACCGGTACCGCCGGCGCCGGTAAAAGCAGCCGCTCCACCTGCCTCCAACCCTCCTCCTCCTCTTTAGCAGCAGGAGGAGAAACTCGATCCCGACTATCAGCCAGGGAAGCAACGACGACAACAGACCGCAACACCCCCCGCGGCTTCGACCGCTTCCTCACCGCGGGCTTCACGCCCGCAGAAGTGAACCAGCTCCGTCTACAATTCACCTCCATCCAAGCCTCCCGCTTCACACCCGACACCATGCCCTCGCCCGACACTCTACGATCAATGGAAGACGCATGGATAGATACCAATCACGCCGGAGCCGGTGGACCCGGTCTCGGCATGGAGGCCGATGACGGCAACGGGATGGTTCCGGAACCAATAGGTGCCGAAACGGATGGGTTCAACGGCATGGTTGATACGCTCGTCAAGGGCATGTTCATTGGGTTTGTGTTTCCCTTGGGGGCTATTGCTTGGTTGTTGAGGGAGGAGGGCATGTTGTCGAAGCGGTGGCGGGTTTCTATTGCGTTTGGGGTAGTGTTTGGGTTTGGGATTGGGGTGTTGAGGGCGTTTTCGGCTGATCCGTAGGGGAGTCAGAGTTAGGATCCGTTGGTGAGGCGGGCTGGAAACGTGGTTGGGGATATGGCGCGCTGGGTCGGAGCGTGGGAGTTCTGCCGGTTCGTGGTTGCGTTTGGTATCTTGTCTTGGTCTATCTATAGACTTGTTGAGGGAGTTCGGTCTTTGGTAGAGGAGGAATGATTGGGATCTAACCAGCCTTTTTTACTTGTAAATATCTGTCACAGAACTGGGTTGTTTTTGAGGACGGAGGAGGTTGACGGGAAACGAAAAGCGAGATACAGCGGTTTGCTTTGGGGGTATATGTTTCGGAGAAAATACCCTTATTGACCTTATGAGCAGTCGCTTGAGGCAAATGTATAACTTAAGAAACGCGGAGCATAATTGAACAATTAACCACTTCGTGCCCACACGGCAAATGCTGTCTTTGGTAGGTATCCTGAATTACACTTTCTCTTTAATCCATCCGGTCAGGTTCTATTTGTATGTAGCCCGTACTTCCCCTCCTCTCATAAACGACCATGACACCGCTGGTATCTATGCACATGTACAAAACGCCCATTGTTATGCAAAAGACTCCCATGTTCCTGAAAATGCAAAAGAATATCCATTGCCTAACAATAACCCAACTCCAGAATGCAGAGCCAACCAGAGAATGCTAAACAACTTATTCGTTTCAATAACTTCAAACCAAATCCCAACTTCACTGGTCCTTCTTCTTCGCAGGCGTCGACCTGAACGTCAGCAACCCACCACCTAACCAACCCCTGCTCTTCTTCTCAGCCTCCACCCTCTCCGCCTCCCGTTGCTCCTCCTCCTCCTGACTCAAGCTAAAACTACGACCTAGCATTTCGGAGAGCGAGTTCCGGGGATCGTTCTGCGGCGGAGGCACAAAGAACTTGGGCGGCGCAAAAGCAACTCGTGCCGGGGTTGGATCGATTCCCGTATCCTCTCCAGCATCTCTCCTCATAGTCATGGTCATATGGTCGTTGTTATTGATCCTCCCGAGAATCTGGTTCTGCGGGGTGTTGACGAGCGCAGAGCTTCCGAAGGATGGTATCCCTGTGCCTGGCCGAGGTGCCGTGTTGCGAGGGGCAATGATGCGTGGTTGTTTGGTAAGGTAGTTGTTCAACCTCTGAGCGGGCGCTGTTGGCGCTGGCGGTACGCGGTACCAGAAGGGTCCCTTGTTCTCGTCGGTAGGAGCTTCGTTAAAGCCTTGGTTTTCTCGCTGGCCAACGGTTTGGAAGGCGCGATATTGTGACTGAGTAGGCGTCCAATCCATTTCCTGCGTGTAAGCAGCCGCTGCTGACCTTGTGTTGGCAGCTGGACCAAGAGACGAGAAAGAAGGGCCAGTGCCAGAGCTAGCGCCAGTACCAAAGCGGCGTGGTGTTGGGGAGAATGGAGACCCTGGAGTGGCCGGAACATTAGACCTTCCTACCCGTGGCACGAAGAATGGTGAATGGTCTATTGATGGTGTTGGGGAGGCCGGGCTGGATGGGCCATTGACGATCTCATCCAGCAAGTCAACCATGACCTTGATTTCGTCTGGCTTTTCATCTGGTGTCGTGGCCGGAGCCGGAGCCGGAGCCGGCGCTGGAGCTGGGGCCGGTGTCAGTGATGATGAGAATGAAGATCGCGCAGCAAGTAACTGGGCCGATGGCTTCACTGCTCTTCCTGATCGTCTCGGACCCGTAGCTGCTGCTGCCGTATTTGCCGTTGTCGGCCTATATGTAGATGGTTGTATTACAGATCCGCCTTGTGGTGCGGATGGTTTAGAGGTGTTTCCAAATAGGGGCGCCATGTCGATACGGATAGCGCGAGGAGCGAGGAAGTGAACCTAGAAGCAGATGTTAGTCATGATTGGAGTACAAAGGGGTCATCAAGATGACTTACAAGAATAGCAAAGCCGGCCCAAAAAACATGCGCGGCTGCCGGCATATTCAGGTCTGCTTGCTCAGGGCCAGCTAGGATGGGTAACCGCCTGACCCAAAATCGCATAAAGACTAGAATGAGCTGATACATGTACCAGGCTCGGAACCCAGTTATGTGTTTTGTGAAGCCTCGGTGTAGCTGAGGATACCGTGGATTCCACCAGACACTTAGGACCGCGGTAGTGAGACTCCAGCTACTCAACCGGTCGGTTGACGGCAAAACGTTGAAAACCCAAAAGCATGTATTCACAGCTCTCAGAGCCCATTGATTCGGCGTTTCACCCAATTGCGTTACGATGGCCGCCTTGAACAGCATGAGCATTATGGAGAGATGCCAAAGGAGTTGAAGCACCAAGCTAGCAGTCCGTAGCCACCTTCCCAAAGAGTCGAAGACGTTCAGCCAACTCCATCCTGTAACCTGCTGTCGCTGCTTGTTGCTTCTCTCTATCATCCGGAGTAAGACATCGGTTTTTGCCGTGTAAGCCGCTTCGCTTAGTTTCTTCTGGACGCGCGGTTCGCACTCGGCGCACATTTGAGGATAGAGGCGCTCTTGTAAACGTCGGAACTTGTAGATGTTCCTACATCGCTCTTCGTATTCAGAATCGTCGGGGTCCGGAAGATACTGGGCCAGGACAGCTCGAAGCTTGTCCTGGTTGGCCAGACACTTGTTGCAAAAGACGCTGGCGCTCGAGGAACCGACGGTGGGCGAGGTAGCTCGCGTCGTGGCAAACTTGGCAGGACTTGCCTCGTACTCGGTCGCTACAGGAGGATCGGTGATGTCGCCATTCTAGCGGAGTAAAAAGAAAGGCGTCAGTAAATCGTGACAGTATGCGCCAGCCAGGTAGGCTGCATAGATACGAGACAGCAGGGAGACCTACGCCATCAAGGTAGTTGGTCGCGTCGCAATTCCGACACTCGAAGTTGCGAATGGAGCTGTTCCATGGTGTCGAGGTCTTGCGGCCACAATAGAAACATGTTAGATATCGAGTCCTGTTTAGTCTGGGCATCTCTTGGGCTGGTTGCGCGTTCACGCGATGCCCATTGCAGGATGTTTTCGATTTCCAGAAAGCGGCGCGATGCCGTTCTTTGCGACACTGGCAAAGCTTCCTTCGAGTATGTCCCCAACCGCTGAAGATAATCGCAGGTATCCGAAACCAAGAGCTCAGTTTGTCGTGGGGTGGTTCCTCTTTTTATAGGTGATTGTTGGATCGGATTGTCGTCTTGCGTGGTGAATGGTTCAGGTTCTCAATGGATCAAGGAAAGATGGAATGGGAATGGAAGCGACATGCGGCTTTGCGAAAGAGGAGCTCTCCCCATCCATTCTGCCAGGCGGTCGGTCAACTTTTTAGCGGCCTGAGCCGCCAAATGCGCCCAAACCGCGGCCCTGGGGCAAGTGCCAAGCTGTCCCGTAGGCGGTCGTCAGATCTCCCGTTGCACCAGTGGGGCCACCGTCGTCATTCCGCCATTCGGCAGATCATCAGGGGTGTGTTCTCTCTCTTTCAGGGGTTTCAGTTGGCCCAAGCTTCATTTCGTGCCCGTAAAGTGACATGGCGTAGGTACAGCACCACCTTTGTTGTCATCTTTCCACATCCGATTGAAGGGCCTTTGATCTCAATATCCAGATCATATATCAAGCTCTTGATCTTGTCATCTTACACTCCGCTTAACTCGAGACACCCTGTGCCAAGTATGGCAATTATATGAGCGAGTCTAGCTTGTTCACCTTCAGATGGCATTTAGTGGTGAATGTTGACAAACGCCAGCTTCTTGTTACATCAAGTTCCCCTTTTTGGGCTTGTTTATCTAGCCCCTTTCTTTGGAAGGCATGAGTTAGGAAACCCTGGAACGAAACACGTTCAGAAGATTCTACAAAGTGACAACCGCAAGTCCCCAGCTCCAATATGTAAAGAATGTAAAACTAATTTTATCATCAGAGTCTAAAAGAATCCTTGGGCCTTATCAGTCGGTTCCAGAATGGCCCCTCCGACTTCAGTGTCCGTTCAGACGGGCGAGGAAGAGCTAAAGCCCGACACCAGAGCTGAGACCTACTCTCAGTTACAGATTGAGACTTTGAGCAGCATCAACTTGACAGTCGCCTTCTTTGTTGGAGGTGCTGCGTCTTCTGCCGCAATTGGGCTTGTGCTCTCCAGTCTCTCATGGTTGTGGCTCATCACCTTCGTCATCACCCTCGGGGTAGTGCTTGCTACCTTCATAGTCTACCGGCATTTTGAAATAATAGGGCGGCGTCAAAGACCGGGTGGTAGCTGGCTCGTCGCCAGCAATGCGCCCCAGACCAGTACCGTTGGCGCGCAAGTGCCCAACACCACCTCTCTCCCTGCCGTCTACTTCACATACATACTTGGCTCTGGCGGGCACACTGCTGAGATGATTGAGACCATCAGGCAGTCATTTCGTGGCCAGGCAAACATGCACCGGCGGTACATTATCTCCACTGGAGACACTTCCTCCCTCGCCAAGGCCCGTCTTCTGGAATCGACCATCAAGGACGCCTATCCTGGAGAAGATGCTCGAGCAGGCACCTCTGATATCTTTTTGATCCGCCGTGCTCGCAAGGTCCATCAGCCGTTCTATACGGCACCCTTTACCTGCCTTGTATCCGCCTTTCATGCCGCCAACGCCCTCACACGGATTCCCAACTTGCGGTCGACAAAGGAAAGTGGAAAGGAGTTCACATACCCGCATGTGATCGTCACAAATGGACCTGCCAACGGCTTTGTTGTTTGTTTTGTGGCCCACTTGCTCAAGATATTCTACCTCATTCCGGAGAACAGGGCCAAAATGGTGTACATCGAGACCTGGGCCAGGTCTAGGACGATGAGTCTGACGGGGAAGCTGTTCTTAAAAACGGGCATTGCTGATGTTGTCGGTGTGCAGCACCAGAGTCTGGCGGATATATTCAAGGGTAGTCAGTATATCGGGCCGGTGTCTGCCGGGTTCCTTCGAAAATAGGCGGCAGGGCTCCGGAATCACATGTATTTGTACAAAGTCTCTTTCCCTCTCTATATGTACGAAGAGACATGGTATTCTTACAGTTGTACACGAGTGGGCCGGCGTCGTCTTTCCCAGACACGGATGGGTATCAACCACGGTACACCACTCCCTCCTTCCCCTTTTACTCCAACTCTTTCCCTTAAGGCTGCGCGAGCAGCTCATCCTCCTCGGCTCCCTCGAGCGCAGAGTTGTCGACGACGTTGGTGTACATGGAAGCCCTGGCAGACTCCTGGCGGGCGATCTCGGTCGTAGCCCACTTCTTCCAGCTCTCATACGTCCTGTTCTCGAGCTCCATGCCGACTGCCAGAAGGTCCTTGCCAAAGTAGCCACCAACCATGCGGGCCTCCTCGGCGGCTATCCTGCGCTCCATCTGCTCCAGCTGCCTCAACTTGTAGAACTCGTGGCGCGCCTTGTCGTAGGCTTCCTGCTTGGTCATGCCCTGGCGCTCCATGAGCCAGAGCTGGCGTTGAACGACACTATAGTTTGCGATTAGGGTTAGTATCCGATTTTCATGCCCATCCGCCTGGCTTTTGTGCCATGTGCAATGCGCCCATCCAACAACGTACCTCTCGCCGGACAAAGGCATGCCGCGTTGCCTGAGACCCTTGGACCAGTCAAGGAAACGGGCGTCCTTGCCATCCAACTCAATAATCATCCTAGGCCTGGCCAACTCCCACGGGTGGTCGCGGTAGAAGTCGCGGCGCAACTCATCTTCGGGATAGACGATCTTGGTGGGCTTAAAGAGGTTGCGAGGCTTGCGCGCTCGCGGGTTCGGCGGAGAGTGCTGGATGGGATACGGCCTGGTGCTGATCTCGGCGGGGGGGATGGACTCGATGGCCTTGAGCCACAGTGGTGGGTTCCGTGGTGGCAGGCCAGAGACAATGTTGGTGGCAGCAGCCTCGCTAGCCCTCTGGTAGACCTTTGCGGCCTGGAAGATGCGCCCCTTGCCCATCTTGTCCGGTCGTCGCTGGCGGCGTTCGGGTGTTGTGGAGGGAATTACTGGAGACAATCGACGGCGGCGGTGATGTTAGTTGAGATCAGAGGACCATTGGCGGATTCGGCGGTCCTTTCGTCCCTCAGATTCCCTCCCAAGGCAAAGGCAAGGCTACGAGGTTATGGGGTGTGTATACCTGTGTAAGGTAATGATAATACACTGCGCTGCGTACAATGGATTCCCTCAACCGCCAAACCTATCGTTATCGCTATTTGCTAGCTTAGGTTTGTACAGAAAAGTGGGGCTTTGCCTTTTGGAGACACGCGGGACCGAGACGACCTCGTTGCCGGCAGCCCGCGCGACCTGTTGTCCGCCTGCCGCGAGCGAGCAATTGGGAGGACGTGCCGGCAAAAAAATTGTTCCCCTCCCCGCGATTGAGCGACCAAGGTACCTGGCTAGGCGCTTATCGATAACAGAAGCTCTGGAGCCCGGCGGAGACTGGAGACCTGAGCGAAGTGTTCCCCTCTTCTTAGGCAGGGGTGCGCTCACGGCAAGGTACCTGGAGCTGTTGCCTCTGTCCAGTCCATGTACCCCAACTTTTTCTCATTTATCGCGTCGCCCACCCGACCCCAGTTTCCTGTCTTCATGACTCGAGTTCTCCCCATTCTCCCCATACTTCCCCGCCCTCCACGGACCTGACGCCCTGACCAATTCGACTTGTTCGCGATCCAATTCGCCAGTAACCGCGACCGCATCGATTGCGCAGCAGCCAGCAGCTTGCGACGACGGGCACGGTGATCGCATCTCGTCTGAGCTCTCCTCCATCGAACTGCGGCCGGAACTCGTGGGCAAAGGCAAGGAGGAAGGAGGGGTTGGGCTGAATGGGCAGGCCATCATGTTGGACGACGGCAGCTCATGAAAGTCTCCAGCCGATTTGACGGGTCGATATGCGGCACCATCTTCTTGCATCGTCCGTCGTGGAATTGGTCTGCCATTGCCGCCTCCGCAACCGCAATTGATGCCACCAGTTCCGTGTCGCAAACCAGCCAGCGTGACCAAGGCAGCGGACGAAGAAGACAGGTTGCGACAGCAGGCCTCGGCCCAGCACAACAACGACGGCGCTTCCATGGCGGCTGGAGCTCACAAAGTGGCCTTGTCGACGGGGCCGCGAGGAGACCCATACGAGGCTCCACCGGTTGCCCGCTACTGACCACCTCATCCCTGCGAGCAACTCCCACCAGTCTGTCCGGCACGAGCAGCAGACGAGCACTCGACTCCAACTTCTTCCGCTATTCGGTATCCGCTCCCCAGAAGAAGAGCCACACGGCGGCGGCGGCGGCCCCGGTTTCTGAGCCCGAGCCCGAGCCCGTTGCTGCAGCCGCCCCCGAACCCAGTGCCGATCAGAAGCCCGCCGACTCCGTATTCTTCTCGGCCCCATCCGCGCTACATGACGATCTATCGACCGAATCCCACTCGGGTGCAAACCCACAATCACAAGAGCCGCTCGAATTCCACTATATTAAGCCCGGTCATCTTACCAAAGAAGAGCTGCTTGAGCTGGTAGATCCCTATCATGGTCTAGATGGAACGGTCGAAGACCACCTCAAGTTCATTCGCGATCCTCACATGCATAACTATGCGCCCGCTGACAGGCCCCGGTTCACCTTCGTACAAAACGAAGATGACTACGAGTATCCAGGCCCGGACGAAGTGGTTGGTCTGGACGAGTATGGCCAACATACACTGAGCGATCTCAGGTTTGCTGTGCTCATGCGGCTGCGCACTCCACACAAGATAGACCTTGACACTATCTACGACCTCTACCAACAACTGCCGGAACCGCGCATGCCCTACATCAATGGTCGGTTGCGACACCAGCTCCTGAAAGCATTAGGGCAGCCTCAGCGGAGGAACTCCAAGTCCATGCTGCGGTATTTCGCCGTCATAGCGGATGTGAGGAACTGCAGCATGCCCTTGACGGCAGGGGAGTGGAATTGCGCCATCTCTTTCGCAAGTCGATATGTTGGCACTGTCACCGAAACCCAGGCGCAGTCTGCCATGAGACTATGGCGCGAAATGGAAGTCGACGCTGGCATCAAGGCGACCGAGGTGACCTTTAACATTCTCTTTGATGTGGCTTCCAAAGCTGGCAACTTCACCCTCGCCGAAATGATTTACAAAGAAATGGTCAGCCGTGGGCACTATTTCAACCGCTATCACCACGTGAGCTTAATCCATTTCTTTGGGCTCAAGAGGGAGACCGGTGGACTTCGCGCCGCGTTTCGGGAGATGGTTGAAGCCGGCGAGATGATTGACACGGTTGTCCTCAACGCCGTCATATCTGGACTGTTGCGATCGGGCGAGGAAGCAGCGGCCGAGCGCATTTATGCTCGCATGGTGGCTTCTATCGCGAAGTGGTCGGAGGCACCGTTCCCGACACGGAGCTATGCCAGCGATCGCGCCATCACACAGGCGCTGAAGATGATGGCCCGGGTTGCAAAGAAAGCTCCCGAGTTGCAACATAGCTTTCAAGAGATGGTGCCTATGCATCCAAACCTTCGGACGTATAGTATCCTGGTCAAGTATTACGGCGTTCGGTGCGGAGATCTCTCTTGCGTGGCCAAGTATATCGACGAGATGAAGCTGTTCGACATCCCTGTTCACGGCTCCATCTTCAAGGTTTTGTTCAAGGCTTTTGACCGCCATGGTGGTTACGCAACTTCGGCATGGAGCGCGAGGCGGTTAGAATCAATCTATTCGGCCCTGCTAGAAGCCGTAGACGCTGGACGGACACTTGTTCATCACTCGACCCCTCCGCCAGCTGATGAGGAATCGTATCCTGATGATCACGTTCAAGAAGACCACCTTCATGAGCCAGTTCAAGTTCAGGAAGAGAATATCCAGGAGGAACACCATCCCGAAAGCTACGACCCTGAAGCCGAATTGCCCTACGAAGAGGAGGACTATCAACAAAAGAAAGAATGGGGCGTCGACCGCCCAGGCGTAGAGATCAAGACCTGGTTAGCCATTTGGGTCCTGCGCGCATTCATGCGGTGCACAAACGGCGACAGAGTCGTCGAAGTCTACGACCAACTCAGGGCCCGCTGGGAGCTCAGCGACAAGGACGAGCTATTCATGGCAGACTTTCTGTCTTCGCTTCTGATCGATGGCTCGAGAAGAGGGAAATGGTAATACAGTACAAGTATATCACGACAGAACATGGAAACACCAGAGACGGACAGAAGAGGTCTACAACGGGACACAGAACGTCACGGGCACTATCCGTCATGAGCTAATGATGCTTATGCACATATTTTACATATCTACAGATACAGTTGTTGTTGCTGTTTCATATCTTTTGATGGCGGTGGTGGTTGGACGTTAATGTTCTTTGTATATTGCTTTTATTTTCAGACGCGGACCAGTCGCGTGGTATCTATCTGCATTTGCATGTTTGGTTGAACCAGAGGGGCGAGCTTAGCGAGCCGGAGTTTGGACTCTGAAGAATCTTTTATGTGGTTGTATGATAGAAGTTAGACTCATTGTTAGAGGCGACCAGGAGGGACAGATCATTCAAAGCATTCATGTGACGTTCCATCCACGAACACTACTCGTCAGGCCTAGAAAATCGGCGGCTGACTAGCGGGAAACCCCCTATCCCGCTAGTCAGCCGCCGATTTTCTAGGCCTGACGAGTATGCCCACACGAGTGATCACAATCACCATTAGATCGGTGTTCAGTTCTCTTATTTACTCCCAAAATGTCTTCGCTGTAGCTTACAAAAGCTGGTATCATTATATGCATAGGGCTTCCAACTCCCTTCCCTTTCCACTTCAGCCCAACCCCAAGAATCTCCCATCATTAAACTTGATTACTTTCAACTGGGAATATTCACTAGCCAGTCCCCTTATTTGACCTTGCTCATGATAGTTTCCGGTCCTCTGACAACGTCCATCTGGGCGGCCCTAGCCTTGACCGCATTCAACATGCTTCTCTCAAAGTCATCTCTGGACCTCAACACCGCTTCGACCCAGCTGATCTGCAAGTCCCAATACTGGCTCTTGAACTCTGCAAACGCGTCCGGCACCGCCTCCCTATCGACCGTCAACAACTGCAAGAACGGCTCCGACACGCGCCACGTCTCCTTGATGGCGTTGCCCACATCCGGGTTGGGCAGGTTATTGAAGAAGTCAAAGGCGGTCGAGAGATCGTCAAAGATCTTGTCCTGGAAGTTATCCTGCCTGCGGAACTTGGCGCCCTTGTTGCGCACCGACGACAGGTAGCGGATGAGCAGCTCCTCGGCAAAGATTTCGATGAAGATGTCGACGAGCGAGTGGTGCAGCACCATCTTGTAGTCGGACACGTACTCCTCGAACGTGGCGATCATGCGCGCCATGGCGTTGGTCGTGTACCACCGCGGCGTGAAGAAGTCGGGCATGACGGTGCGGAAGTCGACCGCGAACACGAGCTGCGCGAACTTGGTCATGCACCACGTGCTCAGGTCGACGTAGCCGTCGCGCAGCGCCGCGATCTCCGTCTCGGCACGGTCCATGTACTGTGGCGACACGAGCGGGCTGAACTTACGCCGGAAGTCGGAGAGGTACGCCATTCGGCCTTCGTCCTCGTTGTCGTCGATGCAGGCGATTTGGTCGTTGGCTGTCGCCACGAGCCAGTCCTGCAGCGGCTGGAAGCCGTCCAGCTCCGGTTGGCCTTGTGGGGGTTGCAGCTCGTACCGCGCGGCTTCGTCCTCGAGCATCTTTTGCCAGGATTGCTGGCGGGTACGTAGGCGCTGGAACATGGCGTCGATGACACCTTCGACGACATCGGCACGCTTCGAGTTGCCCGCGGCATCGACTTGCTCGCGGAGCATGCGCCAGAGGTCGACCAAGTTCTTGGTGCGGAAGTATCCATACTCGTCCTGGTCGAGGTTGCCGCCCTCGACATTGCGGTCGGTAAAGTCTTTGACCTCTTGCTTGTAGATACGGTCGATCCATTCGTCGAGGAACTTGATAATGAGGGCGCGGAAGTCGCGCACTAGTTCGGCCTCGCGGTTGTCGATCACATGTGGTGTTAGTTCGTCCTGCTTCATTCCCAATTTGGTCATCTTGCGATAGTAGGCCTCAGGCCAGCTGATAATGGCCAGGGTATGCGCTGAACTGGTCTCTGGGTCGTCGATTAGCCGAATGAGGTAGTCGTGCATCAGGCCGTGATAGATGGTAGCCCATGTCTTGAATATCTTCCACTTCTTGGGCATCAGAGGAGTCATGCCGATCTTGACGGCGTTCAGGTCGTTGAAGTACCATTTCAAAGACTTATCGAGCATATCCGGATCGCCCAAGAACTTCTCCTTGCTCTCCTTGAACTGATCCTCAGCAAAGGTCTTGATAGCCTTCAAAAACTTGTCCTTATAACCCCTGACCGTCTTGGCGCCATCGGTTATGCTCTGGAAGCGTGTGGCCATCTCCTTGTGATCCTTCAGCGCTTCTTGCAAAGCCAAAACCCTCTGGTCACTCTTCTCCTCGGCCTCTATTATCAGTGCAAAACGCACCACCAAACTGTTGTTGTCCGCAATAACCAGGTTGATCAAACTCATGGCCACGAGGGTGATATTCACATCAAACCACTCGATGTATTTATCCAGACGGGAAAAGTAATCCTCCAGTGTAGACTGCAGGCCCGGGTCGTCGCCTCTCTGTATTTGTTCGATAGCATCGTCTCGGATATTACGGAGCTGCGTCAACTCGTAGTGAATAGCCAGCAAGTTGGGCATGTTCTCGGGGTCCTCGTCGTCCTCGTTCAACATCCTGTCGATGGTATCTAGGCGCTCGCTGAAAGTTTCGAGGTTGCGGCGCATAGTCTCGACGGCGCCAAAGTTGCGGTGGGCTTGGGACACCAGGTTGATGGTTGCAAAGTCGGTGATCATGTCTTGCGACTCGGAACATATCTTGTCGATTTTCATCATCTCCTCCTTGATCTGCTGCACCGTCTTTTGTCCCTCGGATAGGCCGTTCATACCGGCCTGTGTCGTCTCGAGCTGCTCCCGCAAGCCGCTGCGAAGTTGGGAGTCGACGGCTGCCTTCTTCCTCATGAACTCGGCCTTGAGGGTGGTGATCTTGTCGAGATCATCGGGGTGCCGGAGCAGCTCGGCGAGGTTGACGGGCGGTAAATCCATCTTCGTGTGTGTGTGTATGTGTATTATCCGCGTGGTGGTGGAAAGTTGGTTGTTAGATATGTTGTGCTTCTCCTTGACGTCGTCTTCCGTGATCCGTGTAGCGTGTTGCCTGGACGGTAAGTCTGCATGTTCGCTTCACCTCATACCATGTCGCGCAATGTGTTCAGTATGGTTCCCGTCGCAAGTGTTAAGAAGATGTGGATGTTGCTCTCTCGGCTGCTCGGTGTGTCCGTCGTAGTGTTTGGTAGTAGTATAGGTAGCGTTGGTGTTGTGTTTCGTTGCGGCTCCTGCTCCTGGCAGGTGGAATGGAATGGCGGTTGACGTTGTGTGTGATCTTTGGGGGGAACCGGCGGCGTCGCAGGTACCCTAGCGGACCCTGACAAGTACCTGGCACTACAGACAGGGGATGAGCTCTAAAAGGGTACCTTCGCTTTGCTCTGGCGCAAAGTACCAGGAATGCATTTACACGGGAAAACGGGCGTGGGCCGATTGGCTTGTGCGCATAGCTGCATATCTGCAAACTTACTGTAACGACGGCGGTATCCTGTGAAACATAGGTTGACTGTGCCGAGGACCATCCTGTCCAGGGGCTTTGTTTCCTTTTCTGATTGCTATAGCTACCGTCTTGTCCTCCGGTGCCCAACTCGTCGCTCCCATCTGGTACCAAGATCGAGATGTCATGCGCATAACTGGAGTGGATGTGATTTTCATATCTGTTGGGTATCATGACTACGAGCAGTTGACCGGGAAGCTACTGGCAGCGATACCCTGAAAATGTGAGCATGAAGCTACATCCTTGAGCTCGCACGATCGCGGTTATTTTGAAAGTCAACGTATTTGAGCTCTAAAGCTGTACAGGAGCAATAAACAGGTCAGAAGCACCGCTTTTCCGACCTGGAGTGCTTTTCTGAAAACACCTTACCTGACAAGACTTACCATAGCGTCACTAGATACAGACGCAGTCAGATGATGGTGGACTACGCGGCTTGCTTACCTCGCAACATTGTCGAAGTAGTCAATGTTTCCTTGGTCGTCCCGTGTCGGATCTCATCCAAACAAGCTTTCCTTCCATCCGTGATCACAGCTTCAGCCAGAGGAGCCCCAGCACCCGTTGCCACCATCCATCTTCCCCTTATCGAAGTCAAAAGGTTTGCCAGAGCCATTGGTTCTCGGAGGGTCCAGAAAGAGAAAAACGTCGGGGCTGATGATGATGGTGGTTTCTATCCGTGTCGTATCATATACAGAAGAGCGCCCGGACAGTCCGGACTACCTGCGTCTATATCCGTGCCGGTCGGTTCTTTGCGTTTCCCCCCTTTCGGTATATCCCCCCCTTATTACGCACGCATCAAGCTCATCGCCCGCTCAAACTTCCCGATCATATCGGCACCCGCATAACAGCTAGTAGCGAGCCGTTTAAGAGCGGGGGCGGTAGGTCTGCCAGACTGTTGTGTTTGAAACCAGATTACGTCAGTGGAACCGTATACTTTCGCTCTCGGACAGGGAGAATATCACGCACCGGCAATGGCAACGGGAGACCCGAAGCCGACGACGCAGTACATGAGGTAACGGAACCAGAAGAAGCGGGTCTTGGGGTTGAAGGGAAGGTTGGAGCGGGGACCCTCGGGGTAGTGGTAGGGCGACGAGAGCTGGGCGCGGGTGTTCTGGAAGGTGCGGCGAGCAACGAGGCTGAAGGGCTGCTGGCGGGGAGCCGCGCGGAGGGCAACACGGGAGAACATCTTTTTTCTCGCAAAGCAATTCACACGCAGTCAGCTTTCCGATATCAAAGTTGCAATTGAGCGCAGAGCTCGGGGCGAGCTGCAGAGTGGCATGGCAAGGGGGACGGCATACCTTGAGTGGAGATTTGGTGATTCCTTGCTCGGTCAGAAGCTGGTGTCAAGGAGAGTCGAGGTGGGAAAGCACTTGGAGTGTGGTGATGAAACTGGAGGAGCTGCCCGTGGTGGTCCGTGACGCTAGTGCGGAATCTTGACGTTCGGAATTGGGAATAAGCTCGGCTGTCTCAGCTGGCTGCACAGCTCTGGCAGCTGCGCGTGGTGGGTGTCGGGCCTGACCAGTCGCAGGCCATTTGTTGTGGTGGACGGTGGTATGACTTTTTGCGCATCTGACCGGAATGGCTCGCCGTACAGGTACTTTCACGCGGCGAATGGGTCCTCCCCCAAACTCCCATTCTTCCAGCTGCCAAGTACCCAGGGCCGAAACTGGCCCAAGCTCTCGAGGTTGAGCTCCCCAAGGTACAAAGCACGTCACAGCCAGTTCTTCTTATCGGAGCAAATTCCATGGCGCTTATCGCGTTATCACTCTTTATCTTCGCCTATCTCGGCGGTTGTTTCGTCCTCAACTTACACCCAAAAGGCAAACACTCCAACAGGTTAGAACTCAAAACGATGCTAATCATAAAGTGGTATCTCGCGAGTGCTTTATGTTCAGGTATCATTTCCAACTTTTGCTTCTAATAAGGCTGCCACGCTCCGAATAAACACCATCACCCAAACATGCAAAGGTATATCCGGTTTAAATAGGTACAACAAATGAGAACCACCCTTTTCGCCCATCCGCACTCTGTTTACTTGAGAGTCACCAGCTCCTCAGCACTGGTGGGGTGAATAGCCACGCAGCTATCGAAGTCGGCCTTGGTCGCGCCCATGTTGATGGCAACACCGAAGCCCTGGAGGATCTCGCCGCTGCCAAGGCCGATGATGTGCAGACCAACAACCTTCTCCTCGGGGCCGGCGCAAATGAGCTTGTAGGCGGTCGGTGCCTTGTCCTCAGGCTGCATCATGGCGTAGTACATGGCAGTGAAGTTAGACTTGTAGATCTTGAGGTTGTCGGCGCCGTACTTGGCAACCGCCTCGGGCTCGGTAAGGCCAATGGAACCGATTTCAGGATGGGCGAACACAACGGATGGCACATTCTCGTAGTTCAGCCTGAGTGTCCTGAACTCCTCGGGGCCAAACAGACGGGCGGCCAGCTTGCGACCGGCAGCAATGGCGACGGGGGTCAACTCAATCTGACCGCACACATCACCAAGCGCATAGATGTTCTCGGTGCTGGTGTTCTGGTACTCATCCACCTCGATGTATCCCTTCTCGTTGGTCTTGACACCCGCCTTGTCCAAGCCGAGACCCTCAACCGCCGGTGTGCGGCCAACAGCCCAGATGAGATGGTCGACATCGGAGATAGACTGCTCGCCCTCACCCTCCTTGAAGTTGATAGCTAGCTTACCCGCCGCATCCTTCTCGACGCTGGTGAGGTGGCTCCTCTTGTGAAGCTTGACCCCGAGGCGCTCATACTCCTTGACCGACACCTGCTGAATCATAGGATCGAAGCTGCGAAGGAAGGTATCGTGGCGGATGAAGAGATGAGTCTCCACGCCGAGAGCGTTGAACATGCCAGCAAACTCGACAGCAATGTAGCCGGCGCCAACAAGGGCAACCTTCTTGGGGAGGGTCTCGATGTCGAAGAAGCCGTCGCTGTTGGTGCCGTATTCGGAGCCGGGGATATGGGGAGGAATGGTCGGGTTGCCGCCCACGGCGATCAGGATCTTCTTGGCGTTGACGACAGACTTGGTACCGTCATCGAGAGTAATCTCAACCGAGTTGCGGGACAGGAGCTTGGCCCAGCCGTGCACATACTCGACCTTGTCGTTGGCGAGGTTGCGCTCATAGATGCCGTTGAGACGGGCGATGTAAGCGTCGCGCTTGTGCTTGAAGGTAGTCCAGTCGAAGGGAGCAGTTTCCTCGACACTGAAGCCGTAGTCCTTAGCCTGGTGAATGGTTTCGGCAATAAAAGCGGCGTTGAAGGTGACCTTTTTGGGTACGCAGCTGCAGAGGAAGAGAAATTGTTAGAGCTTGACCTTTCGAGCAAAGTTGGAGGTGACTTACCCAACGTTGACGCAAGTACCTCCCAAGCGCTTGCCCTCGACTACCATGGACTTGATGCCATACTTGCCAGCAGCAGCGCGGGCAGTCGCGATGCCACCACTGCCACCACCAATGACGAGAAAATCGGTTTCCTTGGAAATGGGAGCCATGTTGAGAGCTGTGGCGGAGAAATGCCTAGACAAAGAACCAACTCGGCCTGAAGCTAGTCTGGACGAGACAACAGAAGGTCGAACAAGGAAGGACAGAGAGGGCATGGACGAAGGATATAAACCACCACAACGGTGTCCGGGCTGGTATCGCAAATAAGAGTGGTCTGGGCGGACGCAGGGTGCTGCAGTTGGTAATCCTTCGGGCGCGGTTGCGGTGGTGTTGGTGCGGGTAGTTAGTTGTCTGTGTCTGCGAGGACTGTGCAGGCTGGCGGCCCCAGGATTTGGAATATGTACGCTAGTGTCGGCCACACTGTCTCAAGTGGGGGACTACCTTGGATCTAAAAAGTCTATAAACCCAATGCATTGTGACACTACATCAGAGGGCAATTTGGGATTTGGAATGGTGATATGACCTGGACCCTATCTGACGCAAGCGCGGCCGTGTCCGGTAACCATGCCGAAGTTGGCGGTGGTGGTAGGATTATAAATTCGACTATGTACCATCATTCCAAATTACACAACCAACAGAGAGAACTGTCTCTTTCACGGCTTCTCCGTCTTTCCCCTCTTGTCATTATCTGAGTTATGATATCATAGGGAGTTAGGGACCGTCTCCCTCTAAAAAGTTACAATGAGACAGTACGAAAAAGAATTGAAGATGGACTGGTAAGTGTGGGTTATGGTAAGTAAGTAAGCAACACAGCCGAGAATGCCGAATCGCGTAGAAGTCGATCATGTAAGCAAAGTCTCGACATCGACCATCGGGGTTCTCACACAGTCCGCAAGGGGAAAGTCTAGACGACTCCAAGTAAGGCAGCTTGGACCCCGCGAGACGTTGGGATGGAAGGCAGGAACGGGGCCTTTGTTTGGTCAATTGCATGCCACTGGGAGATCAGAAGAAAAAGGCGTTAAACAATCCAGATCTGATGTGCCCCGCGATCGGAACGATTGCCGCGATAAAACTGTCGAACTTGCCTGCCGCCGGCTGCCCCGTGCCAGCAAGGTTCTTGAAGTCCGGCAGGCATTTGAGCTAAACCGTAATGGAATCCTTGGCAAACATTGACCAATGCCGCCGTAGAGTACAGACAAATTGCTATAATTTACCCTACGATATCAGCCATACGATAACAAGAGTGTAGTACTAGTGTGGTATTTTCACTTTCATTTACAAACTTCACTTCCATCATTTTGGGGCAGCGAAGACGGAATCAACCCAACACAAACACCCGTTATCTCACCTCGATCCAGGCATCTCACGACTCTTCAATTCAGTATTCAAAAGAGAGGCACTCAACTTATTAGCCGCCAAAGAGGCGAGAGCTGGGTTTGTGTGAGCAAACGAAGAGAGTCAGGCGTTGAATATCAGCTTCAAGCCACTCGAAGCACTCGGTTGCTCAACAAATCGTTGTCTTTACGATCGCTTGTGAGGAATTTTCTGGCTTGAGTCGAGTCCGGTGTTACCGGCCAGTTGTACATCATGGTGGGCAAGCCGTCCGCGGCGGCCAAGTTGTCGCTCGGCCAGTTGCAGGAGCTCATGGTCCGGTGTGGTCTGCCAAAGACTGGTTCAAAGCTTCTCCTATACAACCGTATTCGAGCCGCTGCTAGAGAGCACAAGCCCTTAGCCCCTGACTCTCGCATTCTCAGTATCGACATGGGTCTCAAGAACTTCGCCTACAGTGTTCTCACTCCAGTCATGCAAGGCAGCAAGGCCATGGCCGAAGAGTATCCTTTGCCTGGAGACGTAAAGCCCAAGGACGAAGATATCGTTGACACGGCCAGTTTCTTCGAAAAGCTTGAAGGAACCAAGGACAAAGAGAATGGCGACTTCGAGCGAAAATTCGAACCAAATCTGATAACAGACAGGGTTTATAATATAAACAACACTACAAGGCGTGTGGCCGATCTGCACGCATGGCGCCACCTCAACCTTCTCCCCTGGCTTGAGGTGAACAATATCGACGGAAAAAATACGGACGCCGTCGGCGAGAACTTTGCCCCTAACGCCATGGCTGACATGGCCTACCGTCTTATCACGGAGCATATTCTGCCCCAAAAGCCAACCCACATTCTCATCGAGCGTCAGCGCTTCCGCACCGCCAACACGGCCGGCATCTTTGAGTGGACCGTCCGTGTAAACATGCTCGAGTCCATGATCTACGCCATTCTGCGCGTCATGCAAAACCGCCGCGAGTTCAACGGCGTCGTGGTTGCCGTGCCGCCCAAGCGCGTGGTCAACTATCTTATGGACAAGTACGAACGTGAAATACCCTCACCCGGCCATCTGGCGAACCCTGAAAGGCACAGGATAAAGCCGAAACCGATACGAGGCTTCCGGATGTTGGAGAACGAGATCCCACCCAAGGAGGACAAGGATGACGAGCTTCTCAACCCATTCGAGGAGCCCATCAACGTTGACGAGAAGGAAACCAAGATGAAGATCAAGAACGTCAAGAAGGCCCGGATGTGCCTTTTGGGTTCGTGGTTAAAGAATCAGGAAAAGCTCGGTCTCGCAAACCGTGAGATGCAGCGCATGGCCCACTACTTCGTAAGGGCCGCTCCTGTCGCCGTCAACCATTTGTTGTCTCTGACCAAGCAGAAATTGAAGAACGACGCTGTAGTAATGCCGGATCCCAAGGACCTCCCGGAGTCCCTCGGCGTCGGCACATTGATGGGCAAGAGACAAGAGAAGACGGAGCGCGTTACCAAGGGCGAACACATCGAGAAGATGGACGACTTGTGCGACTCGGTTACCCAGGGACTCGCCTGGCTGGAGTGGAGGTTACAGTTGGAGGAAGCTATGAAGAGGAAGCCGTGGATTATGGAGGATAATGAGGAACCGGAGAGACCCAAGCTGGGAATTGCTGTGAGGAAGAGAACAACGGGCGGAGGTCTATAAAAGGCGGGCTCGGCACAGAGCTACTGTATGTACGATAAAGTGTTGCCAAGATACCTGTCATAGAAAGTGATAAAATCCGTTCTCTCATTGCGTTACCCTGCCGATGATGTCGTAACTATTGCCTTGCAGAATGACTTCTTGCTAATACGCAAGACTATGAATAGAAATATGGGTATCATATTAATCCAGACCTCAAACACTGCATCAACCAAGAGATCAACCAGCTACTAAACTCCAAGCCTCTCCCTTCATCCCTACTCACTCCAATATTCATCATACATCCCCTCTTCCCGCTGAGTACTAACCCATTCCTCACTCGCCAATCCCCTCGCCATCCTCCTCTTCAGCCCCTGAGGATCCTTATGCCAGTCACACGTATAATCGCACTCAGGCACTTGCGTCTCCCCAAAATACCTACAAATGGCCGCATGCCGACAAGAGCTGGTATCCTCACAATATGCCACCAGCCTACTGAGGCTCTCTTGCCTCGCCTGCTTATTATTAATCCCATCCGACCCCGAGTTCTTCGACACCGGCTCCCTCATGACCAAGTTACACACCCGGTCCCGGTCCTCGCGGCTGTAGTAAAGAAAACAATAACTCGCATTCCCATCACGACCCGCCCGCCCAGCTTCCTGATAGTACCCCTCAAACGACTTGGGCAACCGCCAATGCACCACGAACCGCACGTTCTCCTTGTCGATACCCATGCCGAAGGCCGTCGTGGCAACGATGATATCGTACCCCGGCTCGTTGGCGATCCACTTGGCCAGCGTCTCCTCCTTCATCTGGTTTGGCAGCTTCGCGTGGAAGGGCCGCGCGCCGATGCCGTCGTGTCGTAGGGCGGCCGCGAGCGACTCAACTTCGTCGCGGGAGATGGTGTAGATGATCCCCGGTACGTTCTCGACGCGCTGGCCGGTGGCATCTAGCTCGGCTTTTCGATCCGCGGCCGCTCGGCGGTCGTACACGCCCTTTAGCCAGGTGACAAAGTCGTCGTAGCGGTCGTTGGCCTCGTCGCTGGTGAAACGCACTTCGAGGTGCAGGTTGGGTCGGTGAGCTGTCATGCCGAAGATCTTGAGTTTTCCGGGTGTCTTGTCCAGCCCTAGCGTGGTGAGCACATCTCGGCGGACTTGATCGTTGGCTGTGGCTGTGAGACACATAACTGGTACGTCGGGGAAGTTTTCACGGAACCAGGAGAGCCGTTTAAAGTCTTTGCGGAAGTCGTGACCCCATTCTGAGATGCAATGGGCTTCGTCAACCACGATGCGTGCTAGCTCGTGCTGCTCATAGACGAGTTTCAGTTTCCGCCGGAAGTGATCGCCGGAACATAGCTCGGGAGTCACGTATAGAAGGCGCGTAAGGGGATGTCCAGTTGCGAGATCAGCGTAAATGTAGTCCCGCTCTGGCATGGTAGTGTTGCTGTTCAAGGTGCGAGCGTCCACATCTGATGCCCTGAGGGCCTCGACTTGGTTCATCTGAGCGTGTCAGTGACTTGCTTGAACAATGTTCAGTCAGAGTGATTGAACTGACCATGAGACTCAGCAATGGAGAAATCACAATAGTGACTAAATAGACAAGGTCAGAATGCGCTTACTTCAGCCGTAAACAGTTTGAAAATGATAGACATACTTCCACGGTCTATTACGGCTGGAAGTTGGAAGCATAGACTCTTGCCGAACGAGGTGGCTGCCTGGACGAAGACATCATGACCGTCGAGGGCAGCTTTGATGATCTCTCTCTGATGTGGTCTGCGAAAAGTGGTTAGAAGTAGATCATAAAGAAATGGGTCTCTAAGAGTTCATACCTGAAATTCTCTTTGCCGAACTGTCGACGAAGAGTAAAGTCTATGTCCTTGAAGGAGTCGCTCCTTAGGAGAGGCATCGTTGCTTTGGCCGTTGCTGAATTTGAGCGCCTGGTCGCAGCTATCGTGTCGCTCAGACTTCCATTTAGACTAGGAAATGACAGAAGATCGAAGCCTTACAGCTTCACTTTCCGATCAGGGTGCAAGATTGGAGGTAACGAGTTCATCCCATCACGTTGGCTTGGTCGCGTCTGTTTTGTTTACTTCCATCGATGTGCATTTGAAGTGAAGTAGAAGTGAAGTTCTGTTTGGCCCAAAGTTGTAGGGGGTTCCCAGTGTTAGTTGGCGGATTAGGCGCCAAATCGCCACTGTAAGCAGCACTGTAAGGCCCCACCAGTTCAGCATTGGGCGAGGTCGGTGTTGCGAATCGTTTGTCCAAGCTTCATGATCACGGTTGACATATTTATCTTAAGAAGAAATGCATTGCCATTACTTTGACGTGGTGGATAAATGGTTAATCCACCTCGCAATGCAGCCTTAATAACTGCTACGACCTGTCCATGTTCCTCCCTCCTACGTTCACTCCCACCAAATCTACCATCTCAAACCCAACCCCAAAAGAGTTGGGAAAGAACTCACCAAACCCCCGGAATAACCGCCCACTTCTTCTTGATCTTCTCCTCCCCAAACTTCTCCATATACCACTGCTTCCCCTTGACCGCCCTCGGCAACATCGCCGCCACCTCATTCAGCAAGAAGCACCTCGCCGGCAGACACCCCCAACCAGCGGCCATGTAAAACCCAAGCCACTCAACCCACTCGCAAAAGTAATGCGGGTAAAGCATCACCTTGAACAGTCCCGCCTTGGGAATCTCGTAGTGCTTCTCCACCTTCTTGCCCGGCTGTCCCATATTCCCATTCTGCTTCGCCAGCCTCTCTTGCCTGCGGGTTTCCCGGCGTCTGATCTCCCTCAGCTCGTCATCGTGGTAGTAATTCGCCATCAGGCCGACGTAGAATAACGCGATTCCGCATGTGAACTGAAGTGTGGGAAACGAGCTAGACAGTTGCTTGGCCCATGCCGCATGGCTCGTGGGACCGTAGGCCGCCAGCCAAGCGCCGATCAAGGTTCCGTTGATAATCTGGAAGCCAAAGGCGGAGAGCCAAATGACGATGTGTATGGGCGCCATGCTGGGCTGCAGGAAGGGAAAGGCGATGGCGCGGTACCAATAGTGGATCACGAAGAGGCCGGCGAGCACCTTGTTTTGCCAGGGCAGGTCGCTGAGGGTTAAGCCGTGCTGGGCGGGGAGGGTGCGCATCATGTAAAGCAATGACATGAAGCCGGGCGCTTCCATGGTGAGCCAGCCGATCCGGCCGGGTAGGTTGAGGCGGCTAGTGACTGAGGTCTTGCCCATTCCGTACCAGGAGATACCCCATTGAAGGGAGGCGGCCTGGTCAGTTGTGTCAATTGTGATGTAGAGAATTCTCAAGATAGGGCGGTGACACATACCACGGGGAACCACTTCCACAGGGAGATAATGAGATCGTAATTTTCTCTCGTGGGAGGATACCAGTTGTCTATTAGGCCTACGGTAGTCGACATTTTCTTCTTTGTTGGCGCTCGGCCGAGGATTTATCGGGTGAGGTTGTTGAGTCGAAGGTGAACGGCAACTTCAAGTCGGCGTATGGGTGATGAAATTCTCAGAACTCCCTTGTTTACTAAATAGGAATGCTTATACCCGGAATCCTGATCAACATTACGAAAGAACGAAAGAGAGAAGGTGCAAAGCAAGAGAAAGGTGAATGGGAAGGAAACAACGGACAGTACGTAAGAGTTGTTTATATTCGCTGGCAGGGGCCACTTCTGACCAATGATGTTAATGAAACCACTCCGCAATCATCCCAACAGGGGTAATCTAACCTGGTACTACAGTGCTCAATAACTAACGTTTGGCCTATCACCGCCCAGCTACGCTCCCAAAATGTTACCACAGGATTCACCCGTGATGCAGAGTTGTCGATTTCGAACAAAAACACCGGACAATATCATTTCCGTTGATACCATCCAGTTCGACCACACTTGCAACCGCTATACCATCTTCCAGGTAGTACCTAGCCTCAGGTGTGTACTATAATAAGTCGAAAAACTGCCATTCTGACCAATAACAAACAAATTCCCAACTCCAATCCTCTCTGGTATCATTCGTTTCTTCATGATGACACTCGAACAAAACACTACACCCTGCGCCTGAACTTAAACACCAACCCATGCCAACATGATTGCGCAACCGAGAAGTTATACGTTAACCACCAATTACATCACAACACATTTATCTTCCCTCGGCGTCCCAGGAACTCCAACCGCGGCGGGTGGAATTCCCTGCCTCATCGGCCTTGGTGCGGCCATGTTCGGATTACCAGGAAAACCGGACTGAGGTCTACCGGCCTGACTAATAGATGAATGCCCGGGAGCTTGGGACGGGTTTCTCAATCCCATTGAGCCCGCGGTCGAACCCAATCTTTGTGGAGGACTTGCCGCTCCAGTGCGAGGAGGTGCAGCTCCCGCGCCGTTGGCAACAGTGGCGCGAGCCGCAGTAGGGCTGCTTGAGGGATGGCTGGGATGCCCTTCTGGGGGAATGTACGGTGCCTGTGTAGCAGCGACATCATAGCTAGGTGGAGCATCTTCTACTCCTTCATCTGCTGGGCGGTTTGTGAAGGGCTGTGGTTGTTGACCAGGAAGAGGCGGAATGAGCGATCTCACTGTCTGACTCGAAGTTCTGACCCCGGTTCTGTTCGCTGTCGGACTAGCTCCTCCACCATTGTTCGCAGAGACGTTCATCGAGCTGGTACTTCGGCGCGTGGACGGAGCCGTGGAAGAAACCGATAGTGAGCTGCGTGATGCTAAGGCCGCCGCCCTTTGGCTCCCAAGACTTGCGGTGCTGGCGGCCCTGGCGGCCCGTACGCTACCATTCCCACCAAGACTACCACCGCGCGCATGGCCTTGTCCGCGGCCCTGGTTTCGCTGTCCGTTCGATGTGCGTGCTTGCTGCTCGATGAACTGCTCCGAGAGTTCTCGTTCCCGGCGTCTACGTTCTTGCTCTTCTCTATGACGCTGTTCCTCCTCTTCCTGCAATTGCAGTGCTAGCGCAAGGTCGTGGTCCTCCTGTTCATGCGAGGGAGATGTCGGGGCATCTTCATGCACATCCCCACTGTTATTCCGTCCCCTACGACCCTGGACTGTCGTCCACCCGCTGCCCTCTCCCGAGTTACCGTATGATGAGGTGCCGGTGTAGCTTGATCCGCGCGGGCCTGCAGGATTGTTGCTAGGGTCGTGTGAAGCGCCGCCGACGGGGCGGACGTCACCAGAGAAGAACTCGGCTCGTTCACCGTTTACATCCACCAGCGATTCCCATACTATCTCGTCATGGCTGGCGTATCCTGCATCGGTGACAAGTGTCATGAGTTTCCCAGTCATTGGGTGCTTGTACAAGGTGGAAAAATGGTCGTTCCGGAAGAGAATCGCTACAGACCCTGGCTTCATCGAACTTTTGATGACACCAAGTCCCCATGTTGTAAGTTGTGTGGCTGAGGTTCCCCAGAAATCTTTGATCGCAAAGATATCCTGGAGCATTTGCTGTTCATCTTCAGTCAAGCCCTGTTCATTGGGGCTGCTCAGCTTGGCTTCCAGCTCCTCTTCACGGAACAGAAGGTTCTGGGCGTCATCATACGACGCCGCTTGTCTCTCAAATGCTCCATACACCGGATCATCTTTAGGCGGAAGCCAACCATGTATCAAGGGAATGGAGAAAGTGGAATACAGTCTCATCTCCCTCGTACTCTCGAACGTCCCCGGAATCTGACCACCTCTCTCCGTCGGAGGCAGATTGGTGAGTGATGTGCGGTTGAAGGCGTCTTCCATTTGCTTAGTCGGGACAAAGCGTGGGTTAACATTCATGCCGGTATGAAGGCTCTGCAGAAAGTTGTAGAGTTCGGTAACGTCCGGTAGAACGGCGTCTTCACCCAGTCGTCGCTCAGACATTAGTTCGTCAAAGACAGCATCAATAAGCAGCCCGAGACTGACTTGCTCTCGTGATCGAAGCGTCTCCACTAGGACCGTATTGTCCTGATGTGCCGGGGTAGAGAGGATGAGAGCGTTGACGAGCGCAAGAAGCGGACATGGTCCATTCGCATTCTGAATCAGAATCGGCGATGTCCTCGGGTTGATTTCCGCCGTGGCGTCATACCAGTTGATCCTCTTGATTTGGTATGTCTCGGACCTGTCAACCTGGCGTAGTGGTTGCGCAGATGAACTGGCCTGCGCTTCAGTAGACCTAGGTGGTAACTCGGGTGCATTCTCTTCCGATCTTCTCTGGGGGAGTGGGGGAGCTTGTTCGACGGCAGACGCCGAATTAGGGGGCACGGTAGATGTTGTAGTAGAAGGCACGGCCGGCGGTGGTGTAGGAGGCACGGTAGCTCCTATTGTAGGAGGCGCGGCAGGTGCCGTGATATTATTCACGGTGACCGGCTTAGGAGAGCTCTCATCTTCGTCGGCGAAATCCTCCCAAGTGCTCCTTCGTGATGGAGGACCAGGACGTGTGTCGATATCGATCAAATTCCAGTCGTCTCCCGTGGTTGCAGGCGGTTTTGCCGGCGCCCTCCCTCTGGATATATCATCCAAGTCATCCCATGCGTGAGAATCATCAAGTGTCTCCTCTCCTGTACTTGACGGCAAAAGTTCAGGAGCCTTGCTTGAACGTTGCTCATCCCACTTTGCAGGATCCTCATCAGAAGGCAGTGAGAGCAATGTTGGCGGGCTCGTTGATGGTCCAGGGGTGGGCTGCTGAGATGGGTTTGCAGACTTCCATGGGTCTCCTCCGGTGTGGCTCTGTTGCAGATCCGGAATCAACGGTGGTGCAGGGCTGTTGCCTTCATGGTTCAATGGTGGTTGCCAAGGGTTCTTGCTTTGTTCAGGACCTTCAGATATGCTCAAGTTCGAAAAAGACGGGAATAGTACAGGTGGTACGGGTGGTGGATATGCTGGCTGTGCCGAGACGGTGTCTTCTCCGTTAGCTGGCGTGCTTCCTGGCATCTTTTTCTTGAACGGATTAGTTTCTGGTTGTCCGTGGGAACCTCCTGGTCGCAGTACGGTTGGTATCCGGTTGATATCGCCTCCTACCTTGTCTGCTTCCGTCGTACCGGACCTTGGCGGTTGGGCACTGCCGCCGGGCCTCAGAACGGTAGGCACCCGGCCAATGTCACCTGGCTCTCCACCAGTCGCAGACTTGTTCCCTTCCGCGCTGTTATCGGCCCAAACATTGTCGTCCTCGATGCCTGATAAGTTGGAGAAGCTTTGACCGGGCCTCAGAGATCGTGGCACATCACTGGCTTGTCCGTCTGACGCCCCCTGGCGTTGCTGTCCCTCACGCTCGTCGTTCCACACCATGTTTGCTTCCGAGTCCATGGCGGAAGACCAAGATGGTTCTCGTCGTACTGCCGGGTCGAGAGCAGCATTTGCTGGAAGAGGCTTCCTGGTCACCATATCTCGAAGGTCGTTGATGAATGCCAAAGGAAAATTCAGTCGTCAGGAAAGTGTCGACCGTCGAGAGGATGTAAGCCCGAGGAAGCCGAGTAAGCGCCTCTAAGCCGCAATGACTCGAATATGATCCTGTTCAATACGTGACCACGGTCTCCAGATTATGTATAGTATAGATTTCGTTGCGTCCTTCCAAAGAGATTCGAAGGTCCATACAGTCCTAGCCGTCGAGATAATGTTCAGTCGACACAAAGCAGCCTTTCGTTGTGAAGGTCGAGGTCGAGAGCGGTCCGAAGTTAAGTGAACAGTTGCGTCATTGGCGCACGACGTTTCGAGGGTCTAAGTCTAGGATGTTGCTGGGATAGCGCTGCGATTCTAGTATGAGATTTGGGCCTAATATGGGTGCCGTTAGTGGATTGCTCACTAGTTCTAGCATCCAGCGCAGAAGCGATTGGAGGACAGCGAACAACTTACAAGAGCAAGAGTTGGGTCAGGTTGCGAGGGATGAGCAGCTGTGTCTCCACGATATAGCCAGTCCGGTGTTGTTTGATGAAAGTTCGAAATCACAATTGACTCTTTGTAGTTGGAGATGGTTGTAATGCTCAAATCGTCAATGTGAAATGGAAGAGACGGGACGGAACCCCAGCAGCTGGAAAGGTGTGGCAGTGCGTAGGTAGCTACCGGCTGTGGACTTGGACCCCTCAAGGTTCCCGTCATAGTGGGACTTTATCTTGGCGACCTCGGTGCTTGGCCGCAAAGGTTGACTTGTAGGCTGACTGACTTCTGCCACCAACTGAAACGATACCTATCAAATGTGATCTCAAGGGCAGATTGGCATTGGCAACGCCATGTTATAAAAGACTGGACAGTTGGAGGTTGGTGTAATGACAAGGGAAAAGCAGCTTGCATCTGCGAATTATGTCGTTGGCCACTTTGACGGCCTCCCATGGGTCGTGGCACAGGCTGGCGGCAGCTACCCCTCACCACTTGCCCTTTCACAGGCCGAGCTCGTCATCTCCTGCCCTGCCTAGGCGATCCAGCGCGGCCAGGGACATGACCTGCAGAACAGGCATCCATGATTCCAACAATTACACTTGCCAGGAACTCGGAATGTCAACATACCATTTCAGTCTGTCACCGGATTGTGACCTAGCCTCATTTATATGGGCACTAAGTCGAGGTACTAGGCTATGATGGACGTAACAATATCCCACAAGACAAATGCAGTACAATGGCTTAGACCATAGCCTGCCTTCAGCAGCCTCATCATTTGAAGCCATGTCCCAATCCAAGAGTTGAAACGTCACAGAGAAGGATTGCCCAGCGCTCCATGTACATACATATATATTAGGATTACACAAACATCATTTCTCATAAGACGTCAAGCCAGTAGTACCTATCAAGTACACGTCCCGACTCCCGCTCCGTGTGTTAGTCTAATCAAGAAGGTCTTCCACGGAGCCGTATGCCATTCCTACAGTTCATAATAGTACCCAGCGCTTGAACCCAACAGCAACAACCTCCCTATCACAGCACTCCTCACCCTAACCCAGACATCAACCCCTCTTTTAGTATTTCGATCCTGGTGAATAAAGGGTCTTGATCCGGATACAAGCTGGTGTCTCGAACCTCTCGGCCTTGGCCAACTTCTCCTGGTCTGTACGGAACCACCCCTGAGCCTCCTCGATCAACCGCCGCTTCTCCTCCATCTCTCTCTCGCACTGTTGCTGTAGCTGTTGCACAAAGATGACCTCGGCCTTCTGATCCAAGTTGTACAGCTTCGAGGCGGAATAATGCCTGACATCGTTCGGGTTGACATAGTAGTTGACCTTGACGTTGGGCATTTTACGGGCCATTGTGTAAGGGGGCTTGGCCTGCTCAAAGGACATGGACGGTGTTGATGGCCCCGATGTCGCTCCGGAGAACAGCGAAGAGATCATGGGGAAGATGAAGAGAACAATGATGGGCAAGAGGCTCATCAATGTGCTCCACATGCTGTTGCCTTCTTGTTGCTGTCCAGCCTGCCGAGGGCGAGTCCTGGGCCTTCCTCCGCCGAATTGGTGCACCCGAATGCCGGGCCCGCCGCCAAAGTTGAAGACGAACTGCGGCCCTCCGTCGAAAGCTGTAAAGCGAAAAGAATGTCAGTATACCGAACAACCGTATTGTGTTTAATCAAGGGTGCTGGTGCACATACCGGCTCCAAACGGACCTCCACCGAAACCTCCTCCGCCAAAGAACCTCGCAAACATTTCCTCCGGGCTAATGTCTGCATCTTCTCCCCACATGCCTCCCTGATGCGCCCTTGCTGCTCCCCTATTCGCAAAGCCGGCAAACGGATTCTGCTGCTGCGCGCTGGCGAACCTGCTGTCCGGGTCGGTTCCGAAGCGGTCGTACTTGTCGCGCTTCTCCTTGTCGCCCAGGACGCTGAAGGCGCGCGCGACCATCTTGAAGGCCTCGTCGGCATGCTCGTGGCCGTTCTTGTCCGGATGTGTCAGCAGGGACTGCTTGCGGTAGGCCTTCTTAATCTCGGCGTCGGTACATGTCTTGGACACCTCGAGGATCTCGTAAAAGGCGGTGGGTTCGCATTTCCGGATTCGCAGGACCGCGGCCTTCTGCTCGACTGTGTATTTGCGATCCTGGTTGCCCTGGTTGTGCTGGCGGTTGTGGGCGGACGATCCGTTAGAGGCATCGGCCCCCGAGGTTGTGGCTTCGGGCATGATGTGCCCTTTGTCTTATGATTCTGGTCGTTAAGATGCTACTAGGTACTATCGGTGACTATCTTTGAAGATAAAGGCCAAAGGTGATTCTGTAATTCTAGACGTCGGATCGTCTGGTTGGCCGATCTTCGTTGCGGAGGGCTGAGGGATGTAGTGACGCAACGAGGCAAAGGCGGTGTCCGTGACAACCTCGGGATTTGTTCAAGCTGAATAAGAAGAGGCCGGGAGATAGGTCGGCGACAACGAATTGGTTGCTATTGGGATCACAGACCCGGGTGAGAGAAAGACGTTCTATAGCGTTCTGATGCTAGATACCGGGTTCAGGTCGGTCGCGATTGTGTAAATGCATTGACAAGGAGAGCGGACAGGGGAGTCGAAAGCGTGGCTTTTTTCTGGAACTGCTGCAGCGGACGGGACCCCCAACCCGTGAAGTTGTGGCCCCTTGTCCAAAAAGTGTACGTACTAGCCTTATCAGTGGAAGTCAGACTGAGATAGTACAAGTATTAAGCGTTCGCTATGAAACCAGAGAATACATTCAATATTCAACGCTTCTGGACTTGGTTTTGATCATTACAGCGACTATAAGAACACCGGTGACCATTCGCTATTCTAGGGACTCGAGCTGGACAGCATGGAACTTCCACGCTCACCTTTCCTTCCATTCCATTCACACATGGTCCGTGCGCTTGGCCGGAACTGGAGAACGACAAATCATGGAATTGGAGACAGGACGGGAACGGGAGCAAGGATGAATCCAGTTTGCTTAGTCATTCACCAGTGTCGTCACAGCTTCCTTCAATTGACATGAGCCGATTCGGAAGCTGCAGATAGCTCAAAAATCGTTAACAAAAAAAGCCGGTGTTGAAGATAGTAAAAAGATCAACAACAATATCCTCTATCCTCGCCCATCATGTCAACTGAAGAAACCAAAACATCCGCTCTGGACCGCCTTAGGGGCTGGGGATGTAAGTACCTCACTCACTCAGTCACTTCAAACTTCTTCACTTACACACACACAATGAAACAAAACACTAACCCCCAAACCCAGCATCCTCCCTCCCCGGCATGGGCCTAGCAACCCTCATCACCGCTCTACACTGGCGTCCCTTCCAGGCCCTCCCCATGCTCTTGACCCCTCTCCTCATGTTCTCCAGCTATCTCAGCGTCGCCGGCTTCAAGATCGACAGCGCCGGCATGACCGCCGCCTGGAGCGGCATCTACTTTCTCCTCGCCGCCCGCCGCCGTCCCGCCGCGCTCAAGAACAAGTTCTCGGCTCGTGGCGCCGTGCGGGCCACGGCCATGGGTCTAAGCGCGGTCAACGTGCTTGCGGGCACCTACACCTACGTGACGGGTGATCGCAAGGCCGAGGAGCAGGAGAGGAAGGAGATGGACAAGTGGGGAATGTACAACGATAGCGAATGAAGAATCTGACAGGGACGGTCGGGATGGTGTAGGGGAAATGGGCTTGCTGTGGTTGAGCAGAGTCGGCCTGGCATGTAGGAGCGAGTGTGTTCTGACGTGTTACGGTGGACAGCCCGTGGATTAGTCCACCAGCTCCATGTCCAGAAGTTGCTGGAGGGAGAGGGGGGAAAGGGGGTTCGTTGTTTCGGAGGTATTCTGCGGGAGCAGTTGTGTGTCTGTATCATACTGTATCATAAAGAGCAAGCATTCGGCGGCGTCAAAGGGTGGGAAATGACAAACAAGGAAAATTCGGCTATGCGCAAAGTCACATTCTCTGATCATGTTCGCTTTGAGCAGCACACGCCAAATGGGTGCTGAATTTCCTGCTCACCCCTCTGGGAGTGATGAGCCTTGTGGCATAACTAACAGCCACAGTAAGATACTATGCGCAGACCCAACGCTGCGACAACAACCATAACCATAATATGAACATGGGAAACCGCCCTATGAATACCAGGGAAAATCATACGAACGCCAGGAGACACTCAGCACTTGATAGTCTCCGCTCTCCAACCTATCTAATCTCTTCCATGCAAGTGATGGCTTGTCAGCTCCGAGTCTGGGTTCGTGGCCATGTGATACCCCAGAGGGAAAACCCGTCTGTGTATCGCATCGTCTGCCAGCCCTCCAGATTCCCGGTACGGGAAAATCCCCATTGCAACGCCACGCCATTGTACCCGCTTTGAAGCAGGATATCCGCTGGACCTACATTCCGACTTAACCAAAATACTCTTAACGTTTTCCCCCTTAATAATGCAATCCTCCTCGCTGCCGGATCGAGCTGCGCCAATCGTGTATGGCGCCCGTAGGATTTGTGAGGACCAAAAAGTGTAATATGACGACCAAGAAGAACCGACCGGTATCCGAATGTGATGCCGAAAAGCTACTGGGTAAGCAGCTTGCGATCCATCGCCTCCGATGTTGGCAGCGAAATTCCGGAAAAATGATACCAGAATAACAAGAAAATAATGGCCACGACCGTGGAGTGGGCGAACTTGGGCGACCCAAATCGCCGCAAGGTCATGTCCTTGGAGAAGAGGTTCGAGATTTGGGCCATTTCGAATCCTTGGATGTAGTTGACATCTGTCTCGCGGACTTTGGGCTCGGCATAACTCCGGTACTCCTCGAGGATATTGTTCACGTCCCAGCCAAGAGTCTTGCGAACAATTCCAACCACGCAGCCGGTGCGATGCTGCACAACCAATGTCAGCCTGACCGCTCCACTTAGTCGAGATGTTGTCGAGGGGTAATTTACCTTTCCGTGGTTGCAGTGAATCAGGAGCGGGTGATTGGCTTGGTTGAGCACCAGTCGAAGGATGGCCTTCATTGTCGTGATGGGGATGGCCTCTTTCTTGGTGCCCTTCATGTCGAACACGTGATGCTTAATGCCATTTCTGCTGAGAAAAGCATCAAAGCCCTCGGGGAAGTCCTTTTGGACCAATGTGCTGGAAAGCCCTTGTCAGTATGTTGAAAAAGAAAAAAGGGTTTCAAATCGGGTAACTAACACCATAGTCTTCAACTTGAGGCCCTCGATGAACGGGTAGTCTTCGCTCTGCGGAAAACTACTGCGGTATACTCCAGGGACAACGACACCAAAATTCTTAGGCCGGCCATCCGAGGGGATGAGCGGGAGAGTAGGATTTGGCCGCAAGGGAGCTTTGGCACTGTGGCTGTAGGCTTGAACGGCATGTGGAGGCTCGATATCGCGAAGTGCGTCGGGGAGGCTAAAGTGTTCATCTTTGCTCAAATCTGACAGGTCCGTGTCCAATGATGTCGTAGCGGTCATGGGTGAGCATTCGAGGCTCGTCTGGCGGCTTGAGCGGCTGCTTTGATTTGTCGATGTGCCGATGGAGCCCTTCCTGTGCGGTTCTACGTCCGCCTTCTCGTCCTCCTTTGTCATTTTCTCAGATTGAGGCCCAAGCAGGGCCTGCTCTATTTTGTCACCAACAAATGCTCTCGTATTCCTCTTCATGACGGCCTTGTTGCCCCCCACCATGGTAGCCAGGGCTGTCATGGATTCGGATTGTAGCAATGACGGGTGCAGGACGCTCTTGGTTGACGAAACAAGCGTTGGGGCGTCGGAATCAGAGTGGATCATCAGACGGCCAGAACCGGCCAGGGCTAGGAGATGCTCGAAGAGAGACAGGGGAAGCTGGTTTGGCCGGCGAAATAGTGCGGGGGGGAGGCAGATGGGCTGGCGGTTCGAATCGATCGGCACGGTGGCTCGTGGTTGAGCGGAACGTTTTCGGTCTGGTGGACTGTTGGAGGCGGGAAATGGAGAAGATGTAATGGCACTACTGTTGGTAGTAGAAGTGGTACGGACGGTTTTGTTTCCGAGTTGACGAGCAGTGGAACCAAAAGCGTCCCAGGGCACTTCTTTCTGAGGACTATGAGCTGCCCATTTTTGCTGATTTCCCAAATTGTTCCGGGGTTGTGTGGGATGCGTCGTGTATAAATGTGTACCTGGGAAAGCCCGAGCTCGTCAAGCTTTCCTGCGAGGGTATGCTAACGGGGAATTCGAGGTCCGGTGGTGCTCAAGTTGCCTCCGATCGAGGACGGTAACAAGAGGTCTTGTCTCGAGTTGTAGGCGGGACACGTGAGCGAGCGCCGAAGAGTGCAATGGGGTGATGCAGAGATCGGGATAACTCTGGTGTGAAAACCAGTTAGAATGTCGAGGGTAGCGTTATTGTTACTGTGATGGTGCCCACATCATATGTCGTTCCATACGAGTGGGTGGTGTTGAAGGAAGAAGGCCTTCCATGGGAGGGAAGGGCCGGATTTAAAGAGATGGGTTCATTGTCAACAATTAATTCATTGCGGGCCTCGCCCACGGGCAGTTGCTGCAGTGTGATGGGGGAAATTCATGGCGCACTAGCGCAAAACTGTGTGGGGTCTAGGCCATTGATTGTTAGCGGCACCGGTACTTGGCTCTCTACCCTGCAGGGAAGGGGGTGCCTTTCAACAAGGTCCACAGCAGGATGTTAGTAAGGGGTTGGGAGTCCAATATATATTGGCTTTCAATAATAATTTTTGTACCCGTGAGTTGTAAATAATGTACACTCTAATAGTGCGAAGACTATTTAATATTTGAAAGAGTGGTTTGCATATTTAGATAGTATGGTATGTTAGTGGGGAATATATATTGGCGTACGAATATTTATTAGCGTACGAATATTTTAGCGTACGGATAAATATTAGACTGCTAGTTTATATTTAATACTATAAGTATTCTTTAATTATTATTATTCTTATAATTATTTTATTCCTATAAACGTTTCGTTATTGCAATTCGCTATCGCAATAATTATTTATTATTATAAAAATATTATTCTATTGCAAGTTTATTGCGTTCTAATATAGTTTATTAGTTAACGAATTACGTATTCAAATATAATTTCTCTTTTGACTATATTCGCGCTTTCAAAACTATAATAATAGTTAATGATTTATCTTATTAAATATTTACTTCTATGAAATCAAATGTCGTATCGCCGTTAATATTAAATATAAATATAATTATTAATTTAATTTACTGTATCGCTACCGATTTCTATTAGCTTTCTTACGTTGCTTAAGTATATATTTATAATAGGATTTATATTTTATTATTAAAGCTATTACGATACTATTCTATTAGGTATATATTATTAGTTCTAGCGTTTTTATAGTTAATTACTAGATTTTTTATATTACCGCTGGTACGATTTAGATTTGTACAATCCCTTTTATTGCCAACCGTAAAGTAAGCGTAGTCTCTAAACCTCCAAGCCCCGTTTCTAATCTTTAAACATTTATCTCCAAGTCCCCACCGTTTTACTAATTGCCGCTGCCCTATATCGCGCTTATGAGAAATTAAAGGTATTATCGGATAATTAGAACCGCTCTTCAGGAAGTAGGGTAATTAACGTATTTACCCGTTACTTGCGCTATTACCCGTAATACTATAACGTTAATTAATAATATTAAGAAGAAGGAAAAGAGGAGGAAGAATTTATATAGTTTAGGAAATTATATTGCGGATATTTATAAAAGTATTAAAAATGTATAGAGAGAAGTATAGGGAGGAGTATAGAAATATTCCGGTTTCTACCGATAATAAGAAGATGTAATTCTATTTACTTTATTTATGTTATAATAGTATTGAGCTCGCATCGAGATCCTATCGCCTAGCTTCTTTTTTCTCCCTCTAATTTTTTCTGCTTGTTAGTTTTTTTTTTTGCTAGGCATCGAACGTTTTATTTACCTATTATTACCTTCCTACTTACCCTATAAGTTTTAAGTACTACTAAGCTACCAAAATATATTATATTATTATATAATTAACTTTTCCTATAGTTTGTTGTATTAATAACTATTATTACTATTTACTTCTATTCTTCTCCTCTCTTATACCCTTTTATTTTAGTTTTAATTATAACGATTAGTATAATATTTGCTTTACTTCGATAATTCTCCCTAAATTGACTTACTATCTTAATATTAGAGTATTATATATATAAAATTTATTCGTACTTTAATAAATTCGCTTTCTAATTTTAATGTTAGTATAGTTAAACGGGTATATACAGGAGAATATAGGGGAAGGATTGACATTACGGGAAGAGGATAGTTATCGGACAACTAACTCGGGAATCTAGTTCTAGTTTATTAATTTTTAGGTCCAATTTACCTAATAGTATAGTAATATTATAAATAAAGTTAGTTGGAACTAGAGGGAGGAGAATTTCGCTACTTTATACTAAACGTCGGTAATAATATTAAATTATTTACAATAATAAGGTAATTAACTTCGATATTTTGCTAAGTATATTCCTTTGTATTTTTTATAGTAGGATTAATATATTAATATTTATTCCCCCTAAGGTAGAATACAAGCCGAGTATTTTAAAAATACGTACCAGTATTTTACCGCAAGTATATATAACTAAGAGCACTCGGTAATAGTTATCTCAGAGTTAATTGAGGATTAATTTAATAGTAGAGGAGAAGGACGGGACGGGAACCTACTAACCTAGAATTTTTCACCAAAGTAAAATAAAATAAGGAATAGAAGGAAGGAAAGGAGAGAAGATAATAGGGGATAAAATTAATCGTAAAGTTTATAATTACTAACAATAGTAGGGAGAGGGTCGGGAAGTAAGAAATAATCTCCGCGATAAATTATTGGGGGGTAAAGGTTAACGATTGCCAATTATTAACTATAAAAAAGATATAAAAATATAGTGTAATGCGATTCTAATTAGAAATTAAATAGTAGGAAGAGGAGGATATACCTGGTGAACTTTCACATTCGCTTTTAAGATAATAATATAAGCTTACTTCGCTAATATAAATAGTTAATATTTATTACTAAGTATATATATAGTTACTAGGTTACGCTTAAATATATTTTTATTGCGATATTGTCGACTTGGGAAAGATAGTGAGGTAGTAAGCGAAATCGAACGGGGTAGGCAAACGCGCCTGGAAGTGACTACGGAAAAGGTAAATGATAAATAAAAGAGAATAATTAATATATAAACTATATTAGGGTAGGGGTAATAAAGAAATACGCACTAGCGTTGGAAACGTTTGGTAGTATTTTCTTTTCTTCGTCGTCGCGGACGGGATTTTTAAAAAATATAATTAGGTTTAGGTTATATATAGATATAAAATTATATAGGTATTTAAGAAGAAGAAGGTATGAAAGAGAGTATGACGCGTACGTATTTTTTATAATCGGTTTACCTTTTTCTATTTTATACCTTAATTTATTTCGGCACTCCTATACCTCTCGTATTATTAGTATTTTAGTATTTCGATTTTTTATAAAGACTAGTATTACGTAGAATAGTCTAACTTCGAATATTATTATACTATAAGAAATAGAAATACTAATAATTTAATTATTTAAATTAAAATTTTTACTAGTATATCTATGAAGGAAATTAGTTTTGATATTTATATTAATTTATTTTATATTAAGCGAATAGTTGTTTAATATAGCGAAAGTAAGCAAGTAATACTTATATATTTAATTTTATTTTTATAAAAAGAAATGAATTAATGCTTATTTATTATAGGAAGTAAATATTATGTTTGAGAAATATATAGTGGCCGTTATCCTTTGCAATTATTTAAACCTATTTGGCTACTATTTTCAGTAATCTAACAATTTCCCTCTAATTTACTATTAAGTAGAGTAGTACCCGTAGGATTGGCTTGGTTATTACTCCTTCGTTTAGAGGGTTAAAGTAAATTAATACTATAAAAACCCGAGTGCTACTTACTAATTTATATATGAATATATTATTCATTCTTCTATATTTTTATATAATTTCGTTATTAATTTCCTATTGGGTACGGACTATATCTTTTAGGTAGAAGGAAAACTGGTTGCTATTATTAAATTAGGGTTAGTAAAAGTCGTATATTCAATTAGAAGTATATAATTAATATTTACATTAACCGATTATAGAACGATATTATTTTAGTAGGGTTTTTCCTAAGCTAAGTATATTAACTATACTGTAATTGATATTTATTGCCTTATATACTACTTTGCCGAATTCGGAATATTTATCGGCCTTCGTAATTAATAAGAATTCGTCAGGGAGCTTTTCGATAGTTTTATTACTAATATAATAGTAGATTAGTGGTATAACGTAGTTTAGATTAAGGTAGATATTAAGGGTAGATATTTCTGTTCGTTCTATGTTTTATTAGTATTAAAGTAAGGATTTAATTATTTAGCGAAGTTGGGATAATTTTTCTTTAATTATTAGAATCGCGTATAATTCTCCAGGTTGGTATATTCGAAATATCCGGCAAGTAAGAAGGCGATAGTTTAGCGAATATTATTTCGCTTAAGTAGAGTGGAAAAAGTATTATAGAGGTTTATTATGCGGATATTTATTTTATATTTACCGTACTATACCTCTCCTAGCAATGTAAAAATTATATTTAGCACGCTATATCCGGTAATAATATCGCTATAATGAAAATTCTAGTAGATATTCGGTAGGCTTCGTTTTATTATTTATTTATTAGAAGTTAGTACTTTACCCTTTTGATACGGAATAAGTATCGGAAGCCTCACGATTCAGTAATGTGGTTAGGAAGGCAGTAAAGTAAGTGATGATTCGAAGAAGAGGAAGGTCTGGAAGCCAGGTAGGGCCCGGCCCAGCTTAAGTACTGGGCTGGGCACAAAGGTTCTAAGAACCTTTGTCCTGATTAGAACCTTTACGACTAAGCTAGACTATTCCATAAGGTTCTGGAGGAAACCAGAGGTTTCCTGTATTACCTTTTTAGTCGGAAGAAGTACTACTTCCTATTAATTGACTAAGGCATCGAAGTCAACTTGCGGTTATACTAGTCCTATTTTTAAAGTTTTACTCTAGCTTTCTATATTATCTTCG